GCAGGCGCGGCGCTCGGGGCCCGCTGTTCACCTGCGGCAGTCGGGTAGCTGCGGCTCAGCCCGCGGAACTCGAAGTCGGGACGCGGCTCGTTTGGCGAGGCTGGACAGTGGCCGCTCCTGGCGCGTGCTCGGAATCCGGCGCGGCCCAGTGTTGCACAATTCACAGTCTTTGGGGAAAGCACAGACGGGTGGAGGTCATGAGGAGAAAGCCCCCCGCCGGGAGAGTACGATGCGGTGCGCGGAGTCAGAGGACCTGCTTTTGGGTCACGCAGCCGCGTTAGCGTTGCGCAGCCGTGAAGTGAGAGTGCGGGCTGGCGATGGTGAGAGTTGAGCTTACTCGGAAGACGTTTAGGTGCAGCACCAGAGCAGTCCAGGGAGGGGGCTGCCAGTCTCCGCTGATACCAACGTCCTGGGCTCTAGCTTTTGTTTTTTGTCTTCTTGAGACAGGGTCTTACTATCCATTTCAGGCCGGCCTTGAACTCACTTTATAGCCCAGGCTGGGCTGGAACTCGCACCGATCCTCCTGCCTCAGCCTCCCTGAGTGCTGGGATTACAGGTGTGCGCCACTACTCCCAGCATCTAGCCTTAAAAAACATTACAAGAATGGTTTTCTGAAGAGACAATTTTAGTTGTACATCTGTTTATTACCTAAACCCGAATTCCTAGCGGTGTTGGTTGGTGGTGGTGCCCAAGGATGAAGCTACAGGTTGCCTACAAAACACAATGCACCGTGGGTCATGACCTCCGTTTGCTGCAGCTGGCAAAGCAGTTCGTGATGTTTTCTAACACTCATGCTGTGAGCATGTGAATTTTCCCATTCCCATTTTACAGAGAAAGACCAGGCCAAACTGAGAGCTCGTAAGTGGCAGAGCAAGATCTGAACCTTCTGAGATGTTACTTTTTCTTCCCCAGCCACAACACTGCCTATAATTGTTTTTGTTCTTTTAATTAGCGCAATGAAGACCAGCTCTGTGCGCGTGTGAACCGTGGGTGTAGAGATCCACACCAGGGCATGCTAGGCAAGTGCTCTGCCTGTGAGCTACACACAACCCCAGTCCCAATGCCAGGCTTTTTAGTGTGGTGACATTCCTTTTAACTCTCAACTTGTAGGGGTTATATTTCTTAAACTTAGGAGAAAATACAATTTTTTTTTTTTGAGAAAATACAATTTCTTGAGATAATTGTAAGCTAAACTGAGGTGTCAAAATTTAGTGCCTGAACAATGCTAATTTTAGCACCAACCCCTCAGGGGTTTGCAATAATCTACCATTTCATTTTGCCTACATTTTCTGCAGATTTAATAGGAAACGTAAAGACAAAGTTTCCAGCTCTTAAAAGAAAAAAAAAAGTTTCCAGCACTTCCCTGTGTATCTAAAAGCCACAGAACACAAAAAGCAATTACTTCTGAGGAATGGTAGGCTATAAAACAATTTTATGTAACTTTTTTTTTTTTTCCGGTAAGCAGGGTGGGGGGGACTCACGACCTTGCGCTTGCCAGGCAGGCGCTGTGCCACTGAGCTAAATCCCCAGCCCCTTAATGTAACATTTTATTTGTAAATGCTGTGTAAGAATTGTACAAATACACACAAAACATCCATTACTGAGCCAGGTGTGGTAGTGCACACCTGTAATCTCAGCACTCAGGAGGCTGAGGCAGGAGGATTGTTGTGAGTTAGAGGCCAGCCTGGGCTACAAAGTGAGCTCAAGACCAGCCTGAACTGCATAGCGAGACCTTGTCTCAAAAAGACGAAAAAAAAAAAAAAAAAATCCACTACTTAAACAAATGAGAGAAAAAAATGTCAAAATTGTAAAGAAAAATTGTCAACGCTGTCTAAGAGAAAGCACTGAGGGCAAGGCCCTTTCTAGTTCTGGCAAGGGCGAAGCAGTGTGGGTAGCCAGGTGTGGTGGCACATGCACGTAAGGTCAGCACTCAGGAAGCTTAGGCAGGAGGATGCTGCGACTTCGAGGTCAGCATGGGCTGGGCTGCTATAGAGAGAGACTCCTCTCAAAAAGAAAAAAAAAAGTGTGGGTGGTGCCAGGGTTTTGAAGGCATTTTGCTAAGCACCCCTCAGGTGGAAAGACCAGCACAGGCATCATGACAGTAAACCCCAAGAGCAGCAGTGCCGAGCGCCTAGTGCCATTTAAAGCCGCACAACTCTTCCGTGTGACCTACAGACGGTTACAGAGCCGCAGTGTTGAATTACGTCTACTTCTCCGGGAGCCTCTCTCACAGCTGTGTACCGGACAACGAGTTCAGCAGGACGAGGGACACAGTTAGGCACAAATAAAAATTTCTTGTTGAGGCTGGGGGTGTGGCTCAGTACAAAAGTGCTAACTTCACATGTGAGAGACCCCCGGTTTGATCCCCAGCACCAGGGGAAAACTTGTACAGAACCTAGACCAGGAACAAACAGTTTCTAAATACTGGTTTCATTAAGTGAACACAAAAGAAATGATGCCTTTAGAATGTGAAATGTGGGGCTGGGGATTTAGTTCAGTGGTTGAATGCTTGTCTAGCAACCTGGAAACCCTGGGGCCAGTCCTCAGCACCAAAAAATAAAAAGCTAAAAAAAAAAAAAGAGAGAGAGAGAGAGAAAAGACAAGACTAAAATGTGAAATGTAAGCCAGCTATGCTGGCACATGCCTGTGATCCCATCACTCCAGAGAGGCTGAGGCAGGAGGACTGAAAGCTTAAACCCACCCAGGGTAACTTAGTGAGACCCTGTCTCCAAGTAAGCAAGTAAATAAATAAATAAATAGCTAACGCTATTAAGTAAGTAAGTAAGTAAGTAAGGCCTTGGGTTCAATCCCTAGTATTGCAAATTAATTAAAATGTAAAGTATAGATATATTATTTACCTTTGTCTTAAAAAATCAAATTAGTTATTCAATAAATTATGGGATAGATTCTTATCTAATTTTCTTTTGGATTTTTTTACATGATAATGTATTTAAAATATACTTTCCTAAAAAAAGTATATATATATATATATATACTTTCCTAAAGAATTAAAAGCATCATACTACAGTGATATATACACACCCAGGTTTATAGTGGCACAGTCTGTCAGAGCTAAATCTTGGAAACAGCCCAAATCCCCATCAACTGATAAATGCATAAAGATGTGGGGCTTGGGGCTGGGGATTTAGCTCAGTGGCAAAAGCGCCTGCCTGGCAAGCGCAAGGTCGTGAGTTCGGTTCCCGGTACTGGAGGAAAAAAAAAAAAAAAAAAAGATGTGGGGCTTTTTATACAATGGAGTACTACTCTGCCATAAAGAATAAGCTTGAGACACTTCTAGCCAGATGGATGCACCTTGAGACCACACTCTTAAGTGAAATAAATCAGACACACATATGTGAATACCACATTGTTTCTCTGGTGTGAGAAGCGTAAAGTGTAAATAAGGACCAAAATGTATTATAGATATTGTGAAATAGGAAGAAAAGTTCAAATAGGAGGAACTAAGGAAGGGGAAAAGAGGAAGGAAGAAAGGGAAAAGAAAAAAATGAGAAGGAAAACATGGTCGTTTCTTTTTTTTTGTTTTGGTACCAGGAATCTAACTCAGGACCTTGCTCTTGCCAGGCAGGCACTGTATTGCTGAGCTATATCCCTAGAGAGAAGGAAAAAATGGAAACAAAGCTTTTGTAGATAAGGAGGGGGAAGGACCAGGGATATAGCTCAGTGGCATAAGCACCTGCCTGGTAAGCTCAAGGTCCTGAGTTCCATTCCCAGTACCAAAAAAAAATAATGAGGGGAACAGGAGCTGAGGGGCAGGCAGGGGAATGGGGAAAAAAAAAAAAAGAATCAAGTTATATCATGTACAGATGAAAATTCCCCAGGATGAATGTGATGATCATGTATGTATACCTAAAAATGTACCAATAAACTTAATAATAAAAAATTCAAAACCAAAAATAAACTTAGGCTGGGCATAATGGCATACAGCTGTAATCCCAGTACTCGGGAGGCTGAGGCAGGAGGTTCACTGCAAGTTTGAGGCCAGCCTGGGCTACAAAATGAGTTCAAGGCCAGCCTGAACTGCATGAGACCCTGTCTCAAAAAGACAAAAAACAAAAACAAACCAAAAAACCACAACTTTCCTAGACTCTTATAAGCGCTATCCTAATTGTATTTTAAAGACAGCTGCCATATTAAAGTTTAAAGCCATGGGAAAGTATTATACTTCCTCATGGCTTTAAACTTTAATGCACTTTCCCAGTGCCCTACAGCCACATGGTGAAAGTATAGGTCGCTTGATGGAGACTGACTGGAAGACTTTAGGGCGCTAGTCTCCCTTTCAGTCTCACACACAGGTGGCCACTTCATCCCACTCTCAGACATGAGCCAGGTATTTTCCAGGAATTCCTATGTGGGGATTAAGGGCCAAGGGGTCCACAGTATTTCCTAAGAATGTCTTTGTTATGGTTGACACATTGTGTGAACTTGGAGTCTAGAAGCTTAACTATGTAACTCAGCTGTTGTACATCCTGGGGTGAAAAGGACACGCCCTTACCGCTCTAGGATGTTGTTCACTGTGTCAACTTGAGAAGTTTAGAAGGTTCCGGGGACTCAGCAGGGAGCCAGGGTCCTTACTTTGTATTCATCCTGGGCCTGTGCAAAAGCAGGGCCCTGAGACGGTATAGACGTGGGTGGATAGCCTGTATACAATATAGAGAGGGGAAAAAGGCTTGCTCCCCGCTCTGTGCTCTTGCTGCTTTTGTTGTCTTCTGCCCCATTGAACTCTTGACCGTTTGCCATGCCACTCTGCCCTGGAACCAGCTGACTAAGGACAAAAACCTCCACAAACTGTGAGCTAAATAAACCTTTGCTTCCTTAATTTTGGGTGTTGCGTATTTTATTCCAGCAACAAGAGAAAAGTAACCAAGACAGTCTTCACACCTCTCCTATTCTGGGCTGGAATGTTGCCACCCACAGTTCTGTCTACTATAAGCAGAACTTGCAGGACCAACAACTGGAGTTGGAATCTGATGGGCCAGGCCAGATTAAACATGGCTGGCCTTATTGTAACCTTCCTGCCTCAGCCTCCCAGGGTGCTGAGATTATAGGTTTGTACGACCACACCTGGCTGCTGGTTTTTTGAGTTTGTACTTTCCATGAGGGCTGATAACATCCACACTCACCACTTAAACTAGTTTTTTAAAAAAATGTGGTCTTAAAGACTCTTTTGTTTCCCTGTGCACAGCACTTATGAAGTGTGTCACACCAGATCTGGAGATGAGCCAGAGAAACCAAACTCTGCTATGATTTCTCGTTATATTCAGAACATGGGCCGAAATTTATGTACATTAAACCACATCTATGATAAGGAGGAGATCTTGTAATCTATGTGAACTCTAGGATTTTAAAAATAATTACAATGCCTAAATGTAGCATCTGCCCCACAATGGGTTCTTAGAACAGAAAAAGGACACTCTCTAAAAGCTAAGGCTTTTATTTAATAACGTGTCAATATTGGCGTATTAATTGTTGTAACAACTGTACGGTGGAATGTAAGGGTGAAGGCCCAGGGGGACTCTGCCGCTTTTCTATAAATCTAAGTTTTATAAATCTGGAACTAAGTTCACTAAAATAAAAATTCTTAAAAACTTGAAAAACACACAAAAGCAAAATCAACTTATTAAAACTACTTACTTATAACCCACAGACTCTTTTTTTTTGCCACAGACTCTTAAATGTTTCATGGTATCGCTTTCCCTGTGTGTCTGTGTGTCTAACTGGGGCTGGATCCAAGGCAGGGCTAACTAAGCACACACCCTAGCCCTGGCCTTTCCAGCCTTCCCTTTTACTTTTTCTATTGATTTTTTCTGGTGCTAGAATAAGAGCTCTGCCACTAAGCTATACCCCCAGCCCTACTTTGTTTATTATGTCTGTTTTGTGGTACTGAGATTGAACCCAGGGAGCATGGAGTGATATCCTCAGTCGTTTTTTGTTTGCTTAAATTTCAAGCTAGCATCTTGCTAAACTCTCCAAGTTAGGCTCAGACTGTAACACTCCTGCCTCAGCCTTCTAAGTAGCTGACATTACCACTGTGCCTAGCCTGCCCTAGTTTTTTTCTATTTATTCTTTATGCTGACCCTATTTCCCATTCTCTGGTTCAAGGTGTTACACTCTTCCGTGGCATGTAAGCCAAACTAAGTGTTGCCTGCTTCCTCACTGACCACAGAGAAGTCTGGTAAGCCTTCCAGGGCAAAAATAACTTTCTCTTTTTTTGAAACAAGACCTTGCTATGCAGTTCAGGTTGGCATCTAACTCATGGTGACCCTCCTGTCTCAGCCTCCTGAGTGCTGGGACTATAGATATGCACCACCATGCTCGGCTAAAAATGGCATTTTCTGAATAGCTTCCGGGTCAGATCCAACCCAACCATTCCGGCCTCACCGACTCCTCACACCCACCTGGTATTTACACCATTCCTGAAGCTCCTAACCCTTCTGCTTCTACTTCTGGGTACTGACAAGCATCAAGCCTTCTTGGTTCTTAAGAGATCTCTAGGCTCATCAGGGAAACAGCATTGAGCCGAAGGCCAGCAGTCCCAGTTGGCCCAGATGTCCAGGTGGTTCTGAGCCTAGTGTCTGCAATCCTGCCTAACCCTGAATTTAATCTTAATGGCCCAAGCATTCTATCTTCCAGCCAACCTGCAGTTTACCTGAATGCCTCTAAAATGTTACAAGGGCACATAAACTTAGATTACAAAATTATACTTAAAGAGTTTAACTCAAGTATGTACACATAAAGATGAAAGAGCTGGGTGTGGTGGCGCACCCTGTAATCCCAGCACGGGAGGCTGAGGCAGGAGGACTGTTTCAAGTTTGAGACCATCCTGGGCTACAAAGTGAGCTCAAGGCCAGCCTGAAGTGCATAGCGAGACCCTGTCTCAAACAGACAAAAAAAAGAAGAAAAAAGAAATAGGAGACACGTAAACAAACCCACCCATTCAAGCAGCCCAGGAAAAGCAAGCCCAACCACCAGTCTCTAGAGACCAAAGCATCCCATAATTGCAGAGCAGGACTGTTCCGTGGTGTCGATAGCCCGTGTGGCTAGTATGTAATGTAAATTCTCAGACTACAGATACACTGATAGTAGCTTCCTGGGGAGTCATTTCCAGAGAAGAAAGTAGAAAGAATGTTTAATCAGAACCTGTCTTATTCCTGGTACCGGAGAAAAAAACAAAAAACAAAAACAAAAAAAGAAAAAACAGAACCTATCTTAATTTCCTTGTGCAGACCCGGCACAAACATCCTGCAAGATTTTTACAGGAGTGCTAACAGAGGGAGCAGTGTTCTATGGGTTACGCATGCAATCCGTGCTTGCTCAATGCACTGCGGCACCTGGGCTCTGGCTGGCTGGACTGCTGTCCACTGTTCCTTTCCGATAGGTGGACCTCTAGTTTTGGCTACTTTTAATGAGTTAAGACTGGAGGCAATTCAGCCTGTCCTCACACTTCTGCTAACTGGGTCATCTTTTGGCTTCTGCCTGATAGGGAGCTGTGGGTAAGGAAAGTCTTAGCAGTTCTACTGTCTGCGTGCCCAAGCCAGCCTTGGACCCTAAACAATGGGTCCTCATCTCAGTTTTATCCCTTGGGACAGCCAGCAACTCTCTTCCTGCACACGGTATGAGTGCTGACCAACTGGCAAGTTTTCTCCCACCCAGACAAGGAGCCCTAACATCCCTTCGCCGCGTCTTACCCTGCAGTCTTCCTTGGGAGGCTGGTTCTCCAGTTTATCCCTCAGACTGAATAATCTGCATAGTGACTGTGAAACCATTTCCGAACACTACTACATGAACACACCCAACTGCCTTCTCAGTTCTGGGTCATGAGTATGTGGTTCTTACTCACCTGTGTGTACACATACACACTCCTATTTTTTTGAGACAGGGTCTTGCTATAGTTTAGTTTGGTCTTGAACTCAATGATAGCTCAAACTGGTGGCAAACCTGCAAAGATCCTTCTACCTCAGCCTCCTGAGTGGTGGGATTACAGGCATGTGGCCATATGCCCAGTTTACATTTATACTTGCCACGTGAAATCTTATTTTCCCAAGTAAATGTGTTGGTTAATTCTCCAAGTCTTGTGTCATTCGCAAATCTTCATTTTTTCACTAAGTTGTACAGGCTGGGCTTGAACGTGCAATCTTCCTGCCTCAGCCTCCCAGAGTGCTGGAAACACAGGCTTGTGTCACACCTTGCTGCTTTCATTTGACACTGAGAATGTGTAGAATGAATCATGTGAACGCTAGCACTTCCTCCCCAGGTGGTGATTATAACTCAGACTTCTTTGTTGGCTTAATCAGCAACCAATCCATGGAACAAGGATTAGAGGCTGTCAGCCGCTATGATGAAATCAATATGCCCAATTGCATTTTCCTGATACATCAGCCTTATCAAAAGGTGAAATGATGCAGGCACAGCTTGAGCTGACTAAATCTGATAATCAAATTTTTTTTTGAGGGGAAAGCGCTTCAAATTTCATTATTTTAGCCAAATATGACTAAAAATAGTTATCTGACTGTATTAAATCACCAAATCGGGGTTATTATGCTAGACTCAGATCAAATTCATCTTCATGAGAGGACCAGGAATTTTCCGCCACTTCACAACCTAGTGAACACGTAAGAAGAACGACCCAAGGTCCCGACAGGGTGGCTCGGTTCCCCAACGTGGAACTTCTCTGTTCCATGGTGGGGAGGGTGCCCGCGACCGCTGGTCTGCACTTGCAGCAGAACACTTAATACACCAATGCTTCATTAGAAAGAGGCTTTGTGTGAGATGATTCTGCTCAGCTGCAGGCTAATGCAAGGTTCTGAATGCATTTTGGGTAATGGGCTAAGCTATGATGTCTGATGGGTTACTGCAATAAGTGCATTTTTCACTTACAATGGGCTTATTGCAATATAAGCCCAATTCTTTAGACTTGAGGTAGCTGGAGAATTTACCTCGGAGGAACAGAAAGGAAGTGTCAGCTCCAGGCAGAGGTTTGTGTTATTGTAAAAAATGCTATGACAATGCACTGTTATGCCAAAGATACGCACAAATAGAGGGAAGTGCTGTATTAATTCACGCTAGCAGTTCTTGAGGTAAATGAGGCACTACAGGTGAACTATTTTCATGTCTCAGCAATACAATTAATAAACTATCAATGACTTTCCATTTATTAATCTTCCGACTCTACAGACTTAATTCTACTTTCACTTCCATCACACCTGCATATGGTTTCACCAGTGGATAAACTTCCTCTTCCAGGAATCTCTGTACCTGCCAAAGAGGAAAGCAAATGGGAGACAAAGGAAAACGGCAAAGGTGATGGCTTTTCTTTCTTTTTTATTTTTTTGGTCTTTTTTGAGACAGGATCTCACTATGCAGTTCAGGCTGGCCTTGAGCTCATTTTGTAACCCAGGCTGGTCTTGAACTCACAACGATTCTCCTGCCTCAGCCTCCCGAGTGCTGGGATTACAGGCGTGCGCCACCACGCCCGGTGGTGATGGCTTTTCAATGTCACCAAGACCTACTTGACAGTTTTACTCCGCCACTGGCATCTACGCTCTTCAACTGTCAGTCGGAAACCTCTGCCTGGCCCCCCTCACCCCCCAGATGCACAGAGGCCCAGCAGCCCATGCCCTGTGTCGGTTCCTCCATCTCCACCCAGTCACCAAGAAATCATCTTCCCGTCCCCAGCCCACCACCCAGCCACCAAGTGGTCAACGTTCTCTCCCTCTCTCCCCTGGTCTGTGTCTGCAACCACTACCTCAACTCAAGCCCTCTTCACTTACTGCTTGGTGAGTGATACCCCCGCCCCCGGCACTTTGTGAAGGTACTAGGGATTGAATCCAGGGCCTCTGCACTGAGCTACATCCCCAGCCCTTTTTAAAGTTTTGAAACAGGGTCTTGCTAAGCTGCTGTGTTGACCAGGCTGGACTGGAACTTGTGATCCTCCTGTCTCAGCCTCCTAGAACACATACTGAAAACATTATGTACTCAGTTAAAATTTTTTAAATTCTTCCATTTTTTTTCAAAAGGCTAAGAGAAAATACAAGCCTTATGAGCAACTACCATGCAACCCCACTGTGAGATAAAGTTTTGAGAAAGTCAGGGTGGAAATACTTAAGGCAACTCAAAACTGCCAAACCTTTACATTATAGGCCAGCAACCTACCCTGATATCTAACCAGCCCCGTTTCATACCTCCTGTAAGAGACATCAGGGATAGTACCCCAGTTCTGCAACCCAGCAGGACAGAAAAAGGCCCTAGGGAGACTTTTTATTTTTTATTTTTTTGGTTTTTCTCCGGTACCGGGAACCGAACTCACGACCTTGCGCTTGCCAGGCAGGCGCTTTTGCCGCTGAGCTAAATCCCCAGCCCCGGGAGACTTTTTAGAAGCACCCAGGGCTGCTCACCTGCTGGGACGCCCGGCCCGTGAAGGAAGAAGGATCCAGCAAGTGCTCCAGCTGGGAGTGAATGGGACTGAAGTAGGCATCGGCCTGGATCCGCTCTATGAGGTCATTGTCGCCCCCTTCCTGCTTAACCACAGCAGCTGCCTGCTGGGAAAGCACTCTGATTTTCTCATGGCAATCCTGGGAAGGGTGAGGGAGAGTCAGGTCCCGGCCGACAGGATGCCGAACTCTGCTGGAAGTCAGTAGACAGCACGCAGTGAAAAGCCCTCTGGGCGGAGGAGGGCCACTTCAGTCTGACTCCACCAGGATCTCAACTCTCACCTCACCGTGGAGGACCCTGAGGTGGTCACTGCCCTTCTCAAAAGCCTCGTGCACCATTTGCTCTTACTTCCCGCTGGATTTCCAAACTGATCCCTTCACTAAGAGTGGACTTTTTCTAACTGATTATGTGGTTCATTTCTAATGAAGATGGCAGAATACGGTCACTGGCCCATGGCAATATCAGGACTGAGGGTAATGAAAGAAATGCCTCCCCTTTCCAATTCCTCCCAGGGCGGTGGGGTGCACGCGCATGTGTGTGTGTGTGTGTGTGTGTGTGTGTGTGTGTGTGTGTGTGTACTCGTATCAGAAGCTACACACCTGGCGGCTACCCCCAGCTTTGACCATGGCCATGATGATATTCTCTGTGGCCATGAAAGGCAGCTCCTGCCGAATGCGCCGTTCAATGACCTAGAAGAAAAGAAAAAGACGAAGGCCAACAGATGCCTCAAGGTTACGAAGTCACAGACACACAGGATACCAACTATGTCCAGTTCAAGTGCACAGCAGGGACGTGAGGCACCATTATTTATGGAGACAGAGAGGGTACTGAGTTGTTTTATTTTATGCTGTACTTCTGTTTTCTTATAAATCCGGAGATTTACCCTGATTTTAAAAAGAGGAACGCTAGTTTGAGGAAACTTTTGGAAGCTGCTCCTAAAGAACAATTCCTAAACCCTAAACTCCTAAAATGTGTTAAATTTTGGCTCCAAGCCCCAAGACCTGAGTGTGAGATGGAAATGCACCTGCCTGCTGGTCACAGGCTGGCGGACAGGGGAAGGCCATGCGAAGTATTTTCTCTTGTTCTACAGCTGTACCTGTGATTCACACAGAGCCTGTTCCCTAGGATCTAGGTCACGGGGTCCTGGATGAGCCCCAAGGGGGAAGAACTCCCCAGGCCAGAATCCAGACCCGACACCCTCAGTTCAGAACACACCCCTTCCCGTGGCTCAACTCCTCCCAGCACTGTACTTCAGATCCAGCTCTCTTACTTTGGGGTACACCACCAGTCCTTCAGAAATGTTCTGCAGCGTATTCAGTATGGTATCTGCAGTGAGAAATGCCTCGGCCAAGCAGATACGCCTACAAAACAAACAGCCACCTGATTAGCTCTTTAAACAAACCATGACTTCAGAGACCCACAGGGTGCAGCCAGAGAAGCTCCCCTACTGACTTCTGTCATTGAACACTCCTTCGCTTTCACACCGCCTCATCCACTCTGACGTCCTTGTGAGCTTCTGATCTTTAGCGTGGCCAGTCCAGGCCCCCGGCCCACGGCCAGAGCTCGGCTAACCCAGCTGCTGCAGACTCCCACCAACCTCAGCCCCTACTGCTCTCCACTTCCTGCCACAGACCTGCTCTCCCTAACTCTTCTGAGTCCCTAACCTGAGGACGGATTCTCCCAGCTGTTGCCAGGTTGACGTTTTTTTGCTTTTTGCAGTACTGGTGATGGAACCCAGGGCCTGGAGCATGCTAAGCAAGCACTCCACTGCTGAGCAACTCAGCCTTTTTTCACTTATCATTTTGCCCCAGTGGCTTTGCTTTATTTTTTTGAGATAGGGTATTGCTGGGATTATAAGTGTGTGTCACCACCAGCAGTTGCCAGAGCGATTGACCAGGCAAACAGATTAGGCCACACCCTCCTAAGACACAGTTGGCTCAGATCCTGAGGGTTTGGCATCCACAGATTCAACCAAGTGTGGATGTAAAATATTTGAGAAAAAATTTACATCAGTAGTGAACATACATATTATTTTCTTGTCCCCTAAAGATGGTATCACAATTATTTACAATACATAACACTCATTGTATTAGGTATTGCAAACTATATGGGAGGGCCAGTTGTGCTGGCACACACCAGTAATTCCAACACTCAGGAGGCTGAGACAGGAGGATCACTGTGAGTTCGAGGCCATCCTGGGCTACATAGTGAGTGCAAAGCCAGCCTGAACTACATAGTGAGCCTGTCTCAAAAAAGAAAGTATACAGGAGGACCTATGTACATTGTGTGGAAATATTATACCATGTCACATAAAGGGTGAAACACCACAGATTTTGGTTTTTGTGATGGTGGGGGTTTCCCTCAAATACCAAAGGATGACTGAACTCAATGGCTGACTTCTGTTTTTTTTGTTTTTTTTTTTTTTGTTTTTTCTCCGGTACCGGGAATCGAACTCACGACCTTGCGCTTGCCAGGCAGGCGCTGTGCCGCTGAGCTAAATCCCCAGCCCAATGGCTGGCTTCTGAATGAGGATGTTTAACTCCACATCCTTTTCCACTCAGAAAACCCTAGTACAAGGCAAGCAAACTAGAGCAGTATGAACCTGCTCTAGATGAGCAGACATAAAGCAGAAAACCATGCATGTGCTGCGACATATGTGTGTAGTGACAATTTCCTCTGACCCACCTTGTGACTCAGCAGGACAGCACAGCTACTGTCTGGCTGCCTGCGGTGTAGCACCAGGGCCTGTGAGGCCCCCACTAGCTGGCCGCATCGCGATCAAGTCCTGCCTTCCTTCCTGCCACCCTTCGGCTTCATTCCTCCGCACTTCCCAGCTGTCAGTAACTCCCTCAGCCGTTCTTTCTCCTCTGCTGTCCTTAAATGACTGACACGTTCCCCAGTTCCTTTAACACTGTTCTTTGCTCCCAGAGATGCACTGAATACATCATAGCACTACCACCACACTGTTCTTTCTTCTTTGGGATAAGGTCACCTGTTACTCAAGCTGACTTCAAATCCCTAAGCAATTCTCCTGCCTCAGCCTCCTGAATGGCTGGGACAATAGGCACACAGCACCAAGCCCAGCTCACAGTTTCCTCTGTTGTTTTGTATTTCTGCAGTACTGGGGTTTGAACCCCATGCCTTTCTCATGGTAGGCAAGTGCTTTAATCCCTGAGCTACACCCCCAGCTCCTGTTCTTTGTTCTGGCCTCCTTGCTGGACTCGGGAGATACAACACATAGATGCTCGAATGTGTCCTGCCTCCAGCACCTCCTCTGGTCCCAACACTGTATGTAACACCCCCGCGTCCACTCACCGGTTGGCACTGTCATCCAGCGTGCGTTCAAACCACTGCACGGATGCTGTCTGCAGCGGGTCCATGACAAGGCCCATGAGGTGACGGGCGAGGCTGCAGCACCGTTCTGAGCGCATGGGGTTCCGCTTGTACGGCATCGCACTGGAGCCTGCCCACGCGAGGGGACAAGAGCCAAAGGCAGGAAGACCTCAGGGGGCAGCAGGTGCACAAGCAGCGTGTGGCACCAGGCGAGCTCTTAGCACAAGTCCACACACTGCTCCAGCAGCGCCGGGTGCTCCTGGGTCTCCAGCTATACTCACCAATCTGCTGTTTCTCAAAGGGCTCCTCCACCTCCTTGAGGTTTGCCAGCAGGCGGATGTCAGTGCAGATCTGGGGGAAGCAGGGGAATGGGCGTCAGTGGAGAGCTGGGAGCAGGGCCGATGCTGGCAGAGCAGAGGCGATCTCTGCTGTTGTTCAGCTGTCACTGAGCTGAGGATGCATCAGCCTGTCCTGTCCAAAAGCTCCTGGGGTGCATCTTACCCAGGATGCCCCTTGCTCAAGAGCTGGAGGACGAACACTGGAGCACTGACACACTTCTGAGAAGCACTGCTTAGGACCTCAGGGAATGACAATGGCAAGATTAATTTTTTTTTTTTTAATGCAGTTCAGGCTGGCCTTAAGCACACTTTGTAGCCCAGGTTGGTCTCAAACTCACAACAATCCTCCTACCTCAGCTTCCCGAGGGTTAGGAATACAGGTGTGTTCCACGACGCCCGGCTTGGCAAGATTAATTGTACCCATCAGTAAAATTGGCATTTCCTATTCTTACAGTAATTTTTTTGTTTTTTGAGACAGTGTCTCGCTGTGTAGTTCAGGCTAGTCTTGAACTGACTATGTAGCCCAGGCTGGCCTTGGACTTGGGGTGATCCTCTTGCCTCATCTGCGTGCTGGGACTATAGGTGTGCACCATCATGCCAGGCCCTTCAAGTAACTTTAAGGAGAATGCTGCAACAAGTCTTCCCTTTGACAAACCTCAATTTAAGGGCTCCATTTACAGGCCCCAAACTGTTAGAACTGGGGCAGGACTGAGAGACAGGACTGGGACTGTCTGCTCTGGTGACCAAAGCTCCCACGACAGCTGCCCTCACCTTATGCACTGACGCCCCCAAGCTCGCCAGTACAGACAGCACCTCGATGTCCACCTTCCGTGTGTACGTCTGTCCTGTGATGATGAAGGCCCTGGAAATGAACAGAAAAGAGACTTATGTTAAAATGTCAAAATGCAGCCGTCAACGCTCATTCACTCCTGGAACCAACTGTTGTTATGTCCTTTTTTCTACTCCTCAGGAAGCTTTTCTGACCTGAGGAGGGAAGATGGTGGTGTGTGCCCATGTCCTGCCACAGCTCAATGTAAACCGCCTGGTAGAAGCTATGGAAGAGCCTGTAGACCTCAGAGGAAATGGTCAGATTCAGACTAACCCACTGCAGGCCACATGGGTAAACAGCCACACTGGTAAGGCAGTTCTAAAGACAGCAGTAAGTAGCTTCCTTTTTCAATATGTTGTAAGAAAACAGAATCTAGGGCTGATGGCAGCTCAGGGATAAAATAATAATAGAAGAAAATCTAGCTGGGCATGGTGGCGTGTGCCTCAGATCCCCAGGACTTAGAAAGCTGAGGCAGGAGGATTGTGTGTTCAAGGCCATCCTAGACTACATACCAAGATCCAGTCTCACAAAAATGAAACAAACAAAAAAACCCAAACAAACAAAAAACTAGATTCTAGACCTTAAGAAAATAAAAACCAGGCCAGAGATGGAAGGAAATGGATAGAACAAAGGAAAAATTATGGTCAAATCTAGAGGCACACTGAACACAGGCCTGTCATCACCTTAACCAGGAGGCCAACTCTTTCCTCAGGTACCTACCTCTTAAATCCTGCCTTTTCTGTCACCATCCTGTCCAGCTTCTCCACCTGGGGGGGAATAGACACATTCCTACAGAATCCTAGGTCTCTGGCAGGACAGGCTCTCAACCGTCATCCTGCCCAGCCCCCAGCTCTCTGACCTCCTTCCAGCCCCAATACCTGGAGCCTCATTTCTTGGGCAGCCACCACGGAGTCTGCGCTCCTCCCCCCATACCTTATCGTGATCGCCCTCGAACAGCTGCAGGAAGCTGGCCTGAGTGCCTGTGGTGCCCTTCACTCCCCGGAAGCGCAGGTCGTCACGGACGCGTGTCAAGTTTTGGAGATCTATACAAAGATCTTGAATCCAAAGGCAGGAACGTTTCCCAACTGTGGTCAGCTGAGCAGGCCTGAAAACAACCCAAAGGGAAGACACACAGTGTCAAGTCAAGGCCCAGCTTCAGAAAGGCTTCATTCCTTCTTCTAATAGCCAGTATCACCCCTTAAAGGGGACTAATAAAAGAACAAAATCTTAAAAGGCTTGAGCAAATAATAATTAAGGAGGATCAATGTCATTTATAAATATGCCAAGATTATAAAACACAAGGGCTACCACCATAGTTTTTTCTGTCTTTTTAAAAATATTTTCTTGGGTAACAGGAATCGAACTCTGGACCTCACGCTTGCCAGGCAAGCGCTGCACCGCTGAGCTATTTCCCCAGCCCTAGTTGTTTCTTCATAACGAGAAATTTTAATACAAGGGCAGGGGTAATGCCCTCTTGTTCATGCCTATCTTCCTGGACACTGGCAGGAAATACATCAGACACTCACGTAACAGAGGGTGTTCTTGGTTCTGGAAATATAATAGAGAACAGAACAGAAAGGCCCCTGTCCAGTGGAACTTATGCTGTGGTGGAAGTGAGTAAACAAAACAAGGTAACTGCTGACACTTTAGGTGCTAAAAATGAAGGTACTGGACAAGGCTGCTCTAGGGTGGCCATGGAGAAGACCCCAAGAACACATAACCAAAGGATGCTAACAGCTTTGTTTCTGAACTCTATAATCAAATACACTGAGGTCTGTTTCTGGACACAGAACACAGTAATGAATGAGCTATAATGTCCCAGTTCTAATAGCTAGTGCAGGCCACTACAGGCTGAATTTCTTTCCTTTTAGACTCATGATATGGACAGGTGATAACACCAAGACACAATCACATGCTGCAGTATACCCCTAAGTTAGTCTCATGGCAATTCTTCTTAAACCCTGCCAATAGATTACTATTATGAACAAAGAAAGACATTTCATGCATTTTTTCAGAGTAGCATTATTCATAATAGCCACAAGCTGGAAACACAAATGTCCACAACTGATGAATAAGTAAGCAAAATACTGTACGGTATATCCACACGGTGGAATATTATTCAGCCATGAAAAGAGGTGAAGTTCTGGCACACGCTTTGTGGGTGAATAATGAAAGTACTGAGCTAAGTGAAAGCCAGGCACAAAAGGTTACACACTACATTTCCTTTATATAAATCCATAGAGACACAAACAGGTCAGTGGTTGCCAGGAACTAGGCCATAAAGTTGTAGGAGTGATGTGAACAAGTACAGTGTTTCCTCTGAGGGTGATGGAAATATTCTGAAATTAGTGGTAATAACTGCAACACCCTGTGAATACACTGAATATACTACAAGCTAAGGAACTGTAAACTTTAAAAGGGCCAATTTCATGGTCCATGAATTATATCCTTTTTATAAATATTTATCTATAGTATATATTTATTTATATTATATATATATATATATTTTTGACAGGGTCTCATTAGGTAGCTCAGGCTGGGCTTGAAATCACTATAGAACCCTGGCTGGGCCTGAATTTGCAGTGATCCTCCTGTCTCAGCCTCTTCCATGTCACCACTCCTGTTTTGTGTTTTAAATGCATGGGCTGACACACTGAGGTGATACTCAAACACCAGCGCCCAGGAACACTGGAAAGCCTCTGGATCCCCTGAGCACCCCTCTCCCTCAGGAGGGGCAAGGACGATGGTGCGCAGTGTGTGTGGGGTCAGCAGGGAAAGCAAAAGCTATCACGAGTCAAGCCACACATCACGCACCAACTCCTTCACACAACTTCTTCACAAGTTACCCATAAATATCAGGCCTCATTTGGGGTGTAGTTAAGTGGTACAGTGCGCGTCTAAGTTCTATCTCCAGCACTGGAAAAAAAAGCCAGTCCTAACTTCAAGGAAGATTAAGTGCAATAGGCTTTCATCAATGATGAGATGATGACATCTCATCAAAACACAAGGCAGGGCAGGAGGGAGCCCCGGGCCACAGTGCATGCCTGGCATGCTCACGGCCCTGGGTGTGATGCCCAGCACTGAAAAGTAAACAAGAAGTAGATGCTAGGACACCACTATTCAACATCAGTACCTGTCACTGGCATTCCAAAGATGACATTTTTAGTTTTTAAAAGGGCTTTATTCAGTAACTATGAAAACATGTATATACTTTAAAAAACAAAAATTAGAAAAAAACTTCTCTATGATATCATAAATCAGAATAATCAGTATTTATTGTCAGCTGGCCATGGTGATGCACGTCTGTAATACTGGCACTTGGGAGGCTGAGGCCGGAGCATTACTAGGAGCTGGAGGACAGCCTGGGTTACATGGTTAAGTTCAAAGCCAGCATGAGCTATATAATGAGACCCTGTCTCCAAAAAAACACAAAAAACAAAACAAATAGTTTTATAAGCATCTTTGTAATGGTTCCATATTATTCCAGCCTGTTGTTGTACTATACCTTATTTAGTTTTTTAGTCTGTCATTTGGATTCCAATGCTTATAATAAAAAAGTATTATAATAAAGATCTTTTGCATGAGGCTTTTCCCATAATTTTGAGTCCAGATTCTTAAGAAGAGAATTACTAAGTTAAGGAGTATGAAAATGCTAAGGCTTTTGATAAATTTTTTCCAAATGAGCTGGGCATGGTAGCACATGCCTATAATCCCAGCATTTGGGCGGCTGAGGCAGATCATTCTGAGTTTGAGACCAGGTTAAGTTCAAGGCCACCCTGGACTGCACAGTGAAACTATGTCTCAAAGATAAAAAAGAAAAAACAAATGAACTGTTAGATTTACTTTCTCTTTTTTTTCTTTTTCTTTTTTTTTTTGGTCTTTTTTTGAGACAGGGTCTTGCTATGCAGTTCAGGCTGGCCTGGAGCTCACTTTGTAGCCCAGGCTGGCCTTGAACTCGCAGTGATCTTCCTCAGGCCTCAGTCTCCTGTGTGCTGGGATTACAGGTGTACAACACCATGCCTGGCTTCTAAGCTTACTGCTCACCAGCCTCTCACATTATCTACGTGAGTTATGCTTTGAGATTCACTCTTTTAATTGAAAGCCTTAAGCATGTACGTTGGTCTACTTCCCAAGACATAATCTTGTTACTTACTGGAAATGTGTGAAACCTAAGGTAGGCAGGTTGGCGTGTTCCTTAGCAAAGTCAGCAAGCCGAGAGATCACTCTAGCAAGCTACAAGAAAGACCGTGGGGTGGAGAGAGAGTGAATTCACGGTGAGTTCATTCTGTAACCAGGAACTAAACCTCGAGACAGACTTACATATGGCAGACCTCCAGCTCCTGGGGGTGCGTGCCCCCATCTTCTCATCTTTGTAGCCTGCTCTGCTCTCATCAGGTTTTACAACAACTTGCATTTGAAAGCTGAACTGACTACCTCAAAAGCCACAAACTATTGTAAGACTACTGCAGAAAAACAGAACAAAATCGTAATTCATTTTTTAAAAATTTATTTTTTTATTGGTACACGTTTGCAGTACACATATTTATGGTGGGCAATTGGTGCCTGTATATAACACATCTTGATTCTTTTTTTACCCCCCATCCTTCCCCGCCCTCTCTGCTCCCTCCAACTTTCAGTCCCCTTGCCATTTGCAAACGCTCTGTTTCCATTTTTCCCTTCAGTTCCCTCACCGCCAAATCAATCCTAAGCCACATACCTAGCAATAAGCTTCTGGCTTCACTTTGTTCATTTAAAAGCCTGGATTTAAAAAATACTCACTTACACTGGTTTAACCTAAGAAGGGACAATTAGCTCTAAGGATCAGAGGGTCACCTGAGAAAATGATAATCTACAGAGACACTGTGTTGATTGCTTGTAATTGAAGCCCATCTCCTATCACAGGGAATCTAGAGCTGCAAAGAAACTTCTGCCAATTTCTTACCTTTGGCAAAAGCAGGTCAAATGCGTTTCTAAGAATAATCAAGTCCTGCAAAGAAAAATGCAATGGTCTCACATTATTAGACAGCTTTGTCTAACACTTTATGTACTGCTCTTTAGGCATCTCGGCTGGGTTTTTCAGCTCGTAGCCTACCTCACCTTTACCAACCCGCTGTGTACGCCAGAAGGTGCTAACATAGGCTGTTCTGATTACTGTGTCAAAAGCAGCGTCGTACTCATGGAATCCATAAGAAACAACATTCACTCACTCATTTTTGTAGTATGGGGATCAAATCTAGGACCTCTGCACTGAGCTACAGCCCCAGCTTTTATTTTTGAACTTTTTTTGGTACCGGGAATGGAACTCAGGACCTTATGCTTGCCATGCAGGCACTTGTGCCACGAGCTACATCCCCGGCCCCTTTTAAAAGGGGATCTGACACGAAAGCTATTCAGCAGAAGGAGGGACTGAATGCAGTTATAAGAATTTCTTGGGAGGATGTAGTCTAAAACTAGAGTATGGTAAAGGTCAAACAACTGGCTTCATCTACCAAATTCAGTACCGCCTATCTGAAATGGGTAAGCTTTCTGCAATTTAAAAATTAATTGTTGAACAATGGAAATAACACCATCTTTTTTTTTGTTTTTTTGGTACTCGGGATCAAACTCAGGACCTTGCGCTTGGCAGGCAGGCGCTTGTGCCACTGAGCTATTTCCCTGGCCCTACTATCTATCTCTTATGGCAGTTGTTTTTTTTTGGTACCAGCAATCGAACTCATGACCTCGTGCTTACCAGACAAGTGCTTGTGCCACTGAGCTATATCCCTGGCCCAGCAGTTGTGAAGAATATATAAAATAGTATGTGTAAAGTACCCAGCACCTAGTAAACTCTTATGGAAATGCTTGCTACTTTTGAAGTGCTTATAAGACAATTTTGCTAGGCAAAGGTTTTGTCTGACAATTTTAATGCAATCCTTCTTTTCAGAAGCCATAGCAAAGTTTTAATGGCCTTTGGAAAGAAAACTTTGGGTTTTTTTTTTCTCTCCTTTACAGCAGTGGGGATTGAACCCAGGGCTTCACATGAGCTACATCCTCAGACCTTTCCTATTTTTTATTTTGAGACAGGGTCTCGCTAAGTTACCCAGGGTGGGTTTCAACCAGCAATCCTTCTGATTCAGCCTCCCAGGGTGCTGGGATTATGCATGTGTACCAACATGCCTGGCTAAATAAAAATAAAACGTATAAATGTATTATAAAGACTGAGCCCTCAATATGAGCACCAGAGGGTCCTACTGTATTGTCTCCAACATAGCAGGAGGTGGCACCCAGGTGGATGATGCCTGCAGCCTTTGGACAGCAGTGGCCAAACGTGTGCACGTGAGCCATCACGTCATGCCGTAATTTCTTCTCTTCTTCTGCGGCCATCTTGAAGTCGATGTTGTCCAGGTTGGATTTCATCTCTTGGATTTGTTCGTCTGTGATAGGCAAACCCAATGTCTGAAGAATAGGAAAAAATAAAACCAAACAACCTTGGTGTCACAATTATTTGATTTAAAGGGACATTGAGAAAAATATTAGCATTTATGCCCTACTGCCCAGTTCTTAAAATCTGCAGCAACCAAAATAAAAGTGTGTAAGGGGTGCTGTGGAAAAGAACTTTCTCAATGAATTATGATAAATTATATTCTATATAAACTCAAATACAGCAAAGCAATCCTGCCATCAACTATTCCTCCTGTCTCTGTACCCTTCCTTAGTTCACTCCTCTCATGTTCTAGTCCGTGGGCTCAGGTGTTGTTCACTCAGAAAGGCCTTCTGCGACATCCCTGTCAAATACTTTGTGTCACTATGTCCTTCAGCCTGGCTTTATAGAGTACATTTATCACCAAGTAACATTTTAACATAGTTTTTAGCCTATCCTTCCCCTCTGGAATGTATACTGCACCAGAGGAGAGCTTTGCTTGTTTTAAGACCAGTTCTCTTTCTGTTGCCTAGGCTGTTCCTGAACTCCAGGGCTCAAGGGATCTTCCTGCCTCAGCCTCTGGTGCGCTGGGAATACATGTGTGCACCACCACCACCACCTTGAGAATTGTTATTAGTAACTGCTTAATCCTTACAGATTGCCATGTAAGCATACAAAGTATAGCACTTTTATATTTGACCTACGTGGACTAATTTACTCAGAGAAGCCAAAATTCAGAATTTTGGCCTTGTGCAGCCATGCATGTCTGTAATCCCACCATTAGGAGGCAGATGCAAGAGGACAGAGAGCTCCAGGCCAGCCTGGGTTACATAGTGAGACTCTGTCTAAAGGGAAAAAAAAATTCTGTAAGGAGTTTTGCCAACAACAAATGTGTTGTAGCTGAAAGCAGTTATGGGAGATAGCCATGAGAAAAAAATTGTATCAACATCTTTTTGTTGTCTTTTTGAGACAGGGTCTTGCTATGCAGTTTAGGCTGGCCTTGAACTCACTTTGCAACCTAGGCTGGTCTCAAACTTGCAACGATCCTCCTCCTCAGCCCCCCAAGTGCTGGGATTACAGGAGTGTACCACCATGCCCAGCTATCAACATCTTAAAGACATCTATTACTAAAAAATTTAGGCTTTTTATTTGCTTTTTGAGACAGGGTCTTGCTATGTAGTTCAGGCTGGCCTTAAATTCTCAGCAATCCTCCTCCTTCAGCCTCCAAAGTGCTGGGGTTACAGGCATGTTCTACTGTGCCTGGCTCCAAAAAATTAGGTTTTCAAAAAGCAAACCAGACATGACAGTGTGTCCCTATAATCCCAGCTACTTGGGAGGTTGAGGAGAAGGATTATAAATTCAAACCTAGCCTGGGCAACCAGATGACTCAGTGAGGCCCTATTTCAAAATAATAAACAAAAAAAGGTTTGGAGATGTAGCTCAGTGGTTTCAGGACTCACGTAATAAAAGCAGCTGGCAGCCCACAACATCTACCTGGATTTCAAGGGCCAAACACATACAGTGGTGAAATGACTCAAGCCGTATTAGTTATATCTGTACTATCCAAGATGGTAGTAGCTACTAGCCAGATGTGGTACATGCCTGTAATACCAGTTACTTGGGAGACTGAGACAAGAGGATCACACGTTTGAAGCAAGCCTGGGTGACTTAGTGAGATCCTGTTGCAAAATAAGAAAAAAAAATTTCCTAGTCATGTTAGTACTCACATATGGCAGAAGCACCAGATGCTTCAGTTAGTAGATACGACACCTCAGGGCTTCTCCCAAAGCAGTCTGTGTATGTGGTTAGACTACCCTGTAACCAACCACACTGCTCCTTTCTCCAAAGTAGTCTATCTTCTTGAAATCCATACTTTGTCTACTTCTAACTTTATGCATTTCTCCTGCTTTCTTATTCTCAGCTTTTTCCCTCTCTCAATCAGTAAGTCATTATATAATTTACCTTGCTAAATTTGACCTAACAGATAATCAACAGGTAATCTAAATCCAAAACAGTCTGCATTTCAGGCAATGTCTAGGCCAGATGGACAACCCTACATTCAATTTCAGGTTGAAGCCATTCAGTGAGCCTGGTCAAGTGTTCCTGAGTGCTACTATCCTTATCTCTAGAATGGAGCATCGAAGAAACACAGTAGTACAATGCATAACTAAAGTCCTACTATCTACCACTAATAGCTGAGTCAATTTAATAAATCTCCCTATGCCTCCATTCTCTCATTTGTGAAATAGGTCCAGTAACAGTTTTACCCTATTGAGCTGTTTTAAAGATTAATGAGCTATTAGATGTAAAGTCTTTTAAAAACATTTTTACAGGGGAAAAAAAACACTCAAAAGTTTATTCATGCTCTAAGGTATGGGAATACTGACTCCTATGTAAATTATTTAAAAAGTGCCTGACCCCAATGACATCATAGATGACATCAACAACAGTGCAGTGGCATGCCCACCTAGACTATAACTTCAGCACCCTGGCAGGCTGAGGCAGGATGGATATTTCCAACCCAGCCTAGGCAACTTAGTGAGATCCTGTCTCAAAATAAAAAAGGGCTGGGGATGTAGCTCAGTGTGAAGGCCCTGGGTTCAACACCCCCCCACACACACACAATAAAACAGGGCCTGGGTCACAGAAGGTGCTATATAAATATCTGGAATTATCCTATCACTGGACGCTTGGAGCACAGTGACATGGGCTGGGCAGGGCATCTGGGATAAAAGTTCCATGTTATCAGGGTCCTAGGCACTACTCAGATCGTTTCCAGTTTTACTTTGCCATTTGCCAGCATGCTGCCACCTTGCTGGAGGTGGCACTTTCCCTCTGAAACGTGAGAAGAAATATCAGTGTTCTTTGGATCACCTTCAGTTTCCTTCCACTCTGGGAAGGCTCCTCTAGAGCTATTTCTAACACTGCTGGGCTGAGCAGTTGAATTTGTGGCCTTTGTAAGACAGAGTATAAACCCACCTAATAAATTGCCACCGGGACCCTTCCATCTCTGAGGCAAAATGCAGCTCTGTGAAGCTGAGAAAACACAAGATTCCAGTGATGATATAACTGCACTGCAAATGGAACTTTAAAAGCTAAGAGTTTTTTTTGTTTTGTTTTGTTTTAGAGATAAGCAACTTCTCCAAACTTTCTCCTGCTGAACACATAGCAACATCCCCTTCTCCCTTTAGCCCAAAAGAAGAGATAGGATATGCAGATGCCAGCCCCAGGAGGCTAGGAGTCTGCTGTGCTTTCCACAAGAGGATACGCTGAAGATGGCTGAAAACGACAAAGCCAGCATGGAGATTTGCATTATCTCTGTCTCTCCCACCCCACCACCAGAAAGACCCTTGTCCACCTGTAAAGGAGATGGTGATCTGAGGCAAAAGGACCCTTCATCTCCTTGGAGCTAGGTTTGAATACAGTAGATCCTCTTCTCATAAAATCAGAGTGTGCTTTCAATTACACAGGCCATGTTCTATCACAATAAAATTACTTTTTCCTAAGCCACAGGTAACTAAACCTTTTCTAGGGTTCCACAAAGTAGCACAAGCACTTTTATTTTTGAGGAGTTTATAACACACCATCAGTGTCTCTATCCTCTTTATTAATTTTTTTTTTTTTGAGACAGGGTCTTGCTATTTAGTTCGGGATGGCCTTGAGCTCACTTTGTAGCCCGGGCTGGCCTCGAACTCTCAATGATCCTTCTGCCTCAGCCTCCCGAGTGCTGGGATTACAGGCGTGTGCCACTACGCCCGGCTCTTTTTTTAATTTTTATTTTTCTATCCTCTTAAAAATCTCTTAATCTAAAATTTTTCTATTGATAAATGGTTCAAAAACTTTGAATTCTGCCGGGGCTGGTGCCGCATGCCTGTAATCCCAGCGCTTGGGAGACAGAGGCAGGAGGACGGCAGCGAGTTCATGGGCAGGCTGGACTACACAGTGAGCTCGCTAGCCTTAACTACGTAGCGAGACTGTGTCTCACAAATAAAAAACAATTACTCTGAACTCTATCCCAGCACACGAAGAATGACTTTAAACCCCAAACGCCTTCCATAATTCCAGATGGTACAGAAACCCTGCTGCCCATCCTACTATAAAAGTGGTTATAAGAAAAAGATTAAAGAAACAAAAGGAAGCGAAAGAAAACAACCTAACTTTTACAGTTCTATTTTGCAGTGCGGTTTCATTGTCGCTAACTTCACAGGCGCCGCAGAACTGGCTAAGCGCCGAGCTCAAGCGTGGGCGGAAGCCAGGTTCAAAGCCCAGCCCCGTCACAGCCTCGTTATCTGCGTGGGGCAAACCACGCGCGCGCTCTTCTGGCTGTTTTCCTCCCTGCAATGTGTGCGGACAGCACCGAGCCTGCAAAATCTGTACGGCACATAACGTGAGCTCAGCATTAGGGTCTGCAGTGCACTTTTGCAGCCATGGCCAACCTGAGTTGCCTGAAGCGACACACTGCATCTTGCCTCGCCTCGGGCCCTCTAGGACTAAAAAAAACGTGAGTGACAGGTGTGGGTCCTGGGCCACCTGCCCCGGCCTTGCCGTGGCCACAGCTCCTCAGGACACAGAACAACCGCCGAAAATAGCCTGGCCGCTGTGCCGTGGCCGCAAGCCCGGGCTCGGGGCCCCGCCTGGCACGTGCCGGGGCGCGCTCCCCTGGCCCGGCTCGACCCTCCGCCTGTGGGCTTGTTACCTGCTCAGCCTCCGCCAGCCACAGCCAGAGCTGCCGCCACGTCCGGAACTTGTTCCTGTCGCTAAACAGGAAGCACATTTCCGGGCTAGCATAGCGGGAGGCAAGGGGAGAACGGTAAGTGTCCAACAAGTAACGACTGTCTCCGCCAGCCATCCCTAACATGCGACCGCTACACAGCGGACAGGACAAACGAGAGCGGAAGCGGAAGCCTAGGTGCCTGGGGCGGGACTTCCTCCACTGGGGCGGGACTTCCCCGCTTGGTCCCGCCTCCAGGGAGTCCCCGCCAGAGCGCGGGAGGTTGCCGAGGGCTCGGTGGTGTGGGTTACCGTGTTCACTTCCTTTACCAGAAATGTGATTAGCAGTAAACAAAGGATGGGATGGGGTAGGGTAGGAGATAGGAGAGTGGGTTAGATAGAGATATGAGATAGGGAAGATAGAGGTAGATAAAGCGCCTTAGAAGCTACCAAAATCCCTCTGCTCCTGTTTTTCCATCTGTAACAGGCATATTAAGACCCGCCTTTTAAAATGGTTGGATAGATGCAATATTAGAGCGATTTCTGGTACACTTAAAAGGCCCAGTGTGTTGGCTGTTATTATTCAATTATATTGTCGTCTTCCCTCACCCCACTCCTACTGCCTGCCTGGTACCAGGCGCAATTCTGAGGAGAAATGAAGATGCCCAAAGGAATTTGGTATTTATTGCGTACCAAGTGAGTCCCTTAACGCCAAGCTGCACAGGAATGGATTTTAGCTAGCGCTTCTGGCTGAGGACAAGGAGAGGCACACAGCCAGAAAGCACAGCCCGATTTAAAACCCCCTTTATTTTTCGAGACAGGGTCTCGCTACCTACTTCAGGCTGGACTTGAACTCACTATGTAGCCCAGAATGGTCTTGAACTCGCAGCAGTCCTCCTGCCTCAGCTTCCTGAGTACAGGAATTACAGGTGTGTCACCACTTCCGACTAAAACCCACTTTAGAAGCATCACACCCCAAATCTGTGTCATACTACCCTACCTCCTGTCTGGAATACTTTTCTTGCTAACTTCTACCTAACACCCAGTCCAGAAAATATCCCCTGATAGTCCCATCTCTGCTTGGCCAATAATAATGAAAATCAGTATCATTTTGGGGAGATCTTCCTAGGTACCAGGCACTGGCCTATGTGCTTTATACAGGTGAACTCATCTAATCTAAGAATCCTAGCTTGTTCGGTGTTATTAAATGAGGGGATACAAGTGAAAGTTTTGGTACAGAGTAAGTGCTCAATAAATGCTACCCCATTATGGTCCCCAATATATAGATGATGAAAGCAGGGGAAGACTGTTCCCACTCCATCCCACCCTGCTTTTGGAGAAAGAACCTAGGGCCTTCACATTGAGCTACATCCCCAGCCCTTACTTAGACAGGGTCTTGCTAAGCTAAGCAGCCAAGACTGCTGGAATCACAGGCATTTGGTATCACCCCCAGCAAACTGTATTTAGATTGCTCTTGTAGAAAGGGAGAAGATCCACACCTGGTTCTGAATAGCTCCAAATCCATCCTTACCTGTGTGCTGCAGCATCCATACTGTGTTTTTTTTTGGAAACAGGGCCTCACTCTGCAGTTCAGGTCGGCCTTGAACTCACTATGTAGCCCAAGCTGCTCTCGAACTCACAGCAATCCTTGTGCCTCAGCCTCCTGAGAGCTGGGATTACAGGCGTGCACCATGTGCTGTTTTGAACCTACCTGTTGAGCTCCTCAGTAAAACGAGACCTCCCAGGTTCCACTTCGAACTCCCAGCTTTGCTGAGGTGAACTTCCCTTTCCCAATAATCAAAGTATTTCAGGAACGTTAAAAGTTACTGATTAGATCTTAAGACTTCCTGCTGTCTCCTTTGGCAATCCTTACTGTCACCTCTGTTTCTGCTTTCATTCAGATTCACTCAGAAACACATGGACGATGCTGCAGTGTCGTCCCTTCCCACTTCCTTAGATGTTGAGTGACCTCCTGGCTTCGTATAGGTAAAACTTTCCCCAGAGTTGTGCTGGTTGCTTTCCCCATTGATGGCAAACTTGAAAGAGGCAGAAATCATGTCTGTCTTGGTCACCTGTGTTAGCCAGTGCCAGATGTACCATGGTATACTGCCCTGATGGGGTCTAGCCTAGCAAGAGGAGTAGGCCCACAAGAGTGACGTTAGGTCCTGGCACTGCTTGCCCCTTCCCTCATCCTGTCATACCTCTTCATTCCATTTCCAGCTTCCAGATTTAGCAATCAGAACTTGGACCAAAGTGCCAGTTCTAGAATACCTTGACTATCAGAGAAGCCTACCAATTACCTGGGCTCATTACTGAGATGTGCTTTGTTTTGAACCCTGGGCCCTTTGCAGTAAGCTCCATTCCCAGCCCTTTTCCATTTCTAGATCGTCTTGCTAAATGCTCAGTTGCTCAGGCTGGCCTTGAACCTGTAATCCGCTAGCCTCAGCCTCCCTAAGCGCTAGGTTTATAGGTGTGCACCACATGCCCAGCTCCATATTGCTCTTTCTCGGTCTTCTTTTCCTACCTTGCTTCCTCTTACCCTCACAAAAGAAAAGTGCTGGGCCTTTTCCTGAGATTTAGCCTTCCCTCCCCGGGGAAACTCCTTGCACAACTGTAAAACTTACCTTCTAAGTCCACAGTTCCTCCAAAGTGGTTATGTTGTTCTGCAGGGCTGGGGATGGTCACCATGCCTCGTGCACGCCAGGCAAGTCCATGAAGTGTCGGTCCTTGGTCTTCAAACTGCTACCCGCACACTTCCACCTGGGTGTCATTATCACCAAGGGCAACATCTCTCAACTGGAGTTTTACTTTGTTCTCTCTGGTGACTGAACTCAATGAACAAGTCTTTTGTTTGTTTTTTAAAATATCTATCCATTTTTATTTGTAGCTTTTAAAAACCTCTAATTTCTTAACTAGTTCTTGATGTAAACAATCTGTTCTTAGATCGTCCCTTCACCATGTACACATTCAAGGGCCAGGGCTTGTATGAGGCAATGGAATACAATGAGGTTGTAGTAGAAAAGATAAGGGTGAGAGCAGAGGGAGGTGAACTTGTGGGAGTGACATTGGAGATATAAATTTAGGGGTCATTAGCATATAGATGGCTAATTAGAGCCATGAACATTTTAGGCCTTGTGTGATGTTTAATGATGAATTCCGCCCTTTTTTTGGTGTTACTTTACTCCAGTGAGGGAGATGGATTAGGGAGAAATAAACAAACAATAGTTTTAAAGAGTGGTAAGTTCTGTAGCTTAGGATGGGTTGTGGGTAGTGACAGCTTTTTGAGAGGATGACCAGGGAAGGTCTCACATTTTGTCAGAGACCAGGCCAAAGTGCAGGGGACAGAGCATGCCAGGCAGGGGAAACAAGTGCAACGGCCTTGAGGTGGGCATGAGTTTGGTGTCAGAAAGGAAACGAAGGGCGCCTGGGTAAGCTGCGTTCAGGGGGCTTGAAGGGAATGACAGCAGCTTGTGTGGGATTTGTGGACATTGGTGTGGAGTTTGCATTTTAGGTGTTAATAGAAACGTGGGTATGCACAAATTATGCAAATTAGGGCCAGATACAAGTCCTGGGAGCTGCACAGGGAACAGGGACAAGGGCGAAGGGTCAGGAAGCTGCTGTGGGGCTTGGATGAGCATAGAGAGGTGGGATCCAAACTGGTGTCAGTTTGTGGATGCACACGTAGTGTGATTATAGGACTTCCTCATGGAGACGATGTGGTTTTAAATAACTGGGGGAGCAGAGCCAAAAAGCTCGTGGGTTGGGGGTGGGGAGTGGATGTGACCAGGAGGGTGCAGGGATTTGTCCATTTGACTTAGGACTTAGGCAATTTGGTAGCCAAAGGATGGAGACTAGAGAGGGCTGGAGATACAGCTTGGACAGAAGAGGCCTTTGTGTTATATTGAAAGACATGGAGCTGGGTGAAATGATCCAGGAAGCAACAGGACTGGTGAGCAGAACATTTAGGGTAGAGCCCAGTGGTGGTGCAAAATGTGGAGCTTAACTGGAGGCAAAAAGAGAGTAAGAAAAAATGAGGTGGATGCACCGTCTGTGCTTTTCGTACAGAGAGAAAACGAGGAACAGCTCTGAGCACCTACGCAACCCAAAGGTTCCAGACCAGGCACAAAGGGGCGGGTGGAAGGGGGAGAGAGACAGGATACGTGTCAGTGTGCAGGGGGCAAGCCAGATTTGCAGAATGCTCTTCAGGAGGATGACAATGACTCCAGAAAACTTTCAGTGGAATGATGGGCAGGAACCAGACGGGAAGAGGTGGAGGGGCAGGAAAGAAAATTTCCAGAGGTGAAGGTAGGGGTACAAGAACAGCTGTACTGTGGGGTGGGCCTGGAAGTGTTCACTGGCAGGAGGGCCCCAGGTGAACAGTGAAGGGAGAATGGATGAGGTCAAAGGTGAGCAGGAAGGGAAGGGTGGGGGGAGTGGGAGGGGAAGCGGGGAGTAAGAGAGGATTGATCCAAGCACTGAAGAACCAGAGAAGCGAGGGAAACCTCTCTGCTTAGAGTTTGGACGCAGGACTTTGAGGGAAGTTTTCTAAGACCTCTACTTTTCTCTATGCCTTTGATGGGAAAAGTCCTCAGCTGAGTAATTTGAAATTAGGGCTAAGGACACAGCTTGCCTAGCACGAGTGAGGCCCTGGGTTTCATCTCCAGCATGTCAGGAAAAAAAAAAATCAGAAAAGATCTTAATTGAGAAAGGAGTGGTTGTTGAATGAACTGATCAGGACACAGGAAGCTTGCTGGGCAGTGTCCAGGTTCCTCCGGTAGTTGGTTAGGGTGGACTTACGGGGGTCCTTATTGCCCTCTTAATGACTCCTCCAAACCCCAGCCATTCTGGGCTGCTTTGGCTGCTGGTGGAAAACACAAAACAGAGAGTTTTCCAAAGTGGTGATTTCATCATGTAGGTGGTCAAGAAAACAGAAGGGGCAAGAGAACTCAAGGGTGTTAAAAGACATGGTATTCAGATTATGTGCTATAAAATCGAAACTGGAGTGGGAGCCGGCACAAGGGGAGGCCACGATCAGTCACACCCGAGGGGAGAAATCTGGGGAGACTTGGAGGAAGGAGCGAGAGGCACTGGGGACTGGGTGGGTCTTCAGTGTGGATGCACAGGAAGACTGAGTCTGATGTTAAAGCCTTAACAACCCCTTCTGTTGGCCACTTAGGCTTTTATGCTGTTATTCTGCAGCACTGGGGATTGAACCTAGGATCCTCACACGGAGCTACACCTCCAACCCCTTTTTAAAAGATTTTAAAATTCTGAGATGGGATCTAAGTTGCCTACGTAGGGCTCAAATTTGCAATCTTCCTGCCTCAGCCTTTGACAGTGCTGTGATTACAGGCGTCTGCTACACGTGTCAGCCCTATTTGTGCATCTTAATAGTATCAAAATTTTAAAACAAAGCCTTCGGGGAGGAAGGTCAGAGTTGCTGCACTGGTCTCTCTTCTTCAAACAGAGCGCATACTTGTAAGAGCAGAGCCTCAGTGTTTGCCAACTTGTAATTCATTTCTTTTTACCCACATCTGCCAGTGTTTTCTTCTGTTAGGATGAAAGAACTGGCTGGCGGTACATGGCCTCCGGAACTCCAGGTGTTCAGGTCAAGCTGCTGGGGCCTCCTGCACGCTAAAAGTGCATTCTACCATGAGCTACGCTGTGCACTGACACTTCTGTCATCTGGGTTCCTCTTATGGTTTCACAAGTGATGGAGATGAGTTGTAGTTAAATGAATGCCTACGTGTGGCATGTTTGCTTGCAATGAACACTTAATCGGTGTTGCCTGTTATTGAATAACAACATTATGTGGAGCCTCAGCTCCCTGATGACATGAGTTTGCTACTGTCTACAAGGAATATGGATCAAAAGATACAGTGCATGTTTAATGAAACTCACTGCAGTAGGACACATTGTCAAGAATGATGGGGTAAGTATCTTTGAAGTGGGGTATTTTGAGAGGGTTAATGGCAGTGTGTCTTTTACTGTAAGAAGTTATTTGATTTAAACACATTTTGTCATGCCTCATTGATCAACCATTTATGGCAGTTTCTGGCAAATAAAAACACTGCAATATATCCCCATCCACCTTATTCACTGGACTTGGCACCCTGCAACTTCTGACCCTTCTTCTAAGTCAAAATGACTAGGGAATGTAAACGTTTTCAATCAGTTCAGGACAAGGAGTCAGCCACAAGGGCACAACTAAAGACAAAAAGAGAGGGCTTCCACAACTGCTTGAGGAAGTGGAAAGAACGATGGGGTGCGTTCACAACACGGGGAGTACTTTCAGGGGGATTAGTAGTATGTCTTTTCCTGTAATAAATCATGTCTCACACAGCATTCTGAGAATTGAATCAGATATGCAAGTATCTGGGAATGAGAAAAATCAGTACCCATCCATTCTTCCTCTCTGCCACTGTGGAAGCGTCTCATGATCACGTATGTAACAGTTTTCTCCTCGAGCAGCTGGCAGTTCAGTACACAATGGTGAAGGTGGGGAAAGCCAAGCCTAGTGGCTGAGGCTGTCGCTCTCCTCTGCAGCGCTGCAGAGCCCGGTGCAGGTGACGGGCAGGAGCGGCATTTTCTGGACAAAGCTGGCTGGCTGGTTCCCGTCCCCAGGCACAGCAGTAGTGAGGCAGAAGCATTCCTCCTCTATCCTGGTGTTCTGATGCCAAATGCAAATTAGCTTTCAACAAAACAACAGCCAAGGCAGAAGAAGATCATTTCTTTTTAGAGAATTAAGGGGCAGGCAGCGAGCAGCACAGACTGACTGACTGGCCCGACAGCAACCCTAACAACAAAAACACAACAAGACAAGAGAGGCAAAGCTGAGGTCCACATTCAAATGTAGAATTTCAGACAGCTTTTATGTGTGAGGCAGGGAGAGGGAGAAGAAGAGGGAGAGGAAAAAGGATAAACATTTAACAAATGAGCAAATTAAACTGGCAGAATAAAACAGGAAAACCACAATAGTAAATGCTTAGCAGCCAAACACATTTATTAGTCTGTTTTCTTTTTTTTCCAGAAACCCAAAATATTTTGTAGTTATAATGTAAGCAACTGAGTTGCACATAATACAATCATATCTTTTCAAAATAAAATAAAATAAAAAACTAAACAAAAACAAAAATAAGCTGTTTTTTAAAAGCCCAAAAAAACCCTTCAGGAAACTTATATGTATGACATCATCGCTCAGTTTTTCATGAAATGACGGCGACTTAATTCCTTATTACTCGACCTGTCACAATCCAATAAAACACCACCCTTCAGTTTTTTTTGTTTGTTTTTGATATATATATATTTTTTGAAATCCAGCATGAGAAATACAGTACCTGCTATGGCAAAAAATACACATAAAATGCAACTTTTCAGCTTATTTGTACATTAGTAGAGTTTAACATTTTATTGTTTGTTTTTTTAAGTGAACCAGTGATTTTAAGTACCACTATACTAAAAAAGTAAAATAAAATATAGAAAAGGGGGGCCCAGCCTGCCGTGCAAGTGCACCTCTAAAGTGCCTAGTTTCTGTGTCCATGTAAAACCAGTAATATGAGGAGCAATTTCAACATACGGGAGTTTGATTAAATCTCTATGTTTAAAAAAAAAAAACAAAACAGACAATGCCACATCTTCTCTTTTCTCCCCTTGAGTGTCCTTAAACCTCATCATCCACTTTCTCTATTGCCCATCAGAAGAGAGAAAAGAAAGCCATCAAAATAATATTGTAAAAGCTATTTCAAGTATAAGAAAAACAAAACACTTATAGGTAACTTGCAGAGAGCATCAATATGTGCAGCTGTTTAAGTCCTTTCGACAGGTTTTGTTTCTGCTGACAGTGTTTCAGATGAGAGGATTTTTGCTGTACCTTCCGTTACCTCTTTGTGTGCAAAGTTGGAAAGCTGCCTCTGAAAAATCCAGCCTTCTTTTGATGCCCTTCTCTGCACCTTCTGTTTAAAGGGGGCAAGGAGAGCCACAGAGGGAGGAAGAGAGGAGAATGGGGGTCATGTGTCACAAGGAATTAAAAAGTACTTTTCTGCCTCTCCCCCTCAGCCATGCCCCCAGGTGACTGCTCGCTCACTGAAGTGAGTCCTGCTATCCACTGTTTCCTGATTTGGTAGGATGTATTTCACTATGTAAACATAGCCCCCTAGGATTATGGAACCCAAAGCAGCATTTATATCTCCATCGAAAGGGAGAAAGATAAAATAGTCCAGAAACCTCTCCTCAGGTTGCTTTTGTAGTCAGTTTTTGGTTATGCAGAACACAGATGGGATGGGTGGGCGCACAGCATGAAGGTGTAAGCGAGAGTGGACAGTTAGGAGTGGGCACAGTTGAGCTGTTGTATCTGCTTTTTCCCTCCCAGAAGGTTTTTTTTTTAAAACCTGTTAAAAATGTTCCTGCACCTTAAATCGTGCTGAGATTAAGGCCATGGGTACAGAATCTTGTGCACGTGTCTCAGAGCACATTCGAGGTGCGTGCACCATTTTGATGTCTTCTGTGAGACCACTGCAAACACTTTGGTCACTGGTGTGTGCAAAAGGTGGTAGTGGGGGGTACGTCCCAGGAAAGAGGTGCAGAGATCAGCAGAGCCCTTTGGGAGCATCAGAGAGGGATACAGGGGCAGGCAGAGCCCACGGGAATCAGAGGAAGGACACTGATAGGACAAGAGCCTCCAGATAAACAACAGAAGTAAAATCCTAAGTCAACAGTGCCCAAATCAGAAGGTGGGCAGATAATGTGCATGCACTTATAATCGAGTTTCTTCCCTCAAAGGAAGTCGTCACTATACAAGATCAGCGAGATCACACCCAAAGGGCTTCTTGATAGGTATACATAAAGTGGGGCAAAAGGGGGTTTTTGTAAAGAAGCTACTCAAGATGATCTATTCCAACCCTGCCTCATGGGAGCTCAAATCTAGGAAGGGCAGCAGCTGACAGAGCCCTCTGAGCAGCATGTGTTAAATTATTTCCCTCTACTAAAGTCAGCCTTAAGCCTCACGCAGAGAGGAAGATCTGAGGATGCAATGCCGCTTTCAGGATTGTTTGCATGTCTCCTTAGATGAGAGTTTCCTTCAAAGTAAGAAATCAGAACATTTCCAGAGCGTCATAATACAACAAGGCCATAAATTCTGCAGCGTACATTGAAATGACAGGGACTAAATCCCGGGGTGAACTTCAGAATGATAGAGAGAGAGAGAGAAGGAGGGAGGGAGAGAGGGAGAGAGAGAGAGAAAGAGTATACCAAGACAGGGAAGAGCTCAAGGTCTCATATAGAAAACCTCCTGGAGTCCCTGTAGAGGACTGATCTTCTGGAAGAGAGAAATTCAGACATTCCCCACCCCAGAACTAGGATTCTGGAATAGATGGCACCTAGCTAGGACAGGACTCAGACACTGGTCTGCGGTCACTGTGTGCAGGGCCAGAGAACAGCTCTAGCTCAGATGCAAATCCACCCCACTGACTTGCTCTGCCTTTTCTTCTTAAACATGAAAGAATTCAGATTTGAAACTTCTGATGGCTTAATATGGAATATATCATATTTTAGGACTACTTTCACAGCAAAGAAAATGTTTTAGAAGTTATCCTGCTATTTACATGTTCGTATCTTATAAAGGATAACCTATCAATGTCAGAAAGGAAACAGGAATTAAGGGTTTACATTGCAGGGGAAATAAATGTACCTCGAGGTATAGTTTTGTGTTAGTTGAAACGTCTGGAGTTTTTTTGTTTTGCTTTTTGTTAAAAGGCAATCTAACAGATTGGAACCCTGATAAGATCATGCCTGTGCAGTCCTGCACAGGCACAGAAGACTGTGATCAAGTCTGGTTACTCATTACAGTACTGTGAACATCAACAACAAAAATTGCTGCGTGGAAAACACTGAATACAGGCCACAATCTTTTGCTTACCATACTGTGTTGCAAAAAATGCCTAGAGCAGAGCTATGCTACGATGTGTCACAGGCAAGAACAACAAAGGAATTGTCAGAATGGAGAGGATGAATGTAGGCCTTTCCTGTGTCAGAACTTCACTGCTCCCCAGCTATGTACAGTGTAGTGAATGCAAAGGAAGCAGAGACATTGCATTTGGCTGGGGGGATAGCAAGTGAGAGAGAATGCCTTTTTGCCTGTCAAGCAATAGCCCTCTTCTCCATAGAGCAGAATAATTTTCTCACCTAAATTCACTGAACAATGATTAAAAAAAAAGGAAGAGGAGAGGAAAGTAGAGGAGAGGAGAGGAGAAGTCTTTGAAACTGACATAAAGATTAATGTCAGCATGAGTGAGGCATGGTTTCCTGAGCTTGCAAAAGTTCTGAATTCAGGAAAGGATGAGTACTTTTGTCCAGAGAACACTGGAGCCTTTGGGGTCCCACTGTTGCCCTGGATTAACACTGCACGGCTAGGATCAAGACTCCTGTACCTGATCAGTGGACAGGAGCTGCAGACCCCCGGAATGTGCCCGGCTTTCAGACCTGTGAGCCATTGCACGAGGCCTCAGGGGTCTCTTTCAACCTCACTCTGTGATGACGTTAGTGCATCTTCTCTCATTCCCCTTCCCCTCCTGGACACACGGATACCATGGACACAGAAACCGGAGAACAAGGATGCAAAGCCACTTCCTTCCCCTTTGCCCTCCCCCCTTGTAGAATGCATAGTTACAATTCACGTTACAAAATGAAGCAATGATGACCACATATGGACCTTTTGTTTGAAAAAAGAAAAAAAAAATCCAACACCCTCTTCTTAAGTTCAGTATCAAAATTCACATTTGCATAATGATATATTTCAAGGCCATCAGAGGGGAATGAGCGGAACACAGGAAGTGCAGCACCCTCCTCCGTGTCACCCTCACAAGGCTGAAGGGATCTCGAGTGAGAACTCTGAGGGATCTGTGGAACTGGGGAGTTCTGAGGAATCTGTGCGAATGGCCCTCAGTATTCACTTGCTGTTTCTTCAGGACATGGGGAGTGAGGAGAAGAGGAGGAATCATGGAGAACAAACACCAAAACAGATTAGGAGACACTGCAGATTTCCACATTTAACTACAATAGTTCTGATGAGATAAAACATGATTTTGGATTTTCCTCTTTCCCTTCTCACTTAAAATCTCAACTCTCAAAGACTTCTTCCTTGTGTGTGATACCTTGTTAGCATGAATAGCAACAAGGTGTGACTTCCACTTGGGAAACAACAGCTTTTCTCAGGATGTAAACCGAAAGGACAGAGCCAGGCTGAAGCCAGAAAATGCGTGCTCTACATGCTTGAATGTGCCACAAATCTCATCCTATTCCGATCTCCAGTGATTACACAAAAACAAAAGACCGAACAGCCACACGTGCACACATACAAAGAAAACCAAGGAGTGCGGCTGCAGAAGCCAACCCGCGCTCTTGGCCTAACCTGGGCCTCTGTCATTTGTGCAACCTTTGCCTCGTTTACTATGTCCCAGAATCTCTTCCACACAACAACACTGTGCAACATTGATGTGAATGAAAATCCCACAGCTCCCCCTGGGCACCCAGTGGAACTCTGCCTGCTGAAAGCTAAGGTGCCCATCTTTCCGTTTTCACCACAAGGGGCAATCTTTCCCTATGACAGATGGTCTCCATACTCACAAAGGCACATTCAGAAGTACTACGCTCAAGAGAGTCCTTGGACAAAATTAAGAAGGAGCTTGGGGGTGGTGTTTTGAACACATTTATTCTGACTTGGAATTTCTGGCAAGAAGTAGCATGCTAAAAATGTATCTACCACTTGATGAAAAAAATCATTCTACGTTTATAAGGTATGTGACTTCTCGAGGGGTTCTCAATGTTGTTTGTTTTGCAAAAACACCCCCTTTTTCATTTCTGGCCAGCATACTTAGGCTCTGTCATTCTTGTCTCCGTAAAGCCCCGCGGTCAGGCCAGTTCTGCAGAGACACTGCTCATCTTGCCTAAGTCACTTTCTGAACCGTCTCTACCAGTGGGGTATACTCGCAGTGGCCCAAGGAAAATGAACACCCCATTCGCCAGGAAGTCCAGGAAGCCTGGGAAGGGAAGTAAAAGAAAAGCAGCAAGGAACAATCTCCCGTTTTGAAAAACTATCTTAACTTACTGATGCTGGCTGGAAATTTGTCAATTCCAGTTGGGAACTTACTTCCAAAGCAGTGACTCATAGTTTGAAAACTGAGTTGAGGCACACAGTGTTTTAGGGGGAACACTCTTTCTTTTTTATTTAAAACAGAACACTTCTTTCCTGTGTATTTTACTTGACTTTTCCCCTCCTTCAAAAAGACAAGCATTTGTCACAATAAAGAATCAATGACTGAGCTTAGCCAAGGCCCTTTGGTCAGGGCAGTACCATTTTCCTAGCATGCAGTTTCAGCTGTACACCTGTGACAAAGGAACTATTTAAATTCTGTGAGGCAAACACTGGCAGTTTCTATCACTTTGCTCCTTTTTTGGGGTGCTAGTAGGTTACAACGTGAGACTGGCAGTTTAAACACTACTTAGGTATTATGAATATTTCACAATGGCTGAGGATTTCATCTGACTGACCACACACATGGGTAGCATGCATGCTGAGTGGTGGGGAGTAGCTCTCCACTCCCTGACCAGTGTCCCTCCTTTACTATCCTTAGATGTTCCTGTCCTCATTCTTTGACAGCATGGGGTGGAGGGTGCAGAGGTACTGTGGGTAGTTTAGGGAAGGCTGATGTTCAATTTTTATTAAGTTATCATTATGTTTAGAATTCTTGCAGCTGACAATTATTTCAAATCTAAAGGATGGGATACTATCACCCCCTTTGTGAAATTTAAGGTCAAGGAAAAAAAAGAAGAAACTACTATCATTCACAAATGGAGACTACCTGTGAACATATAAACACCTTTGGCATAGCCCATAAAACTACAGACCATACTACAGGGTGTGCACCAACTCTGGGAAATAGCCGGGGATATAGCTCAGCCTGGCAAGTGCAAGGTCCTGAGTTTGATTCCCGGTATCCAAAACCAAAACCAAACCATAGAAAACACAACAAAAAAACTCTGGAAACATAGATAATATTCTGAGTTTCGTTGCTGACATCCTTGAAAGCATTCTGTATCCTTGTCTATTTCTAGACTGTGCTGATACCTTGTCCTTGTAGGTGAAGAAGCCAAGGGGTATGGTGTGGTGTGCAGCAGGGGGTTAGGGTACCCTACGTTCTGAATGGGCTCTAAAGATGGACAGTTCACTGTATAGAAAGTAGAACAGCTTCTTCTACCTTATACAGTATATGGCCTTGGATGTACATTCACAGAAGGAAAAACAAAACCACGGAATAAGATTTCTTTCTTTTTGTAGTAACACTAAGAAGTGTAGTTAATGCATAGACATGAAATGTGACAAAACTTGGCAACACTGGAGAAGTATGATTTTTTTTCTTTTGACCAGCTAAAAATATATCTCTACTCCTAGTTGAAGACCTTATAGATGCTTCAAATAAAATACTCAAACCCCAAACAAAGCTTTGTATGCTGAATTTGAACTCTGGGAATGGGGAAGAATGAGACTTTTTCTACAAAAACACTTGTGCCCTTATCTTAGAGATGGCTATTACAGCCAAGTCTGTTGAAAACATCCTGTTTACACTGCAGAGGACAACAGGCTTGGCTTCTGCACTTTGCTCAGTACACAAACACTAAAAGGAGAGTCAAGACATCAGAATATAAAAAATTAAAACACACACAGCATTTGAGGTCAAAATGGAATCTGGGTATTAACCCTACAAAAACTGTACCCCCTCCAAGAAAAGGGTAAAAGGATGAATGACTATTTGTAGCGAGTTAATAGCCCATGAACTCTTAGTTTCTGGTAGATACGTTAATAAAGGCGCTTCCAAATTTGTATCCAAGAACTCCCTCTTCTTTCTTTTTCCCCTTTGCATATCTTACATACAACATTCAACATGCAGAAGTTTAGGAGAACTGACTGCTAACATGTTACATTCGTGTCAGAAGAGCTGGGAAAATCCTTAGAACAGAAGCCATAGGAGCAGTTGAACGGCAAGCTGTTTTGAGTAAAACTAACTGAATGGCAAGAAATGGATGTTGCTTTATTGGGGGAGGGCACTGATGAAAGCATTTGGTTTAGAATTTATTTTTTGGTGGTGCTGGGGCCTGAAAGCATGATTTGGAATCTTAACTTCAGCACTGCTAAGTTCACTCTTGTGAGTGTTGTACATGGAGAATTTCAAGGGTTAGGGATAAGGGGTCAGAGATGCTACACAGACCATCTACTTCTTGACAGTGTCTTAAAGACCAGAGCTTTGTTCAATACTTAAAAGTGAAGCGATGGTGCTGGGTCTCGCTGGCAGCAGAGGCCCCCTGCCTGACAAAGACATCCCTTTCCCTACTCCTGCATCATCTTTTGGCTACTCATGTGGTAGACACTAAGTTTGTGATGTTTAAGAGATATGCACAGTTCTAGCCACTAGTAATCATGTGTTTAAAAATAAAAGAACTAGTACAAAAATGGAAAGCTCACACATACATGTTCAAAATGTGTACAGAGTAAGTCTGTGTAATGAGGGTGACCAGCATACGTGGGACCACGTATCCTCCACATATGTGGTGGATAAGAGGACGCTCCCACTGACTTAGCTGAGTGTTCTGAAGTTACCTAACTTCAGGGTAAACATGGCTCTTGCCAAAGAATACCATGGAAAGAAAGAGCTTTCCTCTTCCAAGTTACCCTCACCTGTTCTTAGGTCACTGCCAACCAGTAAAGCAAACCTTCCAGCAAGTTGACACAAGGGGGAAGGGGAGGAGGAGACAGAGGACAGGAGCAGAAAAATAGGAACCTCCTTCCACTGGCCCAGTACCAAGAGACTTTCCAGTCCCTGGAGCTGTCACCATTACATACCTGGATAACTCAGAGCATGGTAACTGAGGGCACACAACGCAAGGAAGGAACTTGGCATTCCACATTATCAAGACATAAAAGCGTATTTTCCTTGATTTTTATTTGTTTTAATTTAGCCCACTGCCTTTGGGGCCTGTCCAGGATCACTCCTATTTCCTTTACGGGCCAGTGTCTTACCAGCTGCGGAGTGACCGGACTACATGCACATACACACGCGTCCCCTTGCTCAGGATGTCTGGGTGTATGTGTGAAGGCACTAAAGCGGTTTTAGAGAAATTGCAGGCAGCAACCCCACCCACTCCCTTTACCTGTGGAGCTGGAGTTTCTTTCCCACTGGGAAGCTTAACGTTTGAAAGAAGCTGTGGTCATGTTTAGGAATTCTGACCCCTGGCCCCAGGAGGGAATACAAAAGGAGAATTCAACATCACCAAAACTGAAAGGAAACACTCCACATCTTTCCCCGGAGGGATGGGGACAATTAAGCAGCAGATCTTCAAAACAGCAATTAAAACAAGCACAATAGTAGCTGGGAGCTAAAAAAGTAAAATCATTTGTTCCTCATTAGATTCTTCTACATTTTCCTCCTTCCATAACACAGGGAGTAAGACAGACATTCTTCATTAACAGAACAGTCCATAGATAATTTTCCTCTAGTAATGCCTATATTTAAAATTTGTTCCAAAAATTATTAACCTATATTTCCTAACTTTACATAGATTCTCAGCAATCCAACCGTACTATTTTACAGATTAGAGTTACTCTTTTTGTTTTAAGCTGTTGTTTCTTTCTTTATTCCGTTCTTTTGTCACTGGGGCTGGGGGAGAAGGGTTTCCGTTAAAAAAATAAAAGTGGCGAGGGGAGAGTTTAGTTTAGTCTTACATGGAAAGGAACACCGTGGTGCCTTCCCAGGTGTGTATACCAAATGCTCCCCCATTCATTCAATTACACAATTTCCAATGAGTCATGATAGAGCTCTCTGAAAGCTTGATCCTTCTCCCATTTTTTTTTTTAGATAATGAATTTACCTGTTGCTGCTAAATTAATAATTTTTAAAAAATATTTCTACGTGTTTTAAAATGTGTGATCCCCAGTATGACATTTGGAGACTTTTCTTTTTACATGTTTTTTAAGTAAAAATTGCCTAAACTTTTTGAAGTTTCAGGAACTTGTAAAAGTTTATTAACAGGAAAGAAACAGCCAAGTCTATCTAGGATAAGATACAGTTAAATAAACCATCTTCAAAAAACTGGCTTCCTACCCTAGAATTCCTGAGAATGCTTGCAAATTTTAAAGCAGGAAAATAAATGTTAAAAACAAAAACAAAAAACACTGTTAAATGCTCCCAGAGTTAGTCTTCATCTAAAATATATATTTATATGTGTATATATATATATATATACGCACTTTTTGGTCTTTTTTTAAGTTTTCAGTTTTTTTCCCTTTAAGCTTATGATGGAAGAACATTTTAGCTTCTCGTATTTATTTTTACATATTTCAAATCCCTCATTTATGTCTTGTAAACAAGAGGGGCTCTAGCACCCGGCTTTCACCGTAGTATCGTAAGGAACTCAACTAAGCCATAGCGCAGGTCAAGGACCCAACAGGCAGGAGGAGAGGAGGGCAGGGCAGGACACAGCCGTGAACCAAGAGCGGCAGTGGACAGTCCCCAGCGGCTTGCAGGAGCCTTGGGATGGGCTCTGGGCCTGGGGACACTAAGATCAAAGCCTTCTGTCTGTGGATGTCTGAACACAAGCTGCACTTCCCCATGGAGGTCACCACACACAACGGGGCTCTGCTGCAAGGCAGAGTGGTCAGTGGGGCTGGAAGAAGACATCAAATAGGGGCAGAGGTGGGGGGGCACGGTGGTGATGAAAACCGGAGAGGAGGAGGAGGGCACAGTCAGTTTGGACAAGGCATCCGCGGGACCAGACCAGCACTGCAAACTCCAATTTGATTACCCACCCACAATGGGCTTCCGAAGACTGGCAAGTGCAAGCGCTCACTTGAATTATGCTTGTCAATCTCTTTTGAGGCTAGGTTTGTCATCAACAGGGTAAGCCAAGAAGAGGACCATAGAATTTCCCATTCTTTATCTCACAAAACCACTTACATGCAAATAATTCAGGTTTTTTTTTTTTTTTTTTTTACCTTTTTCCTATACACAACCATCCACCCACCTACACACAAACACAAGCTGAAAAAATACATTAGGCATTGTTGTATCCTTCACTGAAGATGCTAAAGAAAGAAAAACTCCCCTGTCCTCAATAGCAGCAAGTTACGGAGGACAGTAGAGGTCTGCTCCCACCAAGGGCTGGAATGGGCAGGTATTTGCTGGTACAGAATGTCGGCACTTTATGTTGAACAGTATGATGCAGACTGGGACGTCCACACAAGTGCTAGCAGGTCACCGGCACAATCCCCCTCCCCCACCCGCCCACCCCACCATCTGCTTTGTATGAAGGGAAACCCCTTCAGGTCTTCTGTCACTCTCTTCACAATAAGCAGTTTTATACATTTTGAATCCAACATCATACATACATGTTGGTGATAACTGTGGATTAAACGTTGCCTCCTGTTCGGCCCAGAGTACTACTACATCGATGCTTAAAAAATTAAGTCTTTAAATACCGAAATAAAAAAGCAACATTACAAGGAAAAAAAAAAAAGAGGTCAAAACCAAAAAAGGTGCAATACTTAAAAAGTCTTTGCTAAGTTATCCTGCCTAAGCAAAACCACATACACAGGAAATACACAACACAGAGAAACAAAGGGAAACGCTTGAAGTACACACTGGTTTAAGAACATTCGTTAAGTAAACGTCTCTGTCAGTGATGGCCTGGTGCTGTAACACGCCACGGCCTGGCACAGGTAACGCTCGGCGAGAGAGGAGCAGAGAGGGAGAAGCTGCGATGCTTCCAGGAGGCTGGTCACAACTTTGTTTCCATCAAACGAACATGAGAATAGAAATTTAATTCGGCATTACCTGATTTTTTTTTTTTTGGACAACTATCTCACACCTGATCACACAGGAAAGGGAACATATCTTTTCTGCTTTTGAGACATCACATAATTTAAAAACTATCTCACCTTCTGTTCCCATTCAAACTAACAAAAAGGCCTGCATGGAACTTAGGTACTCAGACGTGCCGTATCGACCATTCACTTTGAAAAACAGAAAGTAACACACAGTTGCTCCGAGAGGTATCTCCTGCTCTCCGATTCTTGGGGTTGGCAGTGCTCCGCTCTACTGCTAGGTCAAGAGAAAAGCTAGAGAACCTCACACTCAGGCTGATGCACAAGTGCAAAGGAGCTCCCTGTGTTAATCATTAAAAAGCACTCTTTGATTCGGTGCAGCCCAACGGAGTGGGTGGAGTCGCAGTGGCTCCCCATGTTTGTGTGTTCTCATAGTTAAAAAAAAAAAAAAAGCAGCAGATGGCCGGCCAGCCAGCCTGTGGACTGTCAGCAATGCAGCTTTCTGAGAATCAGGGTGGGGTGGGAGGAGGAGGGTGGGACGCAGGCACACACACAGAGACAGAGGAGGATGCACGCGGATGCACATGAACACACGTGCACACACATACCAGAACGAGCATGCCTGGGCAGTTACATGTGCCAGAACACACTGGTATTTATCAACCAGCCAATCACAAATTTTTCCTTTTTTTTTTTTTTTTTTTTTAGGTTTTTTGTGTTTTTGTTTTTAAAGTGAGGCTCCGTCAAGTCTTCCCTCCCCCCTCCCCCAACAATTCTTTTGAATTTCCCTCCCTCCCAAACATGGTAGACCTAAGGACGGAAACACACCCAGTGCAAACAAAGTTAAAAAGCTATTTTTTTTCAGTATATATGTTTCTTAGCAACAACTTCCATATAACATGAAAAAGTGAAAAACTAGAAACTAATTTTTTTAATTTTTTTGTGTTTAAATTTAAATGGTATGTGTACTTGCTTCACATTGTCTTTCTAGGTTGGCGTTCATGATTCAAGTATTTCAAGAGTGATATGTTCTCTTTTTGGATTCATATTCCAAACGAAAAAACTGAAGTTATAAGGGAGGCAACTATGTGCTCAGACAGTCTGCAATGACCCACCTTTTTTTCTCTCTCCGTTTTCTTTTTTCCTTTTAAAAATGTATTTATTGCAAGTTGAAAAAAAAAACGAAAAGGTCAAGTTAGTGCTGCTGCTGTTCCAAAAAAGGTCACGAGGTCAGAGTTGAAAGTTCTAAGTTCAGATTGAATCCGACCCTCCTCCCAGAAGGTCACCAGGTAGTAAAGGAGCAGGGCTACCCATCCTATGGGGATCTTCCACAGTTGGGACTCCCCACAAGCTAGAAGAATAGTTTGGGGGCCCCCACAACGAAGCGCCAGCAAGATCAGCCCCGCTGCTGCCACCAGCACTGCTGCTCCATTGCCCGAGCCCAGTGGACCCACCGAAAAGGTTCAGCGCAGGTCCGACGGGGTCTGACTGGTTCTGGCCGGTCTCCAACGACTGCCACCCTGCGGCCGGTGCACTTGGGGTCGCTGCAGGTGTAGGGGGCTGAGCTTGTGCCAGAAAGCGGCTAACTTCATCATCAGTGGCAAACTCAGCCAGGATGGTAGTGTTTCCCAATACACACCTGGAGAGAGGAGGGAAAGAGGGCTGTGGGTCTGAGGGAGAACTTCCAGCACAAATGGGAGGAAAGCTCACAGTGCTCTGCTGCCATTTTGCCTGGATGCTTTTCAGGATGCAGAATCACAGGCCTTACTCCAGGCCTGAGGATCAGAGCTGCATTCCAACTGATGTAAAGCAATCACAAAGCTCAAAATAGTCAGAGACTGCCAGAGGATACTACGTATCCATGCTTCTGGGGTACAGAATTTTTACTTTTCAGACAACTTATGTGTGTTGGAGGATGAATCTGTGAAACACAGAAGTCTATGTGGGTAACGAAACTACACTGAACAATATGATGACAGTGGCCACCTGGCATTATATACTTGTCCAAATTCCGAATGTACACCAAGAGTGAATACTACTGTAATACTGATTATGTGTCAATGTATGTTATCAGCTGTGACCAACGCACTACTCTGGAGATAATGTTGGTATCTGGAGAAGCTATGCATGTACAGTGGGGAGCTGCGGTATATGGGATATCCCTGTGCCTTCCTCTCAATTTTGTATGAAGTACTCTAAAAAATACAAGTCTTACGAAAGTAGAGAAAAATGTTAACTCTCTTTTTTCCAGATGAGGTAAAGGATCACACCCAGAGCATGAGGGAAGCCTGCTACCTGGAGCAGCTGCTCTGTGTCAGAGGCTGGCTGGCTGCCCAGGCTCACCTTCACATGCTTGCTGTGTATGGATTTTTGTCATGGCACTGGTAGTCAAAGGGAGTTGCCTCTTTTTTGTCCAGAAATTTGACAGTGGCTGGGAGAAGGATGGTTAAAGTCTGACCCAGTCGTATCTACTTCAAGAGAAAAATCTGCCACTCACCCAGACAATAAATTCATCATTGTCTGTTAAGAGGCAACAGTCAGCAGATGAATACTATTATGAAAGTTGTTAGCAGTAAAAACATTTCATTTTCATAAATATTAGCTTTGTTTCATGGTACTTAAAATTTACTTAGTACTTAGCATGTGTAAGGCCCTGGGTTTAATGTCATCACTGCCAAAAAAAAAAAGTACTCACTACGTCACAAATTATTGACATTTGGAATTCTGATTACTAACCTATGATACACATAGGTCAATTTATGCTTAGTTAGGCAGAAAAGACCTGTCACCTCAGGACCGAAGACTTGCAAGTGCACACATCTGTTTAATCAGGCACCAGAGTACACATGCATCCTTAAAAGCGCATATGCCTGCATGGGTGCAGGACAGAATACTCACATGTGCAGTGCAGTCTGGGCCTTGGCTGCCTCCTGTTTGGTGCTGTATCGGATCAGGGCAGTGCCCTGGGTTAGATTCAGATGGAATGTCAGCAGTGGACCATGCTGCATGCAGATCGTTCTCAAGGTTGACCCATCAATCTAAGGAGTAATGATATTCATGACATAGAAGTTTGAGGTGTGGTGGGAAAGGCAAATAGTAAGATAAGGCACTGGGCTGAGATCTGCTGTTCCCACTTGGGAAATAAATGTTTGCATAAAATACAGCTCAAAATGAAGCATATGATTCAACCTATAGTCTATTTTCTTTAAGAGGTAAACAGGAGTGTGTGCTTGAGATGGTATCCAAATAAGAACTGAAGTTAACATGCAAATTTCACAGTATTGCTAAATTTGTACTCTTTTGCCTCCCCAGTAAACAAGCTCACAGATGTAAAGAGAAAGATACAAACAAGAAAAGCACTGCTGAACACTGACGATTTACATTGTCAATGACTGGGCTAGTTCACAGACTATTCCAATACTCTCTTACTCCTACTTTGACCATCTCAAGGTCAGACTATCCCCACCTCTTCTCTGAGTGAGTTCTTTGCTGCCCTCAGGCAATGTGACCAAAGGCTTCCGTCCCTCTCCCCAGTTAAGATTCTCACCACTTAAGTGTTCAGAGGAAAGGGTAATTTCCCTAACCTCTTAGTAGGATGAACAAACCTATTTATGCTACATGACTGATTTTTGCATCAAGATCCTAAACAGGTTTATTTCAGCTGCTCACTGCAACATTTCCGTTCATTCCAGGGTATATACATTATTGGAATTGCTTTAAGAAGTTATGCTATTGGTGGCAGCAGTGAGAAAATTGCAGGATGAAAATGAACCTTACCTCTTTACAGAAAATGATCAGAAAAAGTACTGTTAATATTGTAAGTGATTACTGACTAAATATGCATGTCAGTATATGCCACAAAGGAGTTTTCAGGATATCCTCTAAACACATTTTAAGTGATGAAAAGTAAATGTATCCAGATTCATTTTGCTCTTATAATATTTTAAGCTATGACTGACATTAGTTTTATATTAGATAGCTCTTTTAGAAAGCAAACAATTCTTTCTAATACAAATATAGCCATGAAGCTGGGCATGGTGGCGGACACCTGTAAACCCAGCACTTGGGAGGCTGAGGCTGTTCGAGGCCAGCCTGGGCTACACAGTGAGTTCAAGGCCAGCCTAAACTATACAGCAAGACCCTGTCTTAAACAAAAAACAAACATAGCCACCTCCAAATTATATATATGTGTGTATATATATATATATATATATATATATATATATATATATATATATAATTTAAACTATTTTTTCTATTAGATAGAGTAAGTGAACAGCTGGGTAGGATGCCCAGGCTCCTTCCAAAGCTTGCTTTTATCTTACATAACTGCCACCACTCTGTGACAACTCCTTTTGGGGTGGGTACTGGGAACAGAACTCAGGACCTTGCACTTGCCAGGCAGGTGCTTATGAAGTTGAGCTATATCTCTGGCCCTCTATGACAATTCTTGTTTTTTGTTTTGAGACAGGTTCTTGGTATGTAGCCCAGGATGACCTCAAACTCATAATCATTCTGTCTTAGCCTCCCTAGTATTAGGATTACAAGAATATGCGACCCCACCAAGCTGAGATTCTTCATACTGGGGATGGGGATCTAGCTCAGTGGAGGAGTGCTTGCCTAGGATGTGTGAGGTCAGTCAAGTATTAGCTAAGGAAACACCTGGGACTTTTAGCTGTGTCTATTAGATATGAAGGTTAATAATGACTTTCTCAAATGACCTTGAAGTATGAGCCCCAACAATTGGGTTAGCTGGGCAAATAAATTTAGAGGAAAATGTATTTCTCCAAAGACAAAGGTAATGCTTTTGTTTAATGAAGTATGCATTCTGAACATCAGGCCAGTGACCTGATAATGATCTCATGGGAACATTGTGGGAAATAATGGCTTAGAGAAGTAGCCACAACTACTCCATATATGAACTAAATGCCAGATTCTCCATATCAAAAAGAGGGAGACATAATTGGCCCCTTTATCAGAGCATGGTGAAGCTGTGCTGCCAAGTGCAGAGGAAGACCATGAGTCTGGATCAGAAGGATTCACCTGGCTACTTTCAAGTGCTGAACGTGATGCTGCCAGAAATGCCTCCGCTATGGAGCAACCAAGGTAACAGTGAATGTGGCTTTGGGCAGAGAAAGCTCACCACAGAAACACGACCCACAGGGCTTGTCAGGTGAGCAAAGCAGTGATGCCAGCTATATTCAAAGAGGATAACAGGTGGAATACTATAAGAACCAATGTGGCATTTAAGCTATGAAATCAACCGTTCCTTCTACTGTAAGGATGGACAGTTAATTATTGAAGAAGCATAAAAACTGTTAACAATGAGCCTCAAGTTTTGTAAGACAACCAACTAAAACAGGCAAGTTCTTTGTGTATGGGAAAAACATCCCTTTCCCACTGGGTTCCAGCCTCCAACCAGCATACCTATATAGGAATTATCTCTGCCACCCAGAATCACCAGGTAATACCCCCTGCCTGTCTCTCTATTCTCTAAACTACATGAATTTCCATAACCTTGCAGACAGGTGAGGTGGAGGGGCTGCTCGGCTCCCTTCAGAAGTAGGCTGGGAACCTCGGGTGACAAGGGGAGACCTGCTTACCATAGACAAGACCTGTGCTGTGACCAGGAAACAGACTATCAACTTCCCCATCTCCACGTTTCCCTCTTTCTTAATACAACTGAGTCCTATCTAATCAACCACAAGAGAGCATGATTACCTGTGGAGTGAGATTGTGAAGAACCAGCCAGTAACTAGGACGAACTGAGCCACCATCACTCCAGGTAGAGGCTGTAACCAACCAGAAAAGAGATGAGGAAGACTAATAAGAGCAGCTCAGGAAAGTGATGAGGGAGAAACGTTTTCATGTAGCTCATGTATCTCTTCTCTGCTTTCATAACGTGTCTCTCTCCTACCTGTCTCCTCCTAGTCCCTACCCTCTATACATTCTTCTGCTTATTCGCAAGACAGTATTTCCCTCCCAGCATCCTCACTCTGTGATTTGTTATTTTTACTCCATCTCTGAGTCTCTCTCTGTCTTGTACTGACTGCAACCTTCCAGTCATGAAATACTTTTGCCCTTCCAGACAACTGTAACCTGCTCATGCGTGCAGCCCCTCATGTCCTTCCCTCACCCAAGGCAAAGACCCCTCACCTGAGGCAAGCCGAGAGTCCTGTGTCCCCCACCCCCTGACGGATCGGGGTGCTGTGCTGCTCCAGGGAGACGCCGGTTTGGGGTTAGTCAGGCCAGGAGGTGGGCGGGGCAGCGGTGTAGTGTTCCTGGAGGAAATGTGGTTTTTCCACATCTTGTTGGAGAGATGAGTGGGATTGTGTCCTATGGGATCTGGGGACCACGTAGATTTGTAATCGGGGAACTTTGCTGTAAAGAGAAAATTCAGTAAGTGGTAAGGTTAGACAGGCTACCTTTGTCCCCACAAAATACAAATTTTTGTCTCCACATAGATATGTATACATTTATATTATAAAAAAGCAATAGGAAGCACATATTTTAAGAACAGCAGTACAGGGGCCAGGGGTATAGCTCAGTGGCTTAAGCACTTGCCTCATAAGCCTGAGGTCATGAATTCGATTCCTGGTACCAAAAAAAACCCCCAAAAAACAAACAAAAAAAAAAAAAAAAAAAAAAGAACTGCAGTACAAACTAACATTTTTCTTCAAGCTTAAAATTTTCAGTGATTATTACTCTGAAATGACAAAATTATCATATGACTTGAACACTTAATAAGATAACTAATTCTCTACTACTTTCTTAGCTAGAGCCAGGGATTTAGCTCAGTGGCGCAGCACCTACCTGGCAAGTGCAAGGTCCTGAGTTTGATTCTCAGTATCAAAAAAAAGAAAACCCCTTTCTTAGCTAAATACAACTTGAAGGGAAGACAAACTCAAGGAAGATATGTTCCTAAAGCTATAATAGGCTTACAGATGGAGTGATAATGTATTGGCAGAACTAAAATTTTCTAAAAAAAAACCTAAAATTTTCTGTAAATACTGATTATGTGGGAATACTTTAGAAAATTATACTTTTCTTGTGCCTTGATCCAGCATAATAGATACCAATATTCAAATAAATTTTAAAAATCAACAAGTATTCACTAAGAGCTCACTATGCTTAAGGTACTAAATCAGCACCATGAGTAATGTTATTCTCACGTCTCCAGTTCATATAAAAGACTGAATGTTAGAACGACAGGCCTGGTAATGCCAGCAACACCACATACATTCAGTACACTGAGGAGAGCGTGTGACAGCAGAGGCTTGGCAAAGACAAGGCCCAAGGATTTACATAAACAGATGGGTTTGGGAAAACTGGAAAATGGAACCAAGGTTCAACATAAACTCTCCCTGTACTAGATAAATCCTCTTCTAGTTTTGCTTGAGCAAGTCAAGGAGGCCGTAAGATAGGCTTGGGCTGAGTATGCAGCTATTACGAGTTTCTGTAGTAGACTCAGCATGGAGTGTTTAAATTAGGGTGACATCAAAGAGAAAGGAAGAGGAAGAGTAGATACGAGACATTCAACTGCATAATGCAACACTCCAGAGAACACTGCCTGGAGCCAGGGAGCAAGGGAGAGAGGGAAGGGAAAAACTACTGAAATCTTGTGACTGATGCATGGGAATATCCTAAAGAAATGAAAAGGCCAGGTGTGGTGGTACACAACTGTAGTCTTAGCTATTTCGGGGGCTAAGGCAGGAGGAGTGCAAATTCCAGGTTAACCTGGGCAACCTGGTGACATCCTATCTCAAAGAGAAAGACAGACTGAGAGATTGCAAGAGAGAGAGAGAGAGAAGGTGGGTACAGATGTAGCTCAGTGATAAAGTGCTTGCCTACCCTACACAAGGCCCTGGGTTTCATCCCCAAGCAACACACACACACACACACACACACACACACACACACACACACACGAAAGAAGAAGAAAGGAAAGATAATCTGGAGGATGGGGAAGTATCAGTTTTATTGTTAGACAAGTGTGAGATGATTCTTGAGCCATCTCTCAGGTCAATGTCCAGTTTCAGGAAAAAGATAAATAGTGTAACTAAGATCTGAGCATTTCTATGAGTAAAAGGCTGGGATGAGAGCCAAGCATAGTGCTGTGTGCCTGCACACCCAGCCACTCAGGAGGCTGAGGAAGGAGGATCACTTGAGCCCAAGGGTTTGGAGCAACACAATGAGATCCTGTCTCAAAAATTATTAAAGAAATAAACCAGAGCTGGGTGTGGTGGCCCATGGCTAAAATCCTAGCACTTGAAGGCTGAAGAAGGAGGATTACTGCAAGTTTGAGGCCAGTCTGGGCTATATAGTGAGTTCAAAACCAGCCTGAGTTATATAGCAAGACCCTGTCTCAAAAGAAAAAAAAAAGATAAAGATAAGAAGAAATAAGCCAGGCATGGAGGCACAGGCCTGTCTGTAATCCAACATTTGGGAAGCTAAGGCAAGAGACTGGTGAGAGTTTGAGGCCAACCTAGGCTAGTGAGTTCCAGGCAAGCTTGGGCTATACAGCAAGATCCTAGTTCAAGAAAAAGGGAGGGCTCAATGGAGATATATAGTTTAGTGGAAAGGCCCTAGGTTTAATCTCTAGGACTGCTCCCCAAGAAATAGACAGGCAGTGCATAGCAGCACATCTCAGGAGGGTGAGGCAGAGTTCGAGGCCAGCCTGAATAAAATTGCCAGATCCTCTCTCAAAAACAAAAATGAAAACAAAAACAAAACAAAAAAGGAAACTTGGAATACTGAGGTTGATCCTTAATAATCTAGGCTTAGACGTGAAGGTAAATGTAACAGCGCTTTTTTTTTTTTTTTTCCCAGTGCTGGAATTGAACCCAGGCCCTCACACATCCTAGGCTAGCACTCTCCTACTCAACTACAGCCCCAGCTGTTGTGGCTTTTTGAATCTGTTTCTCCATCTACAAAATGGGGTAACAGTAGGTTGTATAGCATCAAAAAGAAAGTGAAGATCAGAAAGGAACTCAGCTGAAGGTTTGTTTAGCACACCGCCTGACCCGCATGAACACTAATAATAGGACAGAGGTGGAAAGAAATAAGAAACGTAAAAACCACAAGCCTGTAGTGACTTACTAGGAAGACATTTCCTTTATTTGCTTTTATTTGGAGAAGGCACAGAAATCTTAGTAACTTTAACAGCTTAATATCCAACTTTTGCAAAACCAAAGTGCCAATTTCTAATGAGTTTTCTACTATCTACAAGGCACTGTGCTGAGTGACTTCAAAACCTTACCTTTATTATATCAGTTAAGTTTTCCATTCCTTATCCTCTCTTAAAACAAACGAAAAAAACTCAACCAAACAAAAAGCTAACAGCTCAACAAAAACTTGTTTCCTTTGTTTTTTTGAGACAGGGTCTTACTACATAGCCCAAGCTGGCCTTGAACTTGTGGTAATCTTCCCGAGTGCTGAGATTACAGGTATGCACCATTGCAGCAGGCCAACAAATTAACTGGTACAATTAACAGAGATCTTCTTTTTGGACTTTGGCAACATGCCCTTACTTGTGTATAAGCAGAAGGATTTTTAGGGAAAAGCAAACTATCAATGGCTCCTAGAGGAACGATAACCTGGGCTTAACTGGTTGCTCCCATGGCCACTGCTTCTTTTTTTTGGTACCAGGAATTGAACTCAGAACCTTGTGCTTGCCAAGCAAGGCATTGTGCCGCTGAGTTATACATGGCCACTGATTTCTTGAGCAGCTGCTAAAAGCAGTGTGTCAACAGGTCATAACCCGTGCCCCTGAGCACACCCAGCTCCTGAGATCCTATCCAACGATCTTCTCGTCTTATCTCCGTAAGGCCAGAAATTCCTTGCGCAGATGGTAAACAGAAAACACACCTCTCCCTACACCAACTATGCAATTCAATGCCTATGAATGTATTCTTTAGGAAATTAATGCAAGTTTCCTATAGGAAAGGTTCATACCTGAAGTGCTATGAACGTTGGTAAAGGAGTTATCAGAGGCACTGTAGGGCCAGGCACCAGGTGAAGGCAGCGAGGTGTTGAGGGAAGAATTAGACCCTTGAGATGATAAAGAAGAAAAAGAAAATATTGAAGATACATGCCAGTATAACCAGTGAAACCCTCAGAATATGTTAAAGTTCAATAGAAGGGGAATAAAATGTATCTTAAAACCAAAGATGTGAAAAGCAATACATTTTTTGGTTAAACTATTAGGTACCTGCAAGTACAACTGAAGCCACAGGTTGACAACTACAAAAATGCTGGATGTTGCACACCCATCAGGGACACTGTACTTGTTTACCTGTGGTGTTATCCCGCAGCAGTTGGTGGTCAGTATCTACAATGGGAGATGTGGCTGTACCCCCCAGCACACTTCCTGGGGTGACATAGGGGTCAGATTCAGGGTCAATGTTTTGGATACCTTTCCATGGCACTCCTGGTTGGAATTCTGAGACAAGAACAACAAATGTTAGGGGTAGAAGCTTGTTCACAAAAAGAATTTTTTTAGCAAAAGAAATGGGTTGGTCAAAGACTACATACTGAATCTGTCTCAGGTTTTCATCATGAAATTTTGGTTTATGTGCTGCCGAAGCAAGCACTCATCATGAAATTAAAAAAAGAATTTTAACATATATTCTTGCCAGTAGCACCTTTATGTTACCATAACATGCGTCTGTCTCAACGTGGTAGTGAACCTGAGGGCAAGGCTGTCCCCTCTACTGGCGGGCCGGAAGTTCCTGTTAGCTGCTTTGTCTCTACCCAGGAAAGTTCCCAGGGAAATCCAGGCCCGAAGGCAAGGAGAAAGTAGGAGTATATAATCTGAAGCTCCTGAGAAGTGTCCAGGCACTGAGGCCAAGAACTGAGAGAAAATCTGGGCTGGAGACCAGTGATTTCTCCTATTTCCCTCACTAGATATTGGCTAAAAATGCAAAGGAAAATGGAATTCAAGCAACCACTGTTACATAGACACCATTTGGGAGTAATCACCAGAAATAATATAGCTTATCAGGTCAAACCCTAGACCAGTGGTGGCAAACCTATGGCACGTGTGGCACACCAGGCTGTTTGTTTTCCTGAAAGCTCTAAAAGGTTCACTATCGCTGCCTAGACTATACATGAAGGCTTATAAATAATTCTGTTGGTCAACTGAGATAATATTTAAAGTTATAGGACAGAAATAATAGTTTTATTTTCCTAGTCATGTTGAGGACAGTATATATTATATATGAATAATATGTATTATTCACCCTACTGTAATAAAATGCAACCATACATATTCATTATACACTTACAAATAAGCACACACAGAAGACTAGAAGGACATAGACACATTTATATAATTACTGATCTTTATTTTTGCTTTAAAAGTTTTCTAATTTTTCTACAATCCAAACAGATTACCCTGTGAGACAGAGACCCAGAGAGACAGAGAGAATACTAACAATCTTATTTCATTCACTGCCTGAAACCTGTCACTGAAACCTGACAGTAAATACCTGCCCAGTAAATAAACCAATCAACTCAACAGACACTTGGAAAGAGCCTCCTATCATGGGAAGGGTGCCGGGTCTTAGCTATAAGGTCCTTCAGCCCCAGGCTCCCCAACTAAAGAGATTTTCTATCTTCCCACAGTACCTAACTTCCTTACATACAGTAATTAAAAATAAAAGGAAAGCAAGTGCTGAAGCGAACTGTTCAGAACCTGAGATCAACAATTAAAAAACAAATGCTATCTTAGCAAAATCATTTCCTGAACAATACCTGGAGGCCAACTGGCATTGCTGGATTTACTTCCGATTTTATTTGTTGGTGGAGATTTGGCAGGTAACCAGCTATCACCAGCAGGACCCGTATGACCGCCCAGTGTGTCACCAGGGATGATATCAAACTGGTTGTACGGTGACCCTCCTCGGGTCTTACCAGGGGCCACTATAGCGCCTGAGAAAAGAGAGATCATTAATTCATTCAGAGAGCTCTGGCAAACAGAACTTGTCTATCTTTTCTCCAGAGGAACTCACATACCATATGAAACCTACAGAGTAGAAAGAACATGGGGCTAAGTGGTTGCATGGGAGACTCTGCCTATAATTAATAAGCAGCATGACCACAACAATTCATCTCCCTTCTCTGAGCCTCTCAGTTTCTTTCTTTTGTTTTTTTTTTGTACCGGGAATTGAACTCAGGACCTTGCGTTTGCCAGGCAGGCGCTTATGCCGCTGAGCTATATCCCCGACCCTCAGTTTCTCACTTAGGCCCAAAAGACTGTTCTCATTCTCAAATGTCCCTTTCAGTCTCAAAACCCCATGATTTATAAAATCAATGAAATGTCTGCAACTACTAATCATACCATTATCCCCATGGTTTCTATGCTAATCACTCAAGAATGGGAAACGTGAAGAACACTGCACAAATTGCAGCACAGTGGAACGTTTGAAAAGGCATTTCCACCGAAGGTAACTGCCCCCACTTCTTAAGCGCTGGTTGGGCCTACGTTAGCTGGAAGAGCAGTGTGCAGAGGCCGCAGCAGAGAAAGGCATCTGCAATTGCTTTAAATTCCAAGGCAATGAGATAGAATTCCCACCCAGAGTCTCTGCCAACACAAGGCCAGCAATGAACTCTGCAATTCTAAGACTCATGGCCTCACACACCGAGAACAGCAAATCCTTTGTCGCCACATTCCCGAGGGCATTCCAGTGGCTTTGCCGGTGCCCCCTTTTCACGCACTTTACACGCTACAGAGCAGGAAAAAGGCGAATAGCTTAACACCCTCTTAACCAACAAGGAAAACAGTGCTTTACTTGAAATAAAATTTTAGGTGTCTGTCAGATATCATTCTACTTACTTTCCAAACAAATCTTATGAACTGTATTGTGATAGTAGTCTTAGGATGCTTCTTATGAACAGATAAAATTATTTCTAGAATAATGTACTAAAATACTTGTGTAAATATTGAATAAGATAATCTGGTCTGGCCTAACAGGAGTTATTAAAAAACCATCTCCACGATCAGCTAAGAGAATTATTTGGACAGAAATTTGGCTCTGAAGTACATTACAGTGAAATAATGGAAAATAAAAAGCTCAGTAACCTTGAGAATCTCTAAGGAAATGGGAAAAATACTACCTACAAACTCTAAACAGGCAAGTTCACCTTCAAGAGATAGCCTCTCACGTGCCATTGTGTACTTAGTATCACACACCTTTCCTATCTTTGGAGACAACAGACACGGTGAATCATTAGCCTAAGAAAGCAGTGAAAGTGTCCGGAAGTATGAACACTGGCTACAGTGCTATTCGGTCCAAAAATAGATTTTATAATTCCAGTAAATCATTGTTGGTTTTGTGCCATGAAATCAAATGATCATGTTCAGGGATGGCAAGCAGAGAGCTCCGCGTGGCTCCTTCCCCATCTCCTGGGAGGCTCTCGCAGAGTCTGATAATAGAGGAAACCTGAAAGGTTGCAGGCTGAGTGACTCGCCTCGGCGGGCTGAGCACGCCTGGGTGGTGCCGCAGGGACAGGCATTCATACTTGGTACTCACGGGCAGAGGGCAGTCCAAGGGAATTACTGCCACATGAAACAAATACTGAAATGAAGGCTGAAGGCGGGTTTGGAGACCTTTAATCTGTTTTGCAGGGAAATGGAGAAACCCTTACAGGTAATTATGGCGAGGAGGGGTAGACCCACATTCACAGACAAAACCACAGCCTCAAATGCTGCCCTGCAAGACACTGTAACTCACAAGGAACAAGAAAGCCTTGTGAAAAAAGTTTGAACTCCATGAATTTTGACCTATTAGTCATCGTTTGGAGTTTAGAGGGCAGAACATTTTCCAAAGCTGGTGAATTTAACATAGCTCCAATACTTAGCAAGATATATACATTATTATTTTTATTTATTTTTGGTCTTTTTGAGACAGGTTCTCACTATGCAGTTTAGGCTAGACTTGAGCTCACTTTGTAGTCCAGGCTGGCCTCGAACTTGCAATGATTCTCCTGCCTCAGCCTCCCGAGTGCTGGGATTACAGGCGTGTGCCACCACACCCAGCCCATTATTTGTTTTGATCTGTTTTTTAGAAAAACAAAAACAAACAGAACTAGATGTGGGGTTGGGGAGACAAGCTGATTGCCTTCTCATGTATTTTATTAAGGCTTTCCCTTAATGGGTGTCCAGCTTCATAGCTACTACCCTAATTCCACAGCAGGTGGGAAATTTTGCTCCCTGGAAGAAGAACTAGCACTTTAAATTCCTTGTAATTTGAAATACACACTAGGCTAACCTTCCTTTGATGGATAAGCATAAAACCTGGGGGCTCATTAAAAAAAGACCTGTGCTTCAACGCTTCATCAAGGCCTGCCGAGCGCAGCCTGCTCTTACCATTTTTGTGCATGCTGGCGTCCTGCGTGGCCACAGAGGGCAGCCCTTCCATCATGGAGGTCCACTGCTTGAAGCGAGACTCAGTCCCCGCCTCCTTCCCACCAACCATGCCGTAGTCCATGCTGCCAGAACTGAAGCCTGAAACAGAGAATCACACATCTCTCCTCTCAGTAAGCAAGCGTGCTCAGGAGCCCATGAATGCCTTGTTTGTCACTCACAGATTAAGTCACAAAGTCTCTCCACACAGGAAGAAATTCTTTGATTTAAAACTCTAACTATAGTTCCCACTTGCTAAAAAAAAAATTGCTCCCTCCTTATTAGGGCATGATGACATATGCCACTGTTGTCTACTAAGTTGATCTCAGTGCCCATGTGCACCCACTTTTTCACTGAGCAAACGTGTGAGAAAGTCTCCTGGGGCCAGCCTTCCCCCAACTGGGGTGAAGACCACACACGAAGGCAGTGCGCAGAACAACCAACAGGGAACCCAGGGAGGGGGGGCTTTGTAGAGGGCCTAGGAAACCAAGTGCGAAGATCTGACATGTGACAGTCAAGTGTGTTCAGCACAATGGGACTCCAAGAAACCTGATTACAAAGTGTGGTGGAGAGTGGCAGGGAAGGGGGACAAATGAACAGTCATGTTATGCACGGTCTTAAAATTTTTCTGGCCAAGGAGCTGGGACCTTTCTCCCCATAGGATGGAATGAAATTTGTGCGTGTCATTGCACAATGACAGGGGCATAGTACAGGCATCCTGGGGAGGTGAGCAGGGCCACCACATCAAGGTTGTGAAGGCCTTCAGGGTTGAACGCTATACAGATCCAACCTGGCCAGACTCCTGGGGTGTCATTTTGCCTTCCTACCACTGGGATGCCTAAGAGGTCTTCTTCAAGCTCCACTTATCCAAATCCCACTGATGCTTACCTCATGGTTTTCTCCCCTGTGCTTATCTTAGTAGTCTGGGGTACTGTAATAAGCACATGATAAATCAAGGAGAAATGTTGCCCCTTGTTTAAAATGCTGCTATTTTTAAGCAGGTTGTGGTGGTATACACCTGTAATCCCAGCACTCAAGAGGCTAAGGCAGGAGAATTGTTGTGACTTCAAGTCCAGCCTGAACTACATAGTGAGACCTTATCTCAAGAAACAAGACTCCCCCCAACCCATCTGTCCTATGTGGTAAAAATGAAAGATGGGCAGACAGGGAGGCTGAAAGGAATGAGGGCTTTTTCTGACGTACGCCTTCAAAGACTAAGCAGGTTGCTCCCTGGACCAAGTATATTTCTGGATCTGAGAAAACTAGCCCAATATGCTTAGGTTATAGGCCATCTGAAAGCTTTTGAAAAGAACTCAGGATTCTGGCAGAGGTTAAAATGAATGCTGGTGGGATGATAAGGAAGTGTTCCTCATACATTAGTTTTCTTATAAGTCACCCTAACGTATCCTTAAAACTCATAGTGAATTAGTTAGTTTTAACTGCTCAAATTTTCTTGTGACACATGAACTAAGAATTACAAATCTTAGAAAGGGAAAAGGTGAGGAGCCGTAGTTGAAGTCTTGCTAAGTGGGCAAATGTCTCACTGGAAACCCGGGGACCAAGTGCCTTACAACAGGGAGGCACCACAGTCAGATCACAGGGTTCGGTAGGGAAGAGAAGGGCATGGGGAGGAAAGAGGGAACAGGAGATAGATGTCTTGGAAAGGTCAATATGTAAACCCAAAATGATGAGGGTAAGAACCAGTGCAGTGATGTACACTGGGGGCTGGGGATGCAGCTCAGTGGTACAAAGCTTGCTTAGCACACACATGACCCCGGCTTCCATCTTTAGCACTGGGTGGGACACACACACACATACACACAGTGACTTTCCCTCTTTTTGTTTTTTAGAAAGGAGAATAGCATATGACAGAGCAGGGATTGGAGAGATGGATCCACAATCCAAGAAAAGCCAAAGCCTGCCAGCACATACTGGAAGCTAGAAAGAGGGAAGGGAAGATTCTAGCTAGGAAGAAAACACACAATCCACTACTCCTCTTCATATATATATATTTCTGCTCACAATCCAAAGCACTTGCATATCAAAGCAGCGAGAGACAGAGACAGCACATGCGAGTGCCAGTTGTGATCACATGGCATTTGTCATCACACACTAGCAGTGAGGGACACACCTCATTTATCAACTTAAAACTTACTAGAGATGTTTGCTAATTCTTTCTTGTGTCCCTCACACTAGCATGAAAGTTTTCAAAGTTAATTTATTTTTCTTTATATTGCAGGTTAATTTATTTTCCTTTATATTTTGTAGCATATTACACTATTATAATCATTTTTTATGAGTATTTTTGGGTTATGGAATGAATCATTTTAGTTTCCATTATTTCTTATGGAGAAATTTGATACGTAAGTGCTTTGGATTACATGATTTGGGGATGAATTATGCTTGCAGACCAAGGTTTTACTACAATGGCAAGCAGAAACACCGAAATGACACCCAAGAGTTGGAGGCAGATTTATTTACATCGGGGTCATTCCCAAAATATCAGGCCCTGATGTCTGGTGGTCTAGGGCTTATAAGGGATAAGCAAGCAAGAAGTACAGAGACAGAATGGCTTGCCAATTGTGGATGGGTTCTTACACTATGCATCACAGTGACCAGCCATTTCTAACAAACAAAAGTAACAGAACTCACACAGTGACTTTCTTTGATGTCATACAGTAACCACATAACACTAGGATATGGAATGTGCCTGACGATTGTGATGGAAGAAACAGACACAGTGACTTAAGTGCTACCTTAAACGGAGAGTAGTGGTGACCTCTGGCATTTATCAACTCTCATAACTCAAACCCAGAAAAATAGTGACTCCACTGTACTCACCACTTTATCAAAACCAAACTTCTTCAGCTCTACCAACTGGCTTCCCTGTAACTGTCCAGCTCACGAATACAGAGCGCTTCAATTCAAATCAAACCAGCCAGTTCATCCAGCTCAGTGAGTATTTATAGGCAGCCTAATCTGGGCCAGGCTCTGTGTGAGGAGCTGAGGTACAAGCAGAGATAAGGCAGGCCCCTTACCTTCCCTGGGACTCATTTCACCAGAACATGCCTTTTACCTCTCTTACTGTTCTTCCAAGAACAACCCTTTGCCTACTTATCTGTCCTTGCCAGACTCCCTTTTCCTGCCTTCTCCTGCACACTTTAATTCCTCCTCTATTCATCCCTATCATTCTGGCTCCAATCTTATATTCTGAGGACAACTTCTCAAATTAACTTTCTCTTAAATTATGACTTTATTTCCCTATCTAGAGTTCAACTACTTTTTGCTGTTGTAGATCAAAAAAAAAACCAAAAAAACAAAAAAACAAAACAAAAAAAAAAACAAAACTATTGTTCTAGTAGTGTAGCTCAGTGGCAGAATCTGATGTGCTCATAATCAAGAAAATTGAAATATTTACTTGTTATTCTGTCTTTGACAATGTTTTTGGAGAAAATTTAATCTCTATATATACTTAAATATATTCTCAGCAAATTGTTTCCCCTGCTACTAGGAATTGAACCCAAGTCTTCACACTGAGCTATATCCCCAGCACTTTATTTTCTGAGAAAGGGTCTTGCTGTGCTTGAACTTTTGATCCTTCTGCCTCACCCTCCTGAGTAGCTTGGATTACTGCACCTAGCTATGAGTATCTGTAGATGCAGATTTAGCTTGTTTAAAATAGGTAGCCTTATCAAATTTATTTTCGGCTCCAAATATTTTTCAACTCAAACAAACATGATAGCACAAATTAAGGAAAATTATAACTAAATTACAAAATGTATCTTTCAAGGGAGATTATACAGCATTGGGTCAGGATTAAAATAAAAAAAGTGTTAGCTGGTTGTGGAGGCGCACACATTTAATAAAAGTACTCAGGAAGCTGAGGCAGGAGGACTGCTATGAATGTTAGGACAGCTCGGGCTACATAGTGAGTTCAGAGACAGCCTGAACTGCATATTGTGACTGTGTCTCAAAAAATGAAGAGAAAGAGAAAGAGAAAGAGAGGAAGAAAAAGAGAAAAGAGAACGAGAAAGAGAAGGAAAAGGAAAAGGAAAAGGAAAGGGAAAAGGAAAAGAAGAGAAGAGAAGAGAAGAGAAAAAAGAAAAGAGAAAAGAGAAAAGAAAAGAGAAAAGAAGTAAGTCTTGGGCTGGGAGTGAGCTCTTGGTGGGAGAGTGGCTGCCTAGCACGTGAGACCCTAGCTTTTCCTGATTCATCGTGTGTTTAGGCACCAGCATCATTAAGCTACTTGCTCTAGTTATGGAAGGGGATTTTCCTCCCACCTGGTGACATGCCCTTGGGCTAAGTGTGGAAAAGTTGAGAAGAGTGTTTTTAAAAATGTGTAAAAGCCACCTCTGACTCTCAGATGCTTTTTCACTGATCAACCTTGAGAACGCCTGCTCTCTCTCTGTGTGTGTGTGTGTGTGTGTGTGTGTGTGTGTGGCAGGGGGGGTGGTTGTATGTGTGGTTCAGGGATGAACCCAGGACTTCACTACCACAGAGCTACACCCCCAGCCCTACTGCACTTTGACAATGGAGCAAGCTGCTCTGCTTATCACACAGTGTGCCTATCAGAACTCACAGGCACTGAAATACCCAGGTTCCTCCATCAGGCTTCATCCTTAACAGAAAATCTGATTAAGAAGGTTAAAGCTGAAGCTGGATATAGTGGCACACACCTATGCTCCCAGCCCTGGGGGAAGCTAAGGCAGGAGGATTGAAAGTTCATGTTCTACCTGGGCCACTTAGCAAAACCTTGTCTCAAAAATAAGAAAGGGTTGGGAATGTAGCTTGTGATAGCAGACCCTTGGATTCAATCCCCAGCTCGGGACAGGCATGGGGGGAGGTGGAAAAGTTGGAATCCTGTGGTCACCACACTTCTATGAATCATGATGGGAGACTCTCCCAGCCTTGGTACTCACTCTGGCAGGCCACAGGGGACAACAGCAGAAAGAGGTGCCATGCACGAAGAGCCTGCCCTTCTCTATCAGATGGAAGAAAGGTTACTTTTGTTTCTTTGTTTTTGGTGCTTGCAGATTTTAGTTAAGTGTTCTAGCACTGAGTTACACTCCTGACCTCAAAAAGGCTATTCTGAATTTAAGTCAGTTTGCAGGTCAATCTTTTTCTGTTTGGCACTGGGGTTGAACCCAGGGTCTTCACACTGAGCTACATCCCCACCCCTTTTTAAAAACTGAGACAGGGTCTCAACTAAGTTGCCAGGCTGGGTTCAACTTTACAATCCTCCTGTCTCAGCCTCACAAAGTGCTGGGATTACAGGTGTGCACCACAATGCCTAGCTCACAGCCAATCATTTTTAAGAGGTTGGTTAGTGGAAGGAAGCTGAGGATCTGGGCACTCCCTTCACCCGGAGGCCTTTGCTTATCCCTAAATGTGGGCCTTACAAAAGCAGAAGTACAGGATCAGAGCACAGAGCAGCCACTTATCCAGCCACTGTTGCCCGGAAGTGTGACTTTCAGGCCTCCTCAACTCTTGTTTTGAGTTTGCATAAAATGATAACTTCTTTACCGAAATAAATCCTAAATGTCAGTTTGTGAAGGAACTGCTGTGATACGTGGTCCTTCTTAGTTTTAAATTTTATTTTGAAGTCATTATTGCTTCACTGATGGGAATCTTCTCATAGCATGTTCCCAAATTGTAAGATTTCCCTGCCAAAAACATTCTTAATGAATGTCAAAGGCACAGACTTGAGCTAACTCTATTTAAATCATATGACATTCTAGTATCAGATGAATTTTTATCAATCTGCCTTAAATAATTTAGCTTCTCATTCTTTAAGCAGATAATTTTATTAGTCTAGTGAAACACTTCAACTTGTACATATTTTAATAGATTATAACCTCAGCCACATGTAGCATTCACAGCATGTACTAACATTTAACTGGCTCTAAAGGCCAGGTGTAATGATGTACACCTGTAATTCTAGTACTTGGGAGGCAGAGGCAGGATTCCCTTAAGTTCGAGGCCAGAGCTCAAAACCCAGGTGAACTACATATCTATCTATCTATCTATCTATCTATCTATCTATCTATCTATCTATTTATCTATCTATCCATCCATCCATCCATCCATCCATCCATCCATCCATCCACCATGACCTTTTTTTTCTCAAAAGCAAAAAACAAAACCACCAACCAACCAAATAAGCAAAAACAAACAAACAAAATCCAAAACAAACAAAAAACCCAAAACCCAGTTAAGTGGTTAGTAGTGTAGCTTAGAGGCCTTAGTCTCTCCCCAAAAACCTAGTGGAAGGGATCAATTTAGCCTTTATACACATAGCAGCAAGCTGCTCTGGAATTGGTATCTGCTATTTACTAACTGTATGGTGAAAGCCTGAGAAAACCACTGAAACTTAAGAGCCTCAGATAACTCAATTTCCTGTGTAAAACAGGGATTATCTACCTTGTATGGCTACTGTTAAAATGCAGGGTAATGTGGATCTAATTCCTACCACAGGCTAATGCAGGCAGATTTTTAAGACGGTATTTTTCATTATGAACAACGTACCAGAACCATATCCAGGGATTGGCCCTTTGGCCTGGAGGTCTGGGAGCCCCACATTCAGTGCGTTGGGTACCATGTTGTCCAGATGTGGCTTGGGCCCAACAGGATGGGACGGTGAATGCTTCATGCTAGTCTGTCGCTGCTGCTGCTGCTGCTGCTGTTGCTGCTGCTGCTGAAGAGCACTCACCATTCGAGCCAACTGCCAGGTCAAGGAGCAGCCCAGGAGAAAAGGACAAACAATCAGCCAACCGCCTGAACTGCACTGGAGATGGCTGCATAGGACCACTTTTTGTTATCAGAAGGGAAGCCAAGATGTGGGGTCTCCCACTGAGCTACATCCACACATGAAGAGCACTGGGGGAGCCTTTCCCTTCCACATACCTGCTGCTCTTGCTGCTGGCGCACTGCTTGTGAAAGCTTTCTCTGGTTTTGGAGCAACTGCTGCTGCTGCTGCTGCTGCTGCAGGAGAAGCTGACATGCCTACAAAGCAAGAAAGAAGAGAAGGGACCAACGCTTCCTAAGATGGGCAGTCTAGGAACACTGAAAGCATTTGTACGCTGCAGTGCAAGTCACTGAGTCAAAAGCAACAACAAAGGAAATACTGCTGACTTTCTGGTCAACTGGTTATGTTTACCTCTAGCTGAGCTGATACTTCAACTCTTACACACATTCAACAGTTTGCACAAAAGTCTGAAGTAATGTCCTTCAAACATAAGTGACTAAGATATGTAAAAGAAATTAAAGCTAAAGGCAAAAAAAAAAAAAGCAAATAACATTTGGGGAACTACAGGAGCAAAATCACGACTTACCAACTGAAACTGGGGAATCTGTGGAAGCTGGCTCAGCATGGCAATTTGTTGAGGAGATAACTGGGGCCCCACATTGAAAAGACCTGGATTCAGGCCACTGTTGGGAAACTGCTTGAGCATTGAGGCAGAAACCTAGCCAAAAAAGGGGAGGGAAATTCTCAGAATTCCAAAATAAAACTTTTTCTGTGAAAAATAATTTTAAGCAAGAATTACCATTTTTTTCCTTGAAAAAATTTGTTTTGGGACAGTTTCACTAAACTGGCCTTCAACTCACAATGATCTTCCTGTCTCAGCCTCCTAAATGCTGGATAACAGGCATGCGCCACCATGCCCAGCCCATTTGAAAAATATGTGAATAAAAACCATCGAAGTGTTAACAGTGATTATCTCTGAGCAGTAACATAAGAACTTTTCAATTTTCTTCCTAGATTTTTCCGATTTTCTAAATAAAAATAAATTTTATAATAGGAAGTCATCTTCAAGAAAAAAAGATCTGATGACAATAGTGCTTTTGCCTGATTGAAAAATTATTGCTGGAAATGTGCCATAAAACAAAACATACCAAACTGCACAAAATGAACATACAAATGCTTGCAAGAAAGTATCTGTTATACAAATAAGAACATACATATTAACTTCTAAGAAAGACACTAGAGTTTCAACTGATAACTTCTGATATCAAATACAGTCACAGAGAGCCGATGGAAAGAGCCTGGAGGTCAGACAGCCCAGCTGGTTCCTTCTCGCTGGGTTTCAGGAACAAACTAGGCTAGGCTGCTGGAAGCTCTGGTAACAGACAGGGGATTCCCTCCCACCTTTGGAACATTCAGTTAAGTTGTCTCAAGTGAGCTGAAATGAGCTCTTCTGTACTTTTACCCTTGGAACCCACTGGTCATTTGGGCCATGAACAATAAACATAATTCCTCCTCCCACGAGGGGAAGCAGCACACAGTCAAGCTGGCCATGGCATGGTGGTACATGCCTGTAGTCTCAGATACTTAGGAGACTGAGGTGGGAAGATCACCACTTGAGCCCAGGAGTCAAGGCCATGACCATGTCTCAAAAAAACCAAACCAAACCACATCAAACCAAACAAAACCCCAAATGAATGTATTGCTAGAGGTAGCCTGATTGGTCATGTGTCCCAGCTCCGCTATTCCTAAGCTGTGGGCCTCAGAACATTTATGACTTATTCAACTTTGTGAGCCTCATATGCTTTATATCCCAAACAGGAGTAATAGTAACAAATTCCATGGACTGTCTGAAGATTTTGAGTTGATCTATGTCAAGTGCTTAGAAATGTACTTGGTAAATGTTCCTATTATACTGTATGATGGTTCTTCAAACATCTAGAGACACAAGAATTACAGTTCCTTTGCCTCTCAGCTTCGGCTAAACATGACCAGTTTTTTCATCTGTAGCTCACTCTGTTTCTCAATGAGGAGCTGGAGCAGAAAGCCGTTTTCTAGGGAAGAGTTTCACACCAAGCAGACTTGATCACGTCTAATCATCCTCTTCAAACACAGCACCTGTTAATGTAGCCTCCGATCTCAGTTTCTCGGATGATCACATCCTAACTTCTAATTCAAACACTAAGCACAATGTCTATTAAAATCTACAATGTTTTGCTCTTCCCAAGTAATATTTAATATTTAACCCATGCAGCTGTGTTTTAATTTTTATGAATTTATTACTTGATTCAGGTTTAGGACCTTCTATTTTTATGTGCATGGCACACAGTAGATGCTCTATAAAAAGCCATTAAACAAATGAACTTCTAGTATATTTTAACCTAAGAGTCCCTCCACCAAGTTCTTTTCTCTAGTGTCATTTCACTTTTTCCAAGTGTGTATTGCCCCACTGGGTCATCCATGGGAGTGTGAAACTTGACAGAACACAGGATAATCTGGTCATATGTTGCTAAAAACTCCCTTCCACCCTGAACTGTATCAGTCTTTACACAGTCAACCATACAACTATTTAGCATTTATCACACAACTGTTTAGCATTTAACTTATATTTCCCATTTCATCCAAAACAAAAAGCATGTCTGGTGGCCTACTAAATTATAGGTATAACTGTATCATTCTCATAATCCAGTATTTTTGACCAATCAGTGAAGGAAATGAGTTAAGGTAAAATCTGGTAGCAAACTATGGTTATTGGTAACTGACAGAGGTGGTCACAAACCATCTTTTTGAAAATCTACTTTAGATTCATGCCTACAGTTGACACCAAGCTCATCAGCTGTTCAGTCATTTTACTTCTTTTGGAAACTGTAAAAATGTCCCCATTCTCCTGGTTTCTTGGCAGAGGAGAGGTACTTCTTTTTCTTTTCTGATTTGAAGTTACACCTACAGGTACCATCCACCCTTAGTAGAACACTTCAGGCCCTTAGCTCTTCTCAGCAGGCAGCAAGCCTGGAGGGAGGACTGTCCCATGCCATCAGGTGGGTTAAGTTTAGAATTTAGCATTAGGAAGCTCACATACTCTAACATCTACTTCACTGGTCACTCTGGCCCCAACACTGCTTCCTCTTTTGCCTTAAATTTTGCCAGAATTTCTGCAGAAAGAGGGGTTGTCATTACTGAACACCTCTTGAAGACCACCCCCCCAACATTCCATAAAGGTCCCAGACAAGGCTCTATGATCCTTTACATAAATTCCTTCTTTGCTGTACAACTAAATTTGTAGCCCTTCTAGGTTGAACTTTTTGTGCAATGCTGGGTATTGAACCCAGAGCCCTGCACATACTTAGGTAAGTGTTCCACTGCTGAGCGACAAACCAGCCCTGAATATCCTTCCTCTCAAGAGAGAAAACAAGCTCTTTGGTCTTGGCTGCACAGTTGAGATGACAAAGGGAACATCATTGTTTGGAAAGCATAAGACATACATGAGCCACCGCTGTGGCTCTAAGGCCTAGTACTTTTTAGAAGTTGACCTGTGACAAATGTGGCTGCCCTGCCAAGAGCCAGAGAAAGGATAACTGGAGTACAAAGGCTAAAAGGTGAAAGATCATCAGAACTGGGTGAATGAGGCACCTAAAAATTGTGTATTGTAGATTCAGGCATGGATTCCGTGGAGGAACAACACTTAAACCCATGACAACAGCTGTTGTAACATCCAGTTCATCCTGAGAATTTCAGTGATTACTCAAAGTAAATGCTTTGAGATATGTATATATATAAAGAGAGAGAGAGTAGGAGAGAGAGAATAGGGGAAAAAAGCCATAAAACATGACTACTACTTTACAATTATCTGTGGGCATTATACAATTAATTTAAGCAAGGATTCCTTTCCCAGTCATCAAACTTCACCAAACCAAACTCTAAATGTTATTTTAATCTGCCTTTTTTTTTTTTTTTTTGCAAGCTTTGGGCTATTTTGTGTTCTAACCTCCAATGTAACTCTTTTTTTTTTTTGGTTTTCTCCGGTACCGGGAACCGAACTCACGACCTTGCACTTGCCAGGCAGGCGCTTTTGCCGCTGAGCTAAATCCCCAGCCCCCTCCAATGTAACTCTTAAATGTTTATCCTTGCATGCCAGAAGTGTGACAGAATAAAATCCTATTTCCCTCGGTGCTGGGAATTCATAAACCCAAGGCCTTCACTGAGCTATACCTCAGCCCTTTTTATTTTGCCTCAGTAAATTGTTTAGACTGGGTTTGAACTTGTGATCTTCCTGCCTCAGCCTCCCACAGTGCATGGATCACAAGTATGCGCTACCACATCTGGCTGAATTTCTCTCTCTCTCGTAGGGAGAGAGCAACCTGAGATGATCAAAGCCAGGGCCTCCAACATGCTTTGCTGCTGATTCTACTACTGACCTACGTCCCCAGCCCTGAGAATGTAAGAATATACCATTAAAATGAGTTCTATTAGTTTCTCTTTACCTTTTATAATGTGGCTATTAAATTTTAAAAATCACATTATATGGCTTGTGTTATACTTCAATTGGGCAGGGCTACTCTGGCTCATCAGCATTGTATCCAAATTCCTCTCCAAAGTTTTCTTCTGTGATTCATGAGAGCTCTTCTCTGCTTGTTTTACCTTCAACCTGTTGGCATCCAAAATATATAGCCATTGTCTGAGCTTTCATTTCCCTTCTTTTGTTCCGTTTTACTAGCTCTACTGAACAAACAGGTAAGTCTTTGGACCAACTCACTTCTCTCACTTCTCTCCAGTTTGGGAACTGGATGTCATTCCTTGAGAAGAGCTCATTACTCTGTACCCCTTCCCACCAATCCTACCATTTAAAGAAACAGCCACTGAAGGATTATACACAAAAGACACACAAGTATATGTCCTAGGAGACAAACAGAAGAATATTCATAGCAATATTGCTCATAATAGTAAATATCTAGAAACAATCCAGATGCCCAAGAATAACAGAAAAGGTAAATATATTACATTCCCATAATGTGGTTCTATAAAAACCACGAGTACTCAAAGGAACATCTCAGAAAAGAAAAAATAAAGGGGGGGCAGGGACTACATACTGTATGATTTCTGTAAGTACAAAAAAGCAAAATGAAACAATTGTTAAAGACAGACATCTACAGAAGGACTAAAAAAAGCTCAGGAGTGCTAACACATGGCATTATCTCATATGTTCCACAAAACAACAATCTCAGAAACCATGGAAGTTACACTTATAACACTTCCTACCCAGCCTTGCTCAACTTCTGCTTCTGCAGATTCTCCCTTCTCCCTTCCTGCTTCCTCCACAAAATCACAAAAAGACTGCTGGGAAGCACCGCTACACTCCTGGCAAAGGGCTGTTCACACCTAGATTGCAGTGAGTGAAGTGCAGGTTTGCACACTCGCAGTACAGGGAGTTAATTATTCTGGCTTAAAAAGGCTTCTGTCTCCACCTGGACTGGAGAAAGTAAAGATCTTGTAATCAATATGGCACTGAACAAGCACTACAGGTGCAAAATGGTAGGAACTTGTAGTGGTTGATTATGTTCACTTGAGAAGTTTAGAAGCATAACTAAACGTGGCTCAGCAATTGGCTCAGCAATTCTACACCCTAGGGTGGATCATCACCTAGATAATATAAAAGGGAGATGAAGAAGGACAGAGGTACTTCCATTCCTTTTGGAGGAGCTCCAGTCTTCACCTTCAGCTTGGACTTAGTGTCCTGGCTTCTAGGGCAGACTCTTCGGCTTCCACCTGGGATCCTGCAGCCTTCCATTGCAGACTCATCGGCTTCCTTGTACAGACTTGCACGGAACTCTGCAGTGAACTCCAGACCCTGGACTGATTCTTTCCGTCTTCATTGTGCAGACACGCTCTGCACGCTTCCCCATACAACTCTCTGGCTGACCGCCATAAGCCAGTCTTGTAATTTCTTTTAATTTGTACATCCTGTGTTATGTCTGTTTCTCCGGTAAAACCCTGACTGACACAGAATTTAAGGCAGGACAAAACAGCCTGGTACAGTATTTAACTTTCTGAATATGTCAGCCACTGAAGGAAAAAGGAACAGTTGGAACAACAAGCTCCCCTACCCCCAGGGAACCCAGGGCTTGCACAACCAGGGGAGCCTCAGCCACTGAGCCACACCCCCAACCCCCTAAATCTTAAAGATGAGTTGCAGTTTCTGTTGTCTATGCTTACGTTAAAATAGTGACTTCTCCTATAAAGTGATTACACTGAATGTAAATTTTGATGTTTATTAAACATTTTTAAAATGGTCATTGGGCTGAGGATTTAGCTCAGGGGCACAGCACTTGCCTGGCAAGCGCAAGGTTGTGAGTTCGATTCCTGGTACCAGAGAAAAACAAACAAACAACAACAACAACAAAAAAAGTTCATGTATATTGCCTCAGAAATGGCATTCTCTGGGCATTAGTTTAGAAAAAGAATTCAAAGAAAAACATCTGAAAGAAAAAATTGTTTTTGTTTTTAAAATATAGAAATTTCAAGGAAAAAAAATGGAATATTTCATTAGTTTATATCCTGCTTCCATTATACATTAAGTAAGTGTTAACCATGTCTGGCTAAATAAACCATTTTTGAGGGTACTGGGGATAGAACCCGGCGCTAAGCTACATCCCCAGCCCTTTTTAAATATATCTTATCTTGAGACAGGATTTCACCTGGGCTAAGCTGCCCAGGCTGGACTTGAACTTGTGGTCCAATTATCTCAAGTCCCTCTGACTGCTAGGATTACAGGCATGCAATGCCACACCCAGAATACACTTTTCTTTAAGTAGAGCCAATACTTTGGTTACATCTGCAGCATCCAATCTTTAGTCAAAGCTAACTGTGCTTTTCTTTTTTTTTTTTTTTTCTTTTTGAGACAGGGTCTCACTGTGATGCAGTTCAGGCTGGCCTTGAGCTCATTTTGTAGCCCACACTGGTCTCGGACTCGCAACAATCCTCCTGCCTCAGCCTCCCAAGTGCTGGGATTACAGGCGGGCACCACCACGTCCGGCCTCTAACTGTGCTTTTCTAATGATTCCACTTTGGAAACCATTCTAATAAGCAATGTCCCATGACCTGACATAGTCACTGAGTTCAAAATATGTGCCAGGCACAGGTGGAGATGCTTAGGCTCTAGGAGTGAACGAAGTGGACCAGTCCCTGCCATGGTGAAATGTGATACACACTCTGAGGGTCAGGGGGGCAGAAAGACAATGAACAGAGCAAACAGGAGTAAGGAGATGGAGAGTGATGGGGTGACGGTGTACAGTCTGTAACAGCCTGGGAAAGGTTGTCTGCTAAAGCGGTGCTGAAGAAGAGCTCCTAAGCTGAGTGGCAATCTATGAAAAGAGCATTCTCAGTATATGCTTGGTATGCTGGGAACACTCGGCTGGAAAGACATGAATGCATGGGAGACTCACAACAGGTACTGGGGAAGACTGTCACCAAAAACCCCAGAGACCCAGGAAATGATGCTGCATTCTGAGTGAGAAAACAAGCCCTGAGGGGATTGCCAGAAAAGCAATAATATGACCAACCTATGTTTTAGAGTAGTATTATGCAGAGCTTTCTGTAATGTTGAAATAGCTACTAACTAGGTATAGTTATTTATATATGAGTTAATTAAAATAAAATCAAATAAAAAATACAGTTCTTTCAGCCCACCAGCCACATTTTCAGTGCTCATGTAGCTAATGGCTACCACAGTGGGGCTTTAGAAGATCAGCCTGACTCACAATGCACACACCAAGAACTCAATGAGGCAGAGTGAGGCAGGTAAAAGGTCCCTGTAATCACCTGGGAGAGGAATGGTGGTGACCTGGCCAGCGACTGTATTACATGAGGTGGTAAGAAATGCTCAGAGTTCGGACAAAGTCCTGGAGGGAGGATTTATTGATGGACTGAATGTGCACCACAGTAAGTGGAAAGGTTCAAGATCAGGCACTCTGATGATTACATGTTGGGAAAGTTAAGAGGCACTTATAATGGAGATAGAAAAGGAGATGCAGATAGAGAACCAAAGCAGAAAACCAACGTAGAAGGTGTCTGAAACCTAAATGAGGCAAGTATTGCAGGAGGGAGTGATCAGCTGTGCCAATACTGCTGACACACCGAGCAAAAAGTGACTAGAAATGGGAGGATTGTATCCTGTGACAAAGAGGGGAGGTGCCCTTCCTAAGAGTGTCTGAACTCCCTCTGACACTGTCTTACTTGCACTCCTTTGCTAACCTTGCACTGCTTTCCTCTGCTCTGCTTATTCCCCCATTCAAACACATCTTCCTGTTTACTACCCATGTCATCTTTCTAACCTAAACCACAAGTTTTCTTGTATTACCGCTCAACTGAAAAATCCTTGCTCAGCAATACTTTACCTACAACACTAGTTGAAGTTTAAGGTGCATACAAAGATCACCTGGGGACCAAGCTCCAAAGTGCAAGACTTTTAAGTAGAAACTCAGGTAATGGTTACGAACCAGGCTGACATGGGTTGGCCTACAGGGCAACACCAAAACTCCTAAGCAGGGGAAACAAAGCTTTGAACCAATGTGGCTCCAAACACACAGTCTAGTTTCTTCCTATTCCAGCCTGGATAGCATGCATACACTTCAACCAGATCAAAATAATTCTTTAAACTAACTTCAGTTCCCCAAACATGCCACATCCTTTTGATTATCACTGCTCCTTGCACAAGAGGCTCCTGCTCCTTGGAAGGCCTCTTTAATCTCACTGTGGCCTAAAAACGGACTAATTCTTCATGATCCGGTTTAAATGTGACTGCTAGTGCAAAGCTTCATCCAATTCCCCAAACTGTTATTAAACACTTCATTACGACATTTACTCTGATATTATTCTGCTATCAGAGGAACAGGTAGGAGACCCACACACATCTCTCATCCCTACTTCCAAGAAAACCAAATGACATACCTCCTATTAAGAAACAGAACTAAAGGAGTCCTATGGTATCCATAGGACCATGTCCTACACACTTCACCTACAAGCCTCTACCTCATTAGCTCTAGAACGTTTTCCAGAGCATCTAGTTTTTTTTTTTAAAATACATAACCCCTCAAAATTTGGGAATAATCCACAATCTGATAATTCTCCTGTGTGTGTGCAGGTGAACCCTCAGGAATGACTTCTAGGTGTTGTCATATCAGAATTTATAAAGTAATTTTGACTATATGTAATGAAAAAAAAACCAGTACCAGACAGTATTAGAAAATAATTTGGGTAAAAGAAATACAATCATAATAATTTGAATAAAAGAAATACAATCATAATGTTTTTCATACAAAACATCTACTTTGTATGTGTGATGCAGTAAGAAAAAAAAGATTTGATAGTATTTTCTGACAATTCTGAATTTGGTACTCAATTTCCCATGTTTTAGGTTAATAACTACCATTCATTTCATATGCACAAAACCAGTCAGTGAACAGCTGGTAAATGAACTAAATGGTCTTTAATTCTGAATTATTGAAACATAAAATTGCTTACCTGGGGGGAGATAAACTGGGGAGGCACTTGCGCCCGGAGACTAGGAGAAGAACTCAGTGGCTGCACTGGGGTGTGCAGACCTCTCGATTGTGCTGTGCTGTTTCCAAACAAACCATGATTGCTGCCCTGTAGATGTAACAGCACCAGTGAGACTTTTGTTACCGAAAGAAAATGCATGTAAGCAGCAGTTCTGGTTTCTACCCCTCAGAGGAATCATCTGTGTTCTGTGGAATCACAGCACTTTAAATTGAGAAGCTCCTCGTCTTGGAATGCGGGGAGGGGGCAGTTACTCAAATGGGGTCATAGGCATGCCATTCACCATCTGAGCAGCCTGATGAACTCTACAAATCAAAAGGGTTACATCCAGCCAAATGTTACAAGCAGCGCTATATTCTTTTTATCTGATAGAAAAATTACAGGCAATATGAGATTTAGTTCAATTAAACTACTTTCTTTTTTAAGGATGGGTTAATTTTATTCTCAAACTTTATAGTTGCAGATCCATCTTAAAAGGCACCTGCCTAGAAGTACATGCTTATAAATAATACCAGTGTAAAATAACACCATGAGAGCACTTCTCTGAATTGGGTAGTTTAACCATCCATTGCTTACTCCAATAGAGAGCCTAGGGCCACGAGGACCCACTCCAGCTCTCAACACCCTTTCCTATCTCGGATTTGTTCAACCTCTTCTTTGCTAGATGAGGAAATATTAATCATTTGCACAGAGATAAAAAGGGAAAAAGTAAAACCATTCCATGGATACTAAAACAAGTATTACTCACCTGTAACTTTTCATTCAAATGTATGATTATCAGTTTAGTTAAAGGTAAGCTCAATTCCCTGGTTTAGAGGACCACCTCCCTGAGCATATCTCCACTGCTCCAATCAATGCCACAGAAAGCTGGGCTGTACGGTGGTCCTGGTCTTTTGATTTGTTTCTAGTGAAGAAAATCCTTCAGCACACGGAGACTGTTCCCTACATCATCTTTACTTGGCCTCTTCAAGGCCCAGCGCAGAGGCCAAGCTGTCTTCCCTAAGACCTTTTTCACCGCACATGCAAAGTAACTGAGCTCACCTCTTTGTTATCACAACACAACGTGTCATCATTATTTGCCATTCCGTCTTTTTACCACCACCTGAATCCTTCCCTCTTTGCATTCCCAGAACTCAATAAAGCCCTGGTCTGTAGGATGCATGCATCATTTGCAAACATCCATCACCCACCAATTTATACACCTGAAAACATTGTGCTGAGCACCTTCAGCAAAGAAAGCTGCCCCAATGTTTATACTGAGGATATAAACCCTGAATTGAAGTTGCCATCAGCTTATCACAGAGATAAGGCGATTTTCAAGAATTTCATGATGGCATCACTAAATTCTAGAACACTAAAGATACTCATGATGGCTTAATGATTCAAAAATAGATTAAGGAGCTACTATAGGTAAATTAATAAACTTAAAAGCACTGAAAATAAAAATGATTATAAACATAAAGTAGAAATGGCAATTAATATCTGTATATCTCAGAAAAAAAAATCAAAGATCCATCGTGAGTTTTATATTTCCCAAAGGACTGTTTAGATATGAGAAGACCTTTAATTCTGTCAACTGCAATGTCTTTTATTTCTCCTGTTTGATTCTTCAAACTGTTAGTCTAAGGTGAAATGGCTCAGCTCTAACTTTTCTTGATTGTGACAGCTTTGGTACTGATTATTGCCAAGAAAAAGGAAATGTATTTCACCAAGAATGGTCTAGTAAGATCACTCTCACATTTTACTACCAAAGTAATACCCTTACGACTAGATGCCATTTGCTCACAACTGGTTCTGGGATGGTGGAGCTGCCAGAGCTACAGTCTTTGCTGTGAGCGTGTGTGTGTGCGTGTGTGTGTGTGTGTGTGTGTGTGAGAGAGAGAGAGAGAGAGAGAGAGAGACAGAGAGAGAGAGAGAGACAGAGAGAGAGAGAGAGATGGGGGGAGACAGAGACAGACTAAGACTGAGTTTGAACCTGGGACCTTGTGATGACAAAAATGGATTGTACCACTGAGATACACCCTCATCCCTGTGGGATTCATGTATCATCATTGTCACCATTACAGACAGGGTCTCAGTATGTTGGCCTTCAACTTCTGGGCTCAAGCAATTTTCCTGCCTTAGCCTCCCATCTAGCTGGGACTACAGGCATGCACCACTGCATCCAGCTTAGAGTCTTTATAAAGTCAAGCCATACTTTCCTCTTCCTAGTAGACAGATTCCACTCTTCTTGCCAAAGTCCAAGGGTCTCTAAAGCCATAAATAGTATTGTGATATATCTGAAATGGTTAATAGTACAGATAAGTCAGTAGCAGTCTATCAAAAAATCTCTTTCCTAAATCTTAATATGGGACCTTGGCATCACTACCTGCTCATTTTCTTGGCTCAGGTGTGCTGTATTATATAGAGATAGATTGGGGAAAATCATATATTCCTAGCCTCTTAAAAAATTAAATTTAGAAAACAGGAAAAGCGATAATCCAAAGCTTGTGGGCCAGGGATATAGCTCAGTGGCACAAGTGCCTGCCTGGCAAATGCAAGGACCTGAGTTCGATTTCCAGTACAAAAAAACAAAACAAAACAAAACAAAACCCCAAAAAACAAAGCTTGTCTCTATACTAACTCTGGCTTACCTGGCTATTGCTAAAGCTTGACTGTTGTGTGTGAGGCTTCTAAGAGGACCTGATACCTCATGGTTATTGGTGACATTTGCCTCAACTCAAGTTTAACTCAGAAAAGTAAATACATTTCAAACACAATGAGCAAGCAGATTGAAATCTTCTGTAATTTGGAAAATAAAAATCATAAAACTTTTATTTTAAATTATAAAGTATATCAATTAACTCTGTATAGTATACTCTGAAAAAATCATAACCTTATTTGGATAGAGCACATGTACTGACCTAGCTATCAATGCACTTCATAGAGATCCAAAAACACAAAAAGGAATGACCTTTTCTGAAAACCCAATGCCAAGCTAGTTTGGCCAGTCTATTATGCTTGAGTTTATGTGCTGACAGCATCTGATAACTATGTGATCTTAGAACCACATTTATAATCAGCATTAACCAGAGTGTCTCTTTGTGTATATAAACAGTATATATACATCTTCTCTGTAAAATGTGGGGGATATAAAGGAAGAAAACAAAAGATTGCCTACTACTCTCAATTCAGATATAACCAATCTGAGCATATGGACAACTGGAAAGCATACAAGAGATCTGTGTGCAGCCCGACTATGGTGTAAGAGATATTGCTTCACGTCATCATTAATGTATCTGTGAAAGTCACCATGTGCGACAGAATGCATCCAACTAGTAATTTACGCACTGTATAATTAAGGTCCTCTCATGACACCCTGAGGTGAAGAGCACAGTGACAACTGAGGGGTCACAGAACTATGGTTGGGATTATTAGAATTAATAATTCTAGAGTTTTAAATTATTGTTGGAAAGGCACTGTGATTCCAAATTCCTGGTTTCCTCCACAAAAGCCGAAACAGACTACGGAGTGACAGAGCTCTGTGCTGTGTGCCTCCGGCCTGTGAGGGGGAGAAGGCATCATCCAACCTGTTCTGCCAGTTCTATCTCCACTGCATGGCTCTTCCTTGGAGGACTGCCAGGTGCAAGCCCAGCAAAAGGGCCACTCTAGGTCCAGTGAAACCCTGCCGCATCTAAGCAATATCTCCTCTTTTCAAAGCTCCATTATGTATTAAAGTTACCCTACTCTGGTAATTGTTGTATCTTTCACTTACAGATACTGAAGTTCTTTGACATAAAGTTGCTTTAAAGTTTTTAGATGTTGTAACTCTCATGCTTAATCTTTTTTTTGTTTGTTTGTTTGTTTTCCAGTACTAGGAATCAAACTCAAGACCTTGCGCCTGCCAGGCAGGCGCTGTGCCACTGAGCTAAATCCCCAGCCCCTCTCATGCTTAATCTTACTAGGGTTTTTTCCCTGAATACTAGGTATTGAACCCAAGGAGTACTGAACTACTTCCCCAGCTTGGGTACTATTATTTTAATTAGCAGGTATATTATATTGAAAAGACCCACAAAATATTGCTTATTATCTAATCTAATGTTAAAAATAGCAAATGTATTATTAAATTAGAGATTATATAAGGTAACTTGTAACCTCATTAACACATTCCTAAATCAGTTATTAGTTAACTGATTCAGTGTGAATTCATGACCAAAAAATGGCAAGACAAAAGAAACAAGTTTAAAATAAAATCCATGTTGAGAAACATGAAGAGAGATGGTTCTATGGGCTCAAAGATCTAAAACCTACACTTAATATCATTCTGTGCATTCATTAATCAACAAATTTCCCAAGACAGACAAATGATGCAATAAACTGCAGACCAGAGCCAAGGCGAGGCCACAGCCAAGCAGTTACAAATTTGAGAGGCCTCCTTACTTGTCTAGCAGCGAAGTTTTGGGGGTTGAGCCCTGTGCCGATTGCTCCAAGGCTGACGTTGGGTAGTGTGGAACCAGAGGGAGACAGCTTGTAGCTGGGAGTAGGGGAGAAGGGAGAGCAGGGAGCCTCATCCCCAAGGCACCCATCTTGATTGGAGAAAGGCAAAGTCAGCTGAAAGGCAGTAGGAGTTAGCCAATCACAATGAGTGTTGGTTAGTGAAGCAACAGAATGCAAGAAGGGAAAGAGAGAGACACTAGGAATAAACAAAGTGAGAGCGTATTAGCAATAACCAGGGTGGAATTTGGATCTGATAATAACCATCATACTTTGCCCAGCAGACACCATCTGTCATCCTCTTTGATAAAGATCTTTCTTTTCCTCTCAGTAACACATTCTGTCCATTGCATTAAGAAGAGTTGTCATACCCTTATTTTTAGGCATCTAATATTGATTATTCTGTGTAGCTCCTGAAACAGAAGCCAGGACAATCATTTTATGAATATGTTAATGCCTGGACCAGCATCAATTATGTCAAAAAGGTGGCAGATCTAAAAATTTTGATTTTAATTGCTTTGTGGACACCAGGAGTACTGCAGATTGGTATTCTGAATCAAGGAATAATCTCCTCCATTAGAAATGTAAAGGATCAAAACCAACAGATATAAACTGCTTGTTTCAATCAGTAGTTGAGAATTTGAAAAGTATATCATTATAACTAAACACAAACCAATAGAGAAGTAGAAAAGATAAAGAGTTCTTTCAAAAGCAGAAGGCAAGGCCTTAGGAGACGGCAGCATTTACACAAAACCCAACATTTGACTTGTAGCTGCAAAGCAGCTAAAAACAGAATTCAGAATAAATTCATCCCTAAAATTCTGCTACCTGTTTCGAGTGTGCCCTAAATTTCATGAACATTTCAAAATTTAACCTTTATCACAATACTCACTTGCTAAAGACAGATGGTTCTAACTCCTGTCCCATTACCTATTGACATTAACCGTTTTCATGTCACCACTTTAGTGCAGGTGATGTTTGTCTTTTGCTGAGTTCCGTAATTCTATGCTTCCTCCAGAATAAGTTCTCAAAAGATAAATGGGAACCAAAGTGCTTCTCATAAATCATTTTAAACGAAGGATTCAACCCACCTTCTCAAAATAAGGCCCACTATCTGTGGTTCCCATGTCTTTGGAATTAGGTGGACGGAACCCAGATCGATCCTTCCTCATGATATCATTAAAATCCCCGAGATTCATTGCTCGCTTGTCCACATCAAATTTCTTATCTGAAAGAACATAAACAAGAGTGAAAATTTCAAGAATCAATGTTTCCCACAAGAACGAAGAGTGACCTGTCATGCCAGCCTCGCTGGGGTATAAGGTATGAGGTCTTTCTACTCTGGGGATAAGATCAGGAGAACTCTCACTGGTTCAGGCTACTAAGATTTGTCCTTGGAACACTTATGAGGCCTCTTTTATTTATTTGAGATGATGGTGGTTTTGAGACAGGGTCTCAATTTGTAGTGTGGGCTTGCCCTGAGCTCACTAAGTAGCCCAGTCTGGTCTCACACTCAGTGATCCCCCTCCCTCAGCTTCCTAAGTGCTGGGATCATAGGTGTGCACCACCATACCCAGCTACTTGTGGGTCCTCTTTAAAAAGCAACACAAAAAAATGCATCTGCTGCAGTCTGTGTTTCATGGGAGCCTAAAAGAGCCTTCAGAACTAACCTAAGTAAAATCTGGCTAAGAAAATATTTACACTGATTACTGATCTGTTTGATGAATACATCTTGCTCATAAACAAATGTTCTTAGCGAGAGAAGTTGTCTGCTTTCCTATTTTAGTATGTGCTAGATAAATGGGGTTGTGAAACATAGTTTGGGGAATAAAAAGATCAAAGAGGCACCGTTGTTATCCTAAAATTTAAAGTGTAAGAGCTGAACACATTACTCGCATAATGTAATCTCCCAAGTTCAATGATTATTCTTTCTTTCACAGCTCTATAAATTTTCGATTACATGCTGACATGATCAGAACCCCAAGAAACTTGTAGATCAAAGTCTGTATATTTCCCTTACTACCCAGGATTTTTTTCTTTTTAGTTTGATTCTTTTTAAGTTCCTCAAGGTGAGCAAAGCATTATTGAGAAAATCTCCCAGATTAAGGGCTGACATTGCATATGCTCCAGTTGCAATGGCTAAGTTCATTAATAATGAGACATCTGGTACAGACAGAGCCAGAAACCCAAGTCTGGCAGCACCACTCACAGAATAAAACAATCTGATTAGTTTCCAGTATTTATAAGTCAGGATGTCAATATATATGTGTATCCTGCATCTGGCCTCTCCTGAAAAAACCAGAAGATACGGCACAGCTGGGTCTGCCCTTCTGGAGCAAGGCTTTAGGTGGATGCACCTTCTCTATGGTTAACCAGTGCCTCCACATCCCACTTGTTTACTCCTGGCACACACCACTCCTTTACATTCTTCCCTGGTTCTTGCAGTCATTTGAGCTCTCAACCTCCACCTAGTGTCTTGCAGAGAACTTTGTGCACAGTAAGCATTCAATAAAACATCTGATGGACTGCATCATCCCAACTTAAACGTGGCAGGAGATCCCAAAGGCACATCACTAACGTCAATATACTTGATTCCCATAGGTGGAAGGATACACACCTACAGACAAATCCATTTTGCTGCTTGGATTATCTTCACTTTGACTCTGAGAAGACAAAAGAAATCACCAAATGAGAGAGAATTAAGGATGTCTATGGTTGAATCAGGGAAGAAGTGACATTAGTAACTTGACAGATGCATCTTATATCCCTGACACACTATTAGATCCTCTCAAATGAACTGTAAACTGGAACAAAGAATTTAACAATTTTATTTTATTTTATTTTATTTTATTTTATTTTTTTGGTTTTGGTTTTTCTCCGGTACCGGGAACCGAACTCACGACCTTGCGCTTGCGAGGCAGGCGCTTTTGCCACTGAGCTAAATCCCCAGCCCCTTAACAATTTTAATATATTAGTTTGATCACTGCTGGTGTGTATATTTCCTAAATTTCAATCATCACATACAGTCAGCCTCAGTTCACCTACAGAGAGAGAAAGCAACTGCCAAACAGCTGACCGGAGAAATAAACTCCTGTCCTCAAGTTCCAGTCGGCCTGGGATCAAATTCCACTAATGGCAGCCAAATGATGACAACTTCTTCTTGTGATCTGTCAAGTCATCAAATCTTAAAGTGTGCAGCCAAGTCTTTTGGCAATCAAGACAGGGTGTCCCCATAGTATTCCCAAGAGACAAGGACATTAGAAATTCTGTAAGAATCCCCTACAGAATTAATCCCAGTATATCTTCCTACTTAATTTGTTTTGTCCTTTTAAAAATTATAATGTAAAAACTGGCACACTACTATCAGGGAAAACTATAAATATTAAGTGTCAAATGCTTTCTTCCCTATTCTCCTAAAGGACATTAAAAACAACAAATTTAAAAGCCTTCACCTTTAAATGTTAGAGTATGTCATGAAGAGTAAAAGAACACAAAGTAAAATGTTGCTTGTTTTAACAGATCAAAATACTATTTAACCAGTTTCTAAATATATAATTTTGTACTACATGTGGCTGTGGTCTTAAAATTTATACTAAACCTTAAATGTGGGATATGTTATACATGAGAAAAATAAAACTTACCAGCAATCCCATATTTGAAAACTGTTTGGCAAGAGGATTCATCCATGAATCATTGTTTCCTCCTTTTAGTGAGCACTACGGAGATGAAACACATAACCTCAGAACCACATAGTTTATCTCAACCTCCTGAGTTGCAAAAGTACACAGTGAAAATGGAGTTCAAGAGTTTACCTTCTGAATCCTATTTCTCATTATTTTGGTATTTTCTTAGTTTAAATGGCTAATATGCCCCACTATATTTGTTTTAATTCTTGTTTTTCTCATCACAATGAACTAGAAGTAACTGAAAAAGTACACAGTTTTCACCTTTTACATGGAAAGAAGCCACTATCAGATTTTTGTTGTTCTTATTTTGTTTTTTTGTTCTTTTTGAGACAGGGTCTTGTATGTAGTGCAGGCTGGCCTTGAATTCCAAGTCAACCCTCCTGCTATGGCCTCCAGAATGCCTTTACTGGTGTGTACCACTATCCCTGGCTCACACTCAAGATTTTGTACAACATAATTCGATGTACTAAAGTTTTCATTTCAGCAGGCTGCTCTCTTTGTGACCTACGCTGGTTTGATTTAGATGAGTTGACACCAGTACATGTTACCTGGAAAGGCGTCTGTTTAAAATGGGACATTATCCTCTATGTGGACGCAAGGAGGACTCATCAGGTAGCAGTTCAGCTATTTGCTTCACAGCATAAAAGACACTGCTCCCAGTGAGAGAGAGGCCTGGTAGAAGACAATATCACCAATCTCTAGAGCAAAGTAAGGCAGTGGTGGTGTTTTTTATTTCTGTAATGAGACAGGGCCCCAAACAACTGTTCCACTTGCTCTTCTGTGAGGCAGATAGTGGGACTATAACAAGGACTTGGATGGGTGATGACAGGGCCTGTGTACTCTACAGTGATTTTACTATTCTTGAAAGTGATAGAGTACTTATGTTTAGTTATAGAATTAAATGTTAAAAAAAAATCTTGGTTGTCACCTGACTGGGGGATTCATTAGTACTTTCACTCACTTTATCTGGACTCACTGTTCATTTATAAATGACCAAAAGACTACCAAAAGCAAACTCAACAATCTATGAGTACAAATATGCCAAAAAGTTAAAAAGCTGGGCATGGTGGTGCCTATAACCCCAGCCCTCTGGGAGGCTGAGGCAGGAGAATCACAAGTTTGAGGCCTGCCTGTGTGACTTAACAAGATGCCATCTCAAAATTTAAAAATCAAATCAAATCAAAAAAGGGCTAGGCGTGCAGCTCAATGTGAAGGTCCTGGATGCAACTCCCAGCACTGTAAAAAAGAAGTTTAAAATATCATTCCTTTTGTGAGTAGAATAAAGAAAAAATCCCTTAGAAAGAACTGCTTAAGCAGAATGTCTCTAATAAAACAAACTATATTCTTATGCTCTGGAGGAAAATTAGAGAAATTAAATCAATATTCCACCAGCAAAGGGGAAGAAGATCACCTGAAGGCCTTCTGCAACAGGATCAGGTATTTTAAACCAAGCGAATATTAGCTGTGAAGTGTTAAAAAGAACAGCAGGGCTCTCAGGTTGAAATTAAGAATATGGGTGCCCAATCCTTATTTCTACCATTGTGTGTGTATAGCAAAAAAACTAGAATGCAAAAAACAAAACAAACAACAAAAAAACCCCAACATCCCCAAAAACCAAAAAAGTGCCTCTATTAGATAGTGGTTCAAGAGGAAAACTATCAAAGTCCTCATCCAATTATACAAATCCATGCAGAAACCAAGCTGTCATATGGAAAGCGCAAACCTGAGGATGCAATCTGGTACAGGGCTCAGAGAATTCACCTAGCTGCTCTCTCAGAGCTACACACTAGCACTTTGTTTTGCTGTCACAGGGAGCTCTGTGCCTTGAGATTTCCCCATCAGGTAAAATGGAGACATGCTGACTGATCACCACTGAAGAAGTGGTGATCCTTTGATTTCTCTCCTACATGGAGATTTACTGTAAGTACTTCTTTGACTTTAGAAGGCAAAAGCATAAAGTATGCCTCATGGGCTTCCAATGAATCATGACAATGTGGAAACTAAAAATAAAAGACATCTCATATTTTTGAAAATCTCATTTTACCCATAGCAACAGTCTGTAGTGTAAGGTTTCAAGGTCATGAGGAAGGAAGACGGGTAAAAAGGAAGTATCTACTTGTTTGTAGGGAAATACTTTCCCCCTTACTTAGATACCAGCTGCCTCATTTCTTCCATTAACAAATTCTCAGTTCTGCCTTCTAAGAATGAGTATGCAAACTCCAACATTTCTGAGGCGGGTGGTTACCTTCATTTGTTTCTTTCCTCCTTGTCCCCAGCTTGCTGAGTTGTGGGAGGAAGCACTTCCCTGAGAGCCGGCGGTGTTCCAGACTCCTCCATCCTCCTCCTCTTCCCAGCTGGGATGGCGAGTTCCTGTGACCGGCCCGTCACTCTCCCCCCAGCCGTCTTGCATAGATTTGGAATCTTTAAGGAAAGAAAGAATTAACTCTGTGACAACTACATATAACAATACCCACAAAAAGAATTCCTTGAAGATGCAGCATTTCAGTATCTCTGTAATTCTGTCTACTCCATCTACATGGCAAGGCAAATGCTAGCAATCACATTTCAGAGAGCAGAAAATGAGCCATACAGTCAAGATCTGACCTCTGGTTCAATGCGTCCCCTGCACCAAACTCACAGGAATTCCAAAACTAAAAAGAACTTACCACAATTACAAAAAAATGGACATTTCAAGAAAACTGGGTCCTTGTAATAAGCATGGATTATAATAGTCCTGATTTTACCTTCCTAAGTATACTTTGATAACAATAAACATTAGAAATAGGTCTAACAAAGAACAACTGTCTTTCTTATTTTGAGTTGGAGTAGAGAAGTAAAAATTGTGGAAAAGGAAGAAAACTAAGATCTTGAATATATAAATTATGGCAACAGAGAAATTCACATTTAGCCATAGAAATTTCATCACAGCCACACAGCAGCAAGGGGCCTGCCTGGCATGCTGTCCTCCCTCCTGCTCAAGTATTGTTGGTAACCACGACTGCTTTCTCTGTATAAGGATTACAAATTCATATAATCCTATATTGTATTTATAATTTATGTTATATGTCTTATGCTACCCACTGACAAGCAAGAAAAATTAAAAAAACAACACACTGATCCCTTTATAAAAATGAAGACATGCAGATGAACCATTTGTTTGTTTGTTTGTTTGTTTGTCTGTTTATTTACGAATGAGACAGGGTCTTGCTATGTGGTGAGTTCAGGCTGGTCCTGAACTCACTATGTAGCCCAGGCTGACCTTGAACTTGCAACGATCCTGCCTTAGCACCCCCTGAGTGCTGGGATTACAGGTGTGCGCCACCATGTCAGGCTATGAATCCTTGTTTTAGAGAACAAGAGCTAAACTTCCAACAATTTTTTTTCTTTTTATAGAAAAGAGAGTGGAGCTGGGGATGCAGCTGAGCGGCAGAGCACCTTCTTAGCATGCATGAGTCCCTGAATTTGACTCCTGGCACTGCTGGGGGAAAAAAAAGTGAAAAATGAGAATCTTCTCTTGCGTCCCCCCACCCCCCCGAGTCCAGGGATCAAGCCCAGAACCTCACACACACTAGGCAAGTGCTCTACCACTAAGCTACACCCAGCCTGGAGAGCACGGATTTTTAATTACAGGTCTCACAATATCAATTTTACGGCATCTGGAGGCTAGAGATCTCAGATTAACTACCAGCATCAATTGGATGATCTAACTCTTCCTCCATGTGTTAGGCATTCAAATCATCCCTAGAAGGACATGAGCCATAACTATAGATGATCCTGAAGAGAAGGCATTATAGAATATGGGAAAGGTGAGCATTCTGTATAGAACAGAGGTGCTTCTAAAGTTGAGAAAGACACACACAAACTCTCAAAGTACTGCTACAAGATCACTCTGTCCCAAGAATGCAGTTAAGCAACCGGATCTGTTTCAAGTCTAGTAAGCGATACTTCCTATGATGACAAAACTGATGTCACAAAGAAAATCATGATTAGAAGAAAAGTGTCACAAAGCTTATGATTTCTACGAAGTGGAAGAGATGCGTGGTGCTAAAAATTCAGTACGGTTCGATAGGCGGTGAATTTTCCTAAAGAAGCCAATTATCCTAGTCCTCTTGTGGCACTGTAATAGTTCTAAGTACTGTATCAGTTTACACAGAATCTCTTTTCTTCTTTTTCTTCAATTCTGAGCATTCCATAAAATTTCATTATTTAATCAAAAGATAATCCCTTCTATCTGCTACACAGTAGAAAAGAAATGTTGAAGCACTTTAAAGAAAGTTACAAACTAGTTGAAATGGGTACCTGATACTGAATTTTGCAGTTTAGGGATATCCATCCGATGAGCCACTGCACAGCACCACCAGTCTACAAAGTTTTGCAAGTTATGATGACGACACATTCCCAGCTGGATCAAGTATAGCTTAGACTTTCAGTAATTATGAGTCAGTACCAGGGTTTTTGTTTACAAAAATTAGAAGAAATCTGTGTCAGGTTCAGAATTTAAAGTGTTCTCATGTGAATAAATGTATGAGAAAAGAGACAAAGACGAAAGTGAAAGTATGAGAAGGATGAAGTTCCTGAGTGGCAGAGACCATGTTCCACATTAAAAGCTTGGGTACCGTTATTTTAACATACTAACAAACAGTAGAAATGCAAAATAGACATAGAAAGCATATTTAAGTTACTGGGTAAAAATGCATCATCAAAATTTCAGTTCTGGCCAGATACCAAATCCAGCTTTTAAAAAAAAAAAAAAATCAACAACATTATGACTTTTAGTTCATTGTAAACATTTTTTATTTGTCTCTTTGTTTTGAGACAGGGTCTATGTAGTATAGGCTGCCCTTGAACTCACTACATAGCCCAGGCTGGCCTCGAACTCATGGCAATCCTCCTGCCTCAGCCTCCTCAGGGCTGGGATTACAGGTGTGCACCACCACACCTGGCTCAAACATTTTAATACATGCCAAGAGAAGTCACTAATATTTACTATTTAATTAATGTTGAGTCTCATTGAATAAATACTTTTAACCACCAAACAGCCCTCATCAAAATGTCTGACTTCCAAATTAAGAAAGAATCCCTCAAAAATCAAAAAGTATGGTCTACTTACTGGGTTTCATGGCATTGGGAGCGTTGGCGGGTGTGTTCCCCCAGCCCGTGGTCGATGCTCCTGCATCATCCATTTCGCCCCACCCAGGACTGCTTTCATTCGGCTCACCCCAAGCTGAAGTCCCATTATCTGGAGCAGGTGGTGTGCTTTTGCTCCAGACTGTGAAAAGAAATGTGTCTCTAAGAATGACCTGTTAAACACCTGATATCCAGTGGGATGAAGGTGGTGGGATCAGGCATACCCATTCTCTCTTGGCAGAAACAGATATAGGCTGAACCTTCATGAAGAGCATCTGGCAATGTCAGTTTTAAAAAGTTCAATGCACATTACTTTTGACCCAGTAACTCTAGTGCCAGAAATTACACCACAGATATGTGTCAAAGTAGATGAAATTACATGCAGAACAATGTTCACTGCATCACTGTTAGAAAAAAACTGCAAGCAACCTAAATCTCCAAAGGGGACAGAATAGATGAACTGTGGGTTCCCCATAAAATGGGTATGATATATGAAGCAACTAAAAGACAGAACTGTATATGCTCAGATGGAAAGCATCAATGCAGATGAAAAGAGCAAGCTGAGTCACACTGTAGGAAGTATTATCCTTTGAAAGGATAGATATGTTTTGCTATGGGTAAGAACACTATTTATGAACAAACTTCTAAGAGATTACCTGTGGGGAGAGATACAAGGCACCAAGACTCTTAGCAGATTTTATTCTAGACAGAGTTGAGGAGCAATCTTCATTTCCTTCCTTATTCTTTTCAATACATAAAAGAGCAATCATTTCCTATGTGTCCACAGTTGAAATCACTAGGTTTACTTCCAGTAGAAAACTCAGTATTACTATAATTGATTATTATTATTATTATTTGGGGGATGGTATTGGGGATTGAACTCCAGAGCACTGAGCTACATCCCCAGCCCTTTTTGAGACAGGTTATCTAGGCTGGGCTCCAACTTGTCCTGACTCAACCTCCCAAACAGCTGTGATTACAGGCATGTACAACAATGCTCAGCAATATTATGATTAATTTTAACTAAAAAAAAAAGACTTGAAATGTGCATCCCCTTAATACAGAAAATTATATGCTTTATGGTAACATTCAGGTCAAAGGACATTTGTGTCAAACCGAGAATGAAAACACCTATTACGTGTAACTTACGAGATATGCTGTTTCCTATTCAAATAGTGAGGGAATAGAGTTTAATTCTGGGTAACTGATTATCCTGAGATAATAATCTCTTACGCAAAGTACACTCCATTCCAGAGGTAATTATTAAAAGCCACCTGGAAAGAGACTGCGGTTGTGCATATGCCAGTTCTGCTACACCACTGCAATGGTCTCTGGAATAACAACACAGATTACTTCCCCTTGTTGGCCAAAGAGAGGTACTGAGGATGAGTTCACAGATAAAACCAGAATGGAAACCTGGTCTGCTTCTGCTACTATAGTTCGTTATTTTTAAATCTAGAGCATAGTTTGGCAAGATATAACTCTTTTGGATTCTACAGTCCATTATGATGACAGAAAAATAATTCTGGGAGTAACACTAGGCTGCCATCTTTTCCTTTTGCCAAGAAGGAACACTATAACATACTATCAGCAGCTACCAATGCTAGCATCTTATAAAAAGAGTTCTCTTAGCAATAGAGGAGAAAAGATTCTCAGAACACAGCAAAATTGAATAAATATGCCTTAATATAAGTGCTTTGGCCTAGGGTTTCTTTTACCAAAACCTGTGAGGAAAAAGCCACTGCTTACCTGATGCTGATTTTCCGGTCATTGGGGTGGGCAGGTTTGGTTCTCGAGGTGCTGGGCCCCCTTGGGAATTCTTATCCCACAAGTTCACATTCTTGTAGTTGTAACTGTTAGGGTCTCCCCATGCAGAAGTGCCATCGTCGATGTCCATTTTCCGACTAATTGACTGCGGGGACGGCTCTTCCCAACCGCTGGGTTCCTCATCCTTAGGGGTCGCAGGCTGGGGCCCGCTGCTCCAGCTGGAATTGGAAGGTCGAACACTGCCTGGAGGTGGTGGGGGTGGGCCTCCCCACGAACTGGAAGCCTCTGGCTGTGGTGGCGGTGGCTGCTGTGACTGCTGCTGTTGGTGCTGTTTATTCCAGGAATTGGGCTGCCTGCCTGTCTCATTCCATGCAGGGGATCTTTTGCAATCTTCCCACCCACCTTTTGAAGCTAGGCTTGCATTCCCACCATTACCCCAAGTTCCGATTTCATTCTGCCCTCCTTCACCCCACCCGGCCACAGGCTTACTTGCAGAACTTTCCCAATTGCTGTTTTTCGCCTGATCAACTTCCTCTCCCCAACCATTCTTCCCAGAAGTCCATCCTTGATTAGGCTGGCGTCCACCTCCCCACCCCTGGTCCTTGCTGGGATTCTCATTCCAAGAGGAAGGTGTCTTTTCATCTGGTCGTCCTCCTCCCCAGTTGGAAGAATTATTGTTCTTATAGTCATTCCAGCCTCCTGTGTTCTTGGGGTCTTTCCACTCTGTCGAGGCTGAGAGCTCCCCCCATCCAGACTTCATTTGATTGCTTTGGCTGGGTGCGTCTCCCCAGCCCCCTGAGTTCTTGGTCTGTGTGGCAGCGCTCTCCCACCCCTCAGTTCCTTTGTCAGATTTCCCCTCAGGCCTTGGCACCTCTTCGATATCCCACACTGTGTCCTGCTTAATTTGAGTTTGGCCCCAGCCAGTGTTTGAGAGCACCCTAGGGTCCAAATCAGTTCGGCTCAAAAGAGTCTGCAAGACAGCCTGGCAATCAGGATGTGTAGGCCTGTATGACCGACGGCCAGAATTATGACTATCACTACTTCCTGCTTTATGGTTGCTTCCAGTGCTCTGACCTCCAACTTCACTTCCTGTGGAGCTGGAAGATCTTCCCCAACAGGGAGCCTGGGCATTGCCTTGGTTTTCAGGGAGGGGGTGGCCCTTTTGATTGTCCCATGCTCCAGTGCTAGAATTTGGTTGGTTTGGACCACTCCATTCTCCAATTTTCAACTCATCAGACCCAGTGGGCTGTTTCCATTCTCCCTGAGAGACCCCAGATGTCATTTTGTTCCCTTCACCCCATTTGTTGTCATTAGAGTCCTGAGGGCCAAAGTTCCAGGACCCACCCGTAGACCTATTATTGTTGTCCCAAGAGTCATTTTTCGACCCAGCTGATTTCTGAACAGAAGCTCCTTTCCAGGAGTCCTCTCTATCTTTTCCATTGTTCCCATTATTTCCAGAATTGCTTTGTCCAGAGACTGTGTCAGTTCCAGAAGGCCCCCTAGCTGCACCCCAAGATCCAACACTCCCAGTCTTTCGATCTCCAGTGCTTTGTGAAGGGGCATCAGTGCTCCTGGAGGTGTTCCCCAAGCCCATTCCAAAAGGCATTCCCTTATTCTCCATGGGGTTTGGTGAACTTAAGTTCAAGGAGTTAGTGTTTCCATTTTTTGGTCCATCAGTGTTATGAATTTGAGCCTGTTCTCTGCCAGAGACAACAAAATTAACACCCGCATTTTCCATCTTTGACTGCTGTTCCCTGGATGCCTGACCTACTGTGCTAACCTGTGCACTGGAATTACTATTATCTGTTTCCAATGCTCCTTTCCTAGAAGTTCCTTCTTGGACCAGTGCTGGCCAGGCAGATGGGTTGCTATTTGGGTTAAAGTTGCTGAAGCCAGAGCCAGGTCCAATTCTATCCTGACCACTCACATTCCTCCAATTACCTAGTCCATTGTTGCTCTCCGCAGTAGAGTTGGAAGATTGAACAGATTTAGCCTTAGGGTCAGATTTCCAGACCCCAAGATTACATTCGTTCCCAGAACTTGCAGACTGGCACTGGCTCCCTTTGCCTTTGTTACTAGTGGTGCTTCCTGGCAGAGTGCTCTTCTCAGAGCCAGGGTTCGAGGCACTGTTGTTATCGGTGGTGTTTTCGGAAGAAGATTCAGTGTCTTTGCTGGCAATACAAGGCCACTCTTCCATGTTAGACCCGTCTACAATCACCTTGTCCCAGATGTGAACTGGGTTGGGGGAGGTGCCGTTGTTGGAGGAGGCTCCCGGGCCCCAAGTGGAATTTGCATAATTTGAAGCAGCAGCACCTCCAAGGGTTGACTCTGGAAAAGAGATTGTCTCATCAGTTACAGCTGCATATGCACTGCAATGAAACCTGGAGCTCTAGCTGCCTCTAGGAGAGCTCATCCAGCTCCCCACAGGTTGGCTTCTCCACCCATTTGCGTCTCTTGGCTGACTATACTAAAACTGTCTGAGTCATCTCTTCTCTACCATTTGTCTGTTGTTATATTTGCTAAGTCTAACTTCATACACTGTCTCAAAGCTACCTCCTTTCCATCCTTAGTGAGAGGAGGGCCTTCTTGTATCCTGAGACAAATGCAATAGTTCCCTAAACTTGCTTTCTACCTTCAGTCTACTCTACTACAACTGACAGTAGTCATTTCTCTAAAACAGAGTTTTGATTCTGTTACTCCTATATGAGAGCCTTTAACAATTTCTTAATGCTCAAGAACAAAGTGAAACTACTTGGCCTGGCATTTGATCAACATGCTTTATGACCTGCGGGCCAAGCAACCCCTTCTAATCTATAACATTCTATGTAGATGTCATTCCATATGGATGTGTCTTCTTACCCTGGCAGCATTCCATACGGGCACCTACTTTTTTTCCTCCTCAATTCACAAAGTGAAATTTACTCAATCTTTCTGGGTCTAGTTCGAGTGCCATTTCTTCCATGAAGTTGCTTTGAACTCATCACCTGAAAATCATCTTTCCCTGCCTAGCCCCAGTGTGACAGCATTCTGTCCGCATCTTTCCTTCCCCATGTAGTGCCTCTTTGCTGGGAGGCCCTATCTTGCTAACGCGTCAATTCCACACAGTGGCCAGTTTTGCTCAGTAAGCATCTGCTGAGTGATGACTGCCCACTGAGTTGGACTCTGGGGCACATGAGCAGGAATCAGACAGAAACTGTACCCCAGGAGCTTAATCTGAAAAACCAGTCTAGCTCAGATATATTTTGGGGGCATTTACCCTATATGGTGGTATGGGGAGGGGGGATGATATTTTTAATGAGATAATTTCTTCTAAATGTATTTTAGCTGCTTTAACTAGAAAGCTTTAAATCAATATGAAGGTGAAAAACGTATTCTGTAGAGCTATGTAAAGATGAAGACACACAGAATCCCAAACTCTTGAGATTTAAAGGGCTCTTTGGTTTTAACTATGTAAATAAGAGCTCATCTCACAGTGGACGCATATCTCTGTCTAGGTCTGGCTACACATGGCTGCACAAATGCAACAGGGCTGTCCCTTCACATGCTTCCTTTTGCAAGCGATCTCCAGAGGCCAGGCAGGCAAGGGTATGAGGCCTTTCCCCGTCCACTCTGAGTGTGGTCTGCCAACTCCCACAAAGAAGCCTCACAGGAGGGCTATCTCTGCATGCACCCTGTGTCACCACTAAGTTTTCTTCTGTCCTTATACTATACAAGGTAGTGACAGAGTTTTCTAGGCAATTCTTCATTCAAATTCAGAGCTGAAGTGAAGCATCTTATTGGTGGCCTTATGTGTACACAACGGTGTTTAAAGGGCTCAAAATTCAGAACCCTCAAAAGAAACACTGATTTTTAAAAAATCTAGTGAATTATTTAGTGCCCTCCCAAGAATCTATATTGTAATCTAAGGGTTCCTTCACTACTCCTAGCATTTTGGAAGCTTAAAGAGAGCATCTGAAGATTCAGAATAAGCCCCACTTTCAGTCATTCCCTGAACACACACTTGTGGAACAACAGAGACTCAAAGTTGCAGTGCTACTGTCTGAGACAACGGAAAGCCTGACAGCAGTTAGTGTGAATCTCTGTACCAGGAGTACAGTTCAGGACCCTAAAGCCCAGCTTCAGAAAGGCATCCGTGCACATTTCATACTGGGATCCTCTCCTACCTTTTCTAGGTGATCCCAACAATCTAGAAAATCAATGACTTCTGTGGACTTTACAATGGAGTCTGCCTTTAGAGCTGCCACACATGCAGCCCATGATGCTGGTACCTCACCTGGTGCAGTCCCACTCTCGCTCTGCAGCAGGGTTCCTGACACTTGTGCGTTGTTTGGGTTTGCTCCAGGTGCTGTGCAGGGAGGAGGCCCCGCCCCGCCCCCAAGGAGCATGCAGGACGGTGGAGGGGGCTGTCCACGTTTCAGTAACACTTTGTGGTCCTGCTGGCAACGGAATCGCGGTGGCACCTCCCGAGGCATGTAGCGGGCGGCGCTTGGCGGTTGTCCGTTCGGCACTGCCACCCTTTTGGCATTGTTGCCACCATTGACTGGTGGCGATGGAGAGCTGCCAATCGGGCTGGCGGCCGTTGGTTGGCTTAAACTTGGTTTCGTCACTTCGGGCACTGAAAGAGAGGGGTTGGGGAGTCTTTGAGATCAAATACATTTTTCTAGAAATTGTTTTTAAAAAGTTTACATGAGACCAATTCTAATAAGACAATTCTTTCACTCTACTCTCTAGGGACACAATCTTTCCAAATTCCTTTGGACATCTTCAGTTGACTGAGGACAGGGTTAGGGAGTGATTCAAAGATTCAAAGACAGCAAGAAAAAGAAAGTCAGCAAGATCATAGAGTTATGTCCCACTGATCAAGGGGAGAAGGAATTATTCACCCCACTAAACGAGCAGCAGAATTAATTCCCACAAGGGTTACCAGTAGGTCCATGGCAAAGTCTTGGTAAAGCCTCAGGCCTCTTCGCTCAAGGGCTCCACCCCTTCACCCACACTTGAAGTCCCTAGACTGGAGCTAAGCACACTCCATCTATGCTTCTGCAACATGCTGTCCGTCTTTCTCCGCCATTAAATTTACCAGATTATAGCGAAAGCGTCCAGGGACAGCCCCTCTCTCCAACTGGCCCCAATTCCCTCAAGGCTGGAACCATCATTCATCTTCTGTTCCTTAGGGCCCGGCATAGAGTAGATCCCTATGGGGATCTCAGGCCTGGAGAACCGCAAAGCTCCACTTGGCTTTGGGTCCTACAGCTACCTGAACTCAAAGTCTTGCTCGGCATTCTATGTATTAGAAATGACATAAATCTTTTAGTTTTTGCCCCTAAATTTTTACTCCAATTAATACAAAAATTTCAAAATGTAGCTAATTTTCCTATTTACTCTACATAATACAACTTTTACCCTAGAGGCAGCATGGGAACATGAAGGGCAACCACAGAGCCGCACTCTGTGGGGCCCTTTAGCTGCCCTCCAGCCCATTGTGGTTCCCTATCAATCTGCACCTCCTCTTTCATCCTCAAAAAAGACCACCATCCTTTCCCAGAAAATCTGCCAGTAAACAGAAACTGGCTGGGCGTGGTGGTGCATGCCTATAATCCCAGCACTCAGGAGGCTGAGGCCAGAGGATCACTGTGAGTGAAAGACCAGCCTGGGCTACAAAATAAGCTCCAGGCCAGCCTGAACTGCATTTTGATACAGACCTTGTATCAAAAAAAAAGAAAAAAAAAAAAAAAAGCAGGGTGTGGTGGCACATGCCTGTAATCCCAGCACTTGGGAGGCTGAGGCAGGATGATTGTTGAGCCAGCCTGAACTGCACAGTGAGACCCTGTCTCGGAAAAAAAAAAGAAAGGACAAAACAGAGGCTGGCAGTATTACAAAATAATCTGAGGCCTAAATCCCTGCCACCCAGAGTAATGCTGAGGCCAGCTATAGCAGCAGGACTGCGTTGACTGCTGAAATGATGCTTGGCCAGCATGTTGCCATTTAACCAGCTCCTTTATGAGGAGAAAGATACATCAACAGAAATCAGGGGCCCAATCTATTCTACCACAGACCACTAGCAAATACTGAGTGACAGGAGAAAAGAATAGATACATGAGGCAAGATCCAGGCAACCTCTTTGTTTACCCTTAGCCAACCGCAAGGCTAAGGGTACTTGCTTCTCAGTCTGGAAGGGGTGGGAGGTCAGGGGAATTGTAATCTGATGAGCAGAACAAACATGGGGTTTAAGAAAGTAAGTCGGCTACAGTCTAATATTAATATACTAGCCTCCGTAGGACCTACAGCAGCTGATGGACAAATAACATGTAAATGAATGAAACTTATTTAAGATTACTTTCTGATCTGTTTCTGGAAGATTCCACATGGCACTGCCAATGCCCTTTTTTCTTATTATGAGAATACGTAAGAAGCTGGCAACAGCTGGGTGGATTCTTCCCAATTTATTTTTAGGATGGAAGGAGTAATGTTTCTATGAACTTGCCCTTCTATAAAAGGGCTCGAATCTTCACTTTACATTAACTAGGCTCGCTATATGCTTTAACTCATTTTTCTAAAAGGAAAAAAGAAAGGAAGGAAGGAAGGCATGTAGGCAGGCAGGCAGGCAGGCAGGCAGGTTTAAACTGCTAAGGGCCAAACATCAGTTTGACTAAATTTACAATTATCCATGGCACTGTTTCAACCACACGAATCTATGGGCATCGTATACTGTATAGGATTCCTTGCACAAGCTCCTCGAGGCACTTTCCCACCATCATACGACACACAGAATGGATTAAAAGTAATGAAATCCTTAAAAATGGAAGCATGCACTGGGTATGGTGGTGCACACTTGAAACCCCAGCATTCTAGGAGGTAGAGTCAGGAGGACTGCAGGTTTGAGCTCAGTAGGCCCTGCCCTGGGTTTAATGAAAAGAAAAAAGAGGGGCTGGGGATTTAGCTCAGCGGCAAAAGCGCCTGCCTGGCAAGCGCAAGGTCGTGAGTTCGGTTCCCAGTACCGGAGAAAAACCAAAAAAAAAAAAAAAAAAAGAAAGGAAAAAAGGGGTGGGGGTTGATATCAACCATTTCCTTGTAGTACAGTGCTGTCTGGGAGATGAATGATTTAAAAAATTCTAGGACACAGTCAGAACACCCTACAGGACCATGTGAGCCATAGGCTAATGTGTTTCAGGACCTGAATGGATCCTGGATTCTCATTCTGATTTCTTTCACTACATTTATCAGTTAATTCAAGAGTTTTTTTTGGTGTGTGTAGATACCAGGAATTAAACTCAGGACCTCACACTTGCCAGGCACTGTGCCACTGAGCTATATCCCTGGCTCTCAAGAACTTTAAACATTTAAAAGTCAATCAAAATTCTTGACATTTATTGAAGAGCAATGCAGCTGTTAGCACTGATCCAACCTGATTCCCTAAGTCTAAAATTAAGACATCAGAATAAGTGTTAAAAAAAAAACAAACCAACTCAGTGTGCACAGTATACCTCGAAAGGCTCCAGAATGTCAAGATGGCAACAGAAGAGAGAAATTATCATTATGTGCGCAAGTGTTACTTTGCAGGCCTTTGCTTTTCCACATCTTAACAATTTGCAGGTGAATTTCTAAAGATGAGCTGCTCAAAATGAGGTCACAGTCTCTTATTTTCCAGAGGAAAAGTCTGCAGCTTTAAATGTGGTCTTGGTTTCACAGGGAAATACAAATGTTGGAGGAAAATACTGGGTGTCCTATTTTCCAGCTTCTACTCAACTTACTTTTAAAACCCATTACGCTGTATACACTAATGACTGACACCTCCCCCTTTCTCGTGCTCTTTATCTTACCCTATTCCACCTTACAGTCTGAACTTCTAACTGCCCCTTTCCTGACAAACACCAGTGAGAATCTTTCAGATAAAAGTATTCTTTAAGAAATTTCTGAAAAAGGCAAACTTCTCAATTTTTTTTTAGTAGACATGCATAATGAACCCAACAACTGCACAGGACCAACACAAAATTACTATTTCCTTTAACTCTACTGATGGAACAATAGTAACAAAAAATCACCTGGAGATGTTTCTTAAAGTACAGTTAAAATACAAACCAAGTCCAGGGCAGATACTATTTCAGGCTGATGAATTTAACAACTTAAGCCCATTGACCAATAATGAGTGACTGGCGGTGCTGAACAACGCTCTATGATCTCTATGTGCTGTCTCTCTTTACCATCCACACACTCCTCCTCTCCAAGGAACCCTGGCATCTGCCCTCTACATTCCCCTTTTATTAAGTCGCTAGTGGTCTTCACTGCCAGGCTAAGGGGCACTCGCTGGACCTTTGCTTCTTCAACTTGTCTGCAGCTTCTGCCAGTACTGGTCAGTCCCTCCCTCTCTGTGTGAGACCCGCTCCGGCTACTCTTCAGCTCTTCCTCTCTCTTCCTTTGTGGGCTTCTCATACTCTGGATCAGGGCTCAGCAAGTTTTCTGTAAAGGGCCAGATAGTAAATATTTAGGCTTTACTGGCCTTAAGATCTTTGTTGCAATAACTCAACCCTGCACTTATAGGGTGAAAGCATCCATGGACAATGTGTACACAAACAGTGTGGCTGTGTTCCAATAAAATTTTATTTATTATGACAGTGAAACATGAACTTTACTACCATTTTCACCTGTCATGAGCTATTGTTCTTTTTTCCCAAAAACTGAAACATAAAAGAATATTCTTAGCTCACAAGCAGTACAAAAACCAGGCGGGTAATCAGATTTGGGCCATATTGGCAGTCCCTGCTTTTGACTCTTTTCTTGATCATATTTGCAAAATGAAGGCAGAAATTGGCTATGACCTGTGTCTTTAAAAAAAAAAAAAAATCTAGCTATGCATGGTGACAGGTACCAGTATTCCAATTACTCAGGAGGCTGAGGCAGGAAGACAGTGAATTTGAGGCTGTCTTGGACAACGTATCAAGGCTTTCTCTCAAAAAGATAAAAACCAAAACAACAACAACAACAACAACAAAACCCAGGGTGGTTATGCATAACAAAATAATAAACAATATGAAGGTGGGCCTGCAACCTTCCCACAGTTATCTTACTTTAGCATAAACTTGCTTATGCTGAAGCTTTAACTAGCAGTTGTGTGATTCACCATCTCCAATGCAGATCTCTTTAACCCTTCTGCTGAAATTTGCTTCGCAGCTCCAAATCCTTAGCATAATGCATGAAGTCCTGCCTCAGCTGGTGCTCAGGTTAGCCCCCACATGCACGGGAGCCCCTCTCCTGGAACGACTCTTAACTGGGTCAAGTCCTTGTCACTTCCCCTCTGGACTAGGTTTGTGCTCACCTGTCTGAGCACTTGGCTTAGGGCACCTTACGTTCATTCACTCTCAGACGCAGCCAGCTGTTTCTGAGCAAGTGTTGCCCACCCAGACCAGAACATGCAGACATTTCTACAGGGAGGAGCTGCAACTAACTGCAATTAACCCTTCCGGTATTAGTAAACTGAGCAAACTCAAGGTAATCCCAGCCACCACCACATACTGACCGCAACATGCCTCTGAAGTAAGCTCAGAAGACAGAACCGCAGCCAATGGACTGCACTGGTTCACAATGCCTGGTGTGCTGATGGGAAGTGCTATCCTTCAGGTGGCTGCCACTGGGACAATAGGACAATGTTATGACTTACTAATCTGAACCACAACAGCTAACAATTTTAACTTACATTGAGCTGGAAACTTTGCCCCATCGCTTTGACTCACCGTTGCCACTGTGGGTCAGAATAAGTCTTGCTGAACAAAATTTATGACAGATATTTACTATGAAAATGTAAAATGTCAGACACCAGAGCCTTGAAAAATTTTAAGAACAATACCTTAGGCTCCCAAGGTAGGAAGCCTGGATGCTTTACCTTCCCTGGGGTGACAAATTTCAAGACCACCCTGGCCCAAACTTCATGTGGTCTATGAGGTTGCTCTCTCTTCCCTTCCATAGTGTGGTGTCCATTACAGGAACTGTAATTTCTACCCTGGACACTGCTTCATTCAGTGAAGCAGGCTTAAAGACATATTCATTTTTATGAACTGGTCACTTCATACTGATGACTCCTATTAAGCCAACCATCCCCCTAACCAGTATCTTTTGGTAAGGCTAACCTGCTATGTATGACCAAATACATGGTCTATGCATTTCAACTCTTTTAACTCTAATCTTATTCTTTATCCCTGTTAAATTTCAACTTGTTAAATCTAATTTATTACATCAATTCTTTAAAACTCTTGATTCTAATATGGAACAGGAGGATCTGAGTTTTTGCCTAAAGCGTTTTCAATTCTCTGCTACATGGATAACAGGCCCAGCTCCAGTACATGCCATCACAGAACCTCCACCTGAAATCCCTGTCCTATTTGCCCCAGAATTCTCACCACTACTCTTTTTCAATGATGGAAGATGAAGGAAGAATAGATGATCAAACTATTTTTCTCTCTGAAATATGGAAAAAGCTTTCTTCAGCCTCTGTACAACCCAAGACTTGGGCACTAGCACAGTCTTCTTTTTCTTACAGGGTCTGTTGGGGAAAGAGGGGTAGGTTCAGAGTTAAGGGGAGAACACTCGAAGAAGATACCACTCTGGGTAGAGAAATAGGACCCAGAAAAATGTTTGCTGAGGAAGGAAAGGAACAACACAGACGAAGTGGCAAAACAAAAAAGAGAAAACCCAGAAAGGCCAAGGCCTCCTCCTTCTTACAGTCTAACAAATTTCAGGGACAATTTTTATTGTTACTTCTGGTTTCCTCCCTGGTTCTAACAATTACATTCTTTAGGAGACCTGAAACAGGCTCTCAGCCCACTTTATGATTATTTGACTTTATGATTGATGGGGTGGGAGACAAGAACTTGGGGACTGTGAAGCTGTATTCCATCTACGGCAGGCATGAAAAAGACCCTAAATGGAAAGGAAATTTGGTAGTGAGTAGAAGGGAAGTTTGATTTATTTATTTATTTATTTGGTACTGGCAATTGAACTCAGGACCTTGCATTTGCCAGGCAGGCACTGTGCCACTGAGCTATATTTAAGACTTTGGCAGAAGAAAGAGGAATGTGTTTTAGAACAGATCTATCACCAAAAACCAAAAAATTAAACCCGCCCACTTAAGAAAGAATGCCTAATAGATTTCCAACAGAAATACCACCTATCCTACAGAGCAACTTGACTCTTCAGTACAACTACAACTTGGTCTCATGAGCGGTAGATTTTTGGCCAGGTGTAGGAACTCGACCACCATGTTTCAGCAACCACAGAACCTGAGCTATCCAGGAAAATATCAATTTTCCCAGCCACTGTCTCCTTAAATCATCAAAGTAAGTCCTGTAATACCAACTCTGTACCAATACAAATAGCCCTGTTACCACGGTAAAAGTAGAGTCTATATTTCAATCATGTACTTTACAAATGCAATTCAAAAAGAAAGCCTACTTTGGGCTTGGAACTACTGAATGAACAAGGGGAAAACACTATTTTCTCTAACTAATTAAGATAATTATAACTAACAGTGGTTTCTCTGTTTACTTTCTAAGTTACTATAAAATTCTAAGCTACATTCTTTAAACTTTTTTGGGGGGCGGGTACTGGGAATTGAACTCAGGACCTTGTGCTTGCCAAGTAGGCATCTGTGCCTCTGTGCTAGATCCCTAGCCCACTTCTTTAAACTTTTGTTATTTTGGTGGTGCTGGAGATTGAACCTAGAGTCTTCACACAGAGTTACATTATTAGCTCTTTTTATTTTGAGATATGGTCTTGCTGAGTGTCCCAGGCTGGGTTTCAACTGGCAATCCTGCTTCAGCCTCTCCAGTAGCTGGGATTAGAGGTATGTAGTATCAGACCCAGTTTGAAATGTCTTTTTTTTTTTATGTATGTGTTACTGAGGATGAAACCCAGTACTAGTGAGCTACATCCCAGCCCCTTTTATTTTCTGGGACAGTTGCTAAATTGCCCAGGTAGGACTTGAACTTGTGATCCTCCTGCCTCAGACACCCAGAATACTGGGATGACAAGTGTGTGCCACCATGGCCAGCTTTGAAATGTCTTTTGATTAAAAATACATTAATGTCTACTTGTCTGAGAATGTTTATCTAAGTTCCCTAAGAAACTAGCACTATCTTGTATTAGCCCTTCCATCACATTGTGGCATTCTTTGGCCCGGCAGTTCAACAAAACAAAGCAAGGAAGAAACCAATCACTAGAAGGCCTCTCATCAGGCCTGGACCTCCCCCATCACCCTTACTCTCCCTCAAGTTTATCAGTCACACCCAGGGCAGTGGCCTTTCTGTTCCAGGGTCACCTGTGAAGCTTTTCAAAATACATTTTTTAGGGACCATAGCTTGGGACTGTGAAGGTCTAGGCTCTTATTTTAATACATGCCTAATTTACATCCACATATGCTGGTGTGTGTGTGTGTGTGTGTGTGTGTGTGTGTGTGTGTATGTATTTGTCTGCAACAGGAGCTATCTCAAAGAACAGCTGAGTTCCCCATTCTGAAGGGGAACGGATCAAAAGTGTGACCAACAACAGGTAAAACTATGTAATCAAAAGTAATAGGAGAGGGGACAGGAAACGATCAAAATACGATTTTATATATATATATATATATACACATACACACACATATATATCAAATTCCCATGACAAATTATTATATTTCATAAACATGTACCATATTAATAAAAGTTCATAGAGAAAGAACTGAAAAGACATACACCCTTAGGTTGAAAATAACCTGAGGGTCACATACTTCTGTTTGCTCATGTCACACTATTTAACATGTCACACAGAATTAACCTACTCAAAATGTATTATCTTTTTAAAAAGCATAATCTAGCTCTAGCTCACAAGACGGTGTGAACTCTCTAATGTGACATTTCAGTTTCAGACCTATACAGTCCCTGAATCCAGATGGTTAACACACTGCCATTCCCATCTAAAATGAGAAGCTGATGTTTTATAATTGTTCTACAAAAACTCTTGAAAAGCTTCAGTTCAAAATCATGACTCATATACTTTTAAAACAAAGTATTTACTTTCTGCCTCTTAACAAATTTAAGGCCAACTAAAAACACTAACACAAGTACTTTTCATTTATCATTACTGCTTTTCAGTGACTGCAAACAACCCACCTTAATTACCCTACACCTACTCTTTTGAGTAGATTGGAGGCTGAGTCAGCAACAGTGTGAAATCTAAACAAAAGAGGTTCTTAGGAGGGAGAAAAAACCTTACCTTTGGTTTTTTGTTCCGTGACCTGCAAAACAAACGGACATAAGTAAATGAGATTTGCTTTTTAATTCAGTACTACATTGTAAGATTAATTTTGATAAATCAAGTAATTCAAGCTGTAAGAAATGCTGTTTGCCATTTTGATTGGTGTGACTACAGAAAATCAAATGGATGTGGCCACAGAGACCAAAAGATAACACCCCTGAATGTGGACTCAACTAACTTTTAATCTCAAATCTTAAAAATCAAAACCTCAGGGACTCACCGGGTATGGTGGCACACCCCTATAATCCTAGCACTCAGGAGGCTGAGGCAGGAGGATCACTGCAAGTTTGAGACTGAACTTGTGAGCTAAAGGCCTGCCCGAACTGCACAGCAAAACCCTGTCTCAAAAAGACCAAACAAACAAACGACCAAACAAACAAACCCAGACCAAACCAAAACAAAAAAACCCCTCAGGGACCCATCATGAGAAGCCTCAGAGATGGAGACAGAAAAGCAAGGTTCAAAACCAAGTCTTCCTGGCTTGTTTTCCAGCCACTTCCTGGCTGTGTGATCTCAGTTTTCTACCTATCTGTTGAATGGAAATAATAATAGTATCTCTCAGCATTAAATAAGATATCCTATGTCGATGCTCAATACATGTCTGATGTTATTATCAAAGTTTATATAAAATAGCATAAAGTATAGTATATGTGTATTTTGAACAAATACTGCTTTGCTGAAAGTATTTTATAGAACAGTGGAGTACTACTCTGCCATAAAGGATAAACTCAAGACATTTCTAGGTAAATGGATGTGGCCTGAGACCATATGCAAGTGAAATAATCAGACAGGGTCACATAGTTCTGTTTGCTCATGTCACACTATTTAACATGTCACACAGAATTAACCTACTCAAAATGTATTATCTTTTTAAAAAGCATAATCTAGGCTCTAGCTCACATGATGGTGTGAACTCTTTTTTTTTTTTTTTTGGTTTTTCTCCGGTACCGGGAACCGAACTCACGACCTTGCGCTTGCCAGGCTGAACTCTCTAGATGTGACATTCCAGTTTCAGACTAAATCAGTGAAGTAAATCAGTGTGTAAATACTGCATCATTTCTCTGGTGTCAGAAACTGAAAGTGTAAATGAGAACCAAACTGAAATGTATGTATTGTGAAATACGAAGAAAATGTTCAAATGGGGAGGGGAACAAGGTCAAGAGGAGGGGTAAAGGAGGGAAAAATTTTTTTAAAAAGAAGGAGAAAATGGAAATGAAGCTTTTGTAAATGGAGAGGGGAGGATGGGTGGAAGGGAGGGTAGGGAAATAGGAAAAAAAAAAAGTTATATCATATACAATACAAATTCTCTGATGAATATGATTATGTATTTCTAAAATGTACCAATAAAAATCTGATTTTAAAAGTATTTTATACAGTAATTAAGACATCTATGGAAGTGATTGACATAAAAGCTTGGACAGCTAAGTGTACGAACAGGTTTTGGACAGTATGGAAGTGATGTTTGGAAGTTATATGAAAAACTGCTTCTGATATTATTAAGGAGGTAAAATAAAAAAGGGCACCTAATTATACATATCTTGTAATATAAAAACAAAACCACAGAAGGTCATGCATAAGAAACACATCCAATAGGAAATATGCCAGAATTCCAGGCATGGTTACATTACATTTTCAAGACCATGGGTGATTCTGACCCACTTTTCCCAACTATTAATCTTCTAAAGCACTTTGATTTGTTTATCTGGTTCTCATAATATGAATTATTAGAAAATGAATATTGCAATCTTTTGACAAAAGAGATTTGGTTATTTGTAGCTGGTGATCACACTGGGTCACTGCTGTGGGGGTCATTCAAATAGTTATTTTTGAAAGGTCCATCCTGTAGCTAATGAGCCCATCCCAAAAAGGATCCCAGCATACCTCTACCAGACCATGAATCTGAGCTAAACAATTTACTCCTAGGATCTCTTGGAGTGCTTCTTACATTCTTGTGTTAGACAAGCTGATTTTACTGTATCGAATTTTTAGAACACAGTGTCTTAAAAATGAATGTTTCTCTCAGTGGTAACTGCTACAGAGCTCACTTCTACTGAAAATTTCCTTGTACAATTTCTCTATAATCCTCACTTATCCAAGAACTTACATCCATGCACCAATTCCTTAAGTCAATTCAGGTTTTACAGCACCATAAATACTTCTTAGAATGCCATTCTGAAGATCAGTTACACAGAAGTCAGAGCTTTCCCAGTTGTGAGCAATAGACCTAAATAATGTCAAATATGTCTTATAATGTGGATTCTGTTAAATGAGCCAACCCCCAGATGGTAAAAAGCTGGACAGCCAAAGCGTGTGTTCTGCCAGCACTATACAATGCTCCTTCAGTGGCCTGAGCATTATGAATGAACGGAGGCCTTCTTAACACCTCTCTCATGAATGGGAATCTAACATGGTTTACTCAGGGATGGCTGTCTGGAAAATGCAAACAGCCACAACCATTGAACACAGTGGAAAAAGCTCATGTTTAAGTTCAGTGTAGAAGTACTTTTAGCCAGAAGTCCATGCTTTAAGAAAATCATATTGCCACCTTCATTTTTTCCCCCCCATGGTGAGGGGACCGAAGCCCAGGACTTACACAGGCTAGGCAAATGCTCTACCACCCAGCACATCCTTAGCCCATGATCATTCATTCTTGATGGTTCATTTATTTATTAAACAAACATTTTCTGAGTGATTACTGGACATCAGGCACCGCCCTAGCTACTGGCAACACAAATATGAACGAAACTTCCGGCAACTTACAGGGAGTCTAAAGCAGAAAACAGACACAAAGATAAAGCAATGGGGTACACAGCATGAAGGACTGAAGGACCTGGAAGCACTCAGAAAAGCTCCACAGACGTGTGCTGATTGACTGACTAATAGAACCTCTGGCCCCTTCTCAACAGTTCTTTGCTCCATAGCACATTTTATGCCTCCTAGTTGTCCTTACAATAAGGTTGGAAACCACTAAGACTATCACATGGTCAGCTTTGTGCTTTCTCCTTAAAACTGCTAACCTGGAATTTAATTCTGAAATCATGCAACAGCTCAGTATAATAAAATGCTACCAAAGGCCATGTGTCAGCCTGTGTCACCGTCGATTCTGTGTCATCTGATCTAGAACAATTCTGAACAAAAATGATGGCACCTCCATTGGTAATAAATAACTACATCAAAATTTTACAGAAATTTGTCTCTGCCATGACTTCTTAATCAGTTTTCAATGCAGATGTAAGCACATAGAGAGGGCTGCCCCTTGCACATCCTCTGAATAAATAATCCCAATTCACTCACACTCTTGTGCAAATGAGAGTTGATAATGCTGCCTTTCTCAATATTGTTTACTGCTGCTCTCACAGGGTCTGCCCCATTTTAACACCCACGTGATGACCACAAGGTCAG